GACGCTATGGTCTGGTCGACGCCTGCAAGACTCGGTCGAGCTGCGTTCTACTCAGTGGCTGACTCTCGCCAAGCCTAAGGGCCCTGACTCTGCCGATGACACTACGGTTGACGTTTCGCTGGAGATGTCTCAGGATCTGGCACCGAATGCGTCGATGGAGAATGCACAGGGCTCTGACTGGGACATCGACCCTCGACTGGAGGCATATATTCCACCTCCGCCGAAGACGATGGAGGAGATTCGGCGTGAGGCGGACGAAGCGTTCGATCTATTGAACCCGAATTGGGATGCCCAACGTGCACGCGAGGAGGCGGAGCTGTCATCGGACTCGATCCACTTTGGCTACATTCCTCCTTGGCTGCTGGGCAACTTGGCCGAGACGAGCTTCAGCGGTCTGTCAGATGTCTCCTCGGGATGGTCCGTTGGCGAAGAGGACGGTCTGGCGAACACGTCGATGGAGAATGCGCAGGGTTCGGACTGGGACATCAATCCGCGCCTGGAAGCGTACATCCCCCCGCCGCCTAGGACGATGGAGGAGATTCGACGTGAGGCAGACGAGGCTTTCGACCAGTGGAACCCGAACTGGGATGCTCAACGTGCACGTGAGGAGGCAGAGCGTTCGTCGGACTCGATCCACTTTGGCTACATCCCTCCTTGGCTCCTGGGCAACCTGGCCGATACGTCTTTCAGTGGTCTTTCGGACGTCTCCTCGTCATGGTCTGTGGCTAGAGAGGATGCTCCGACGAACGGAACCATGGAGAATGCTGCTGGCTCTGATGGGGCGGCTGACGTGGGTCTGGAGGCGTGCATCCATCCGGGCGATGACCTTGCGGCGCATCTCCCTCCTATCGACGGCGCGCAGGGCGCGTAGGTCGCAATCTTTGGCAGCATTCTCGACACCCTTTGCGAGCGGTCTGGCTTAGATCATCGGCCTGGCTCTTCTTTGGCATGCTCTGAGCGTATTGTGCTGGACTTGCGCGCTATGTTACGACCCCTTCTGGCTGGTCTAGGCATATCACCGACACTTCGGATACATCTCGTCTTTTGGGGGTGCTCGATGCATCGTTGATTGACTTGAGATGTTACGGGTGAATGGTAATACCGAGTCGAGGAGCGCGCGTTCGCTATAAAGGTCAATACAGATCAATGGTACTGCAGGGAATACTAAAACAATATGCTGGCGTAGGCACACGATATCTAACTCGAGGCAACCACAGAAAGCAAGACTTCCTGGACCCACTTTCTGGCTGTACGCGGGACTACTGAAGTAGTGCCGATGTCGTACGCTGGTCTCTCTGAGACTTTCTTGTAAGTCATAGCTTATTATAATGTTCATGCGTACCCCACACTTACCTGGTGTCTCGCCGTCACTAGAAATCTAGGATGATTGTGTCGTGGTAACGCGGGCGCATGCATGACGTCCGTTCAATGGGCCTGATAATCCTGATTGGCCGACAGGAACATCAGGGAGGGCGATATCATTTGTGAGGGCTACATATTTCCCTAGCTTATTATACCATAGTATAATAAACGAAGCACGGAATTCATTTGAACGTTGATTGTCTTCTGGGTGTCAGAGATAACATTTGTCGTGAACCGTGTGTGGCGTTGTTGATGGTGATCGATTGTATCGCATTTGATGCGCCAGCTTGATGTTGAAGCTTGTCGAAGTTTGTTTATCAACGTACTCAAGCTTGGCATTCTAACTCTATATACACCGCTTGCTTCTCCCCGATGCTCCTCAGATATATGTAGAGCCACATTTTCCTAGACAAATAAACGTCGAGGTCCTTCCTAAATGTACATTTCTCAGACAACATCGCCCAATTATGTTTTGTTACCGAATTGCCGCGTTTATAGGTGAGCCATCGTGGTTCCAATGACGCACAATCTCTGCTACTACATACTTGTTTTACTAAGGAACCTTCTGCCAGTCATCTAAAGCTCGTACACAGGCTTGACATTGTACATCTTTGTATCAGCGGGAGCAATGATATCGCCTTCTCCGTATATTGGCGCGACCTTGTACATCCTAGTGTCCACTGGGATCTCGAGCGACTGCTTCGCGAACTCCTTGCCTGCCGCAGATGCGCCTGTGCTCTCCAATTTCGCCTCCTTGGGCGTAGAAGTGCCGCCAGGCGTCGCCTTGCTCGCGATGCTTGCCGCACGGCCATCGGGAATGTGAATGAACTCGCGGCGGCCATCATTCTCGCCATCATAGATGTAGTATCCCTTGCGCTCGAACTGAATGATATCTCCACGTTTGAGGGTGAGCACATTCGCATCGGCGAGTACGTCTTCGCGGAACTCGGACTGGGGCGGGACAAAGTCTTTCACGTCATCATTCTCCTCGAGCTTTTTCTTCGTGATCAAGTAGTCGTGGTCGAGCAGCGTCACCTCCGTGAGCGGATGCGCGGATGTTGGCTGCGTGAGCCAGGTGATCTTCTTTTTCGTCTTACGGAAGTCGCCCTCGAGGTGCAACTCCATCTCGATTGCAGTGACTTGTCCATTGCTGTCAGTGGTCTTGGAGCGCACGATGGCGTTGCCCCAATCCATCAGCGTGACCTTGAAGGACGATTCAGCCGAAGCAACGAGAGAGACGAAAACAATGCACCTCCTCCTGGTCGTCGAACGTCAATGCATCCTCTTGCTCAACTAGGATGTTCGACGAGAAGACTGTCTGCTTCTCGCCCACCTCGGGATTCTTCTTGTGCTTAGGGAGGCTTTTCACCTCAACCTCCGCAGGTCCACCCTTAACGACAACTGGAACACTTCACAATCGAGTGAGTTAGCATTGAGGGCCAATGCAAAAGGAAAGACACGCACAGGTTAGTCTTGCTGAGTGCCCAGAAGCGCGGCGCAACGGGATCGATGACCTTCTTGTTCAGCGTCCAGAGTGAGTCCCACTCAAGCGAGACAATGGCCTGCGACGGGCCTTGCGCAAGCATAAATTGGCGCAAAGCCTCCACGGTCAGGCCGCGACGGCGGATACCTTTCAGGTGACATTTCAGTAGAGGGTGCGAGTGTGAAGCGGACATCGATGCGGACCTCGGACGGTGGGGAAGCGCGGATCGTCCCAGCCGCGCACAAGTCCCTGATCAACGAACCAATGCAGCTTGCGCTTTGAAAGCAGTGTGTAGATAAAGTTGAGCCGGCTGCTCGCAATGTCAACGTCATTGATACACTGAAGCAGAGAGGTTTGTCTACCTGAAGTCCCAGATGTGCACGGGGCGTATGCTGAGCGCCTCGATCATCCACTGGTACTGTGGGTTGCGATCACGGTACTCGTTCGTGCGCAGTGCATGTGTGACACCCTCAAGTGAGTCTACGATGGGGCACGCAAAGTCGTACGTCGGGTAAATCTTCCACTTGTCCCTAACATTCCCGGCTCAGGACGAGATAGCAACGCATATGAGAAAACAGACATACCCAGTGCGATGATGCGGCAGCAAATTGCATCGGTAGATGACTGGGTCACGGAGGGCCTTGTTCGGATTATCGACGCTCATCTTCGCACGGATGCACCAGCGCACGCCCTCGGGTGTGCCCTTCTTCATCTCCTCGAAGTGCGCGAGGTTGTCCTCAACGCTGTCGTCGCGATGGCGAGATGCGATGCCGTCCCAGCGTTCCTTCCGCATCTGCTCCTGCACAGTGTCGTCCGCGTATGCCTTGCCCTCCTTGATGAGTCGGACTGCAAGCTCGTACAGGTGGTCGAAGTAGTCGGACGTGTGCGAGACAGCGTCGCCATGGATGTCAAGCAGTGCGAGGTCCTCGAGGATGGTCTCCTCAAACTCGGTCTTACAGATACGGTCAAATCACGTTCACGCATTGATGCGATACAAGCAACACGCTTACCCGCTCCTTCGTGGGGTTGGTATCATCGAAACGAATGAGCAGCTTTCCCTTGTACATCTTCGCGAAGTACTGGTTGAGCATGGCGGCCTTCGCGTGCCCAATGTGCAGGTAGCCACTCGGTTCGGGCGGGAAACGCGTGACGACCTGGCCCTCCTTAGCATTCTGTAGACCGAGTGCGAAGGACGCCGCGGTCTTATTGGAACGAGCCTTGCTTGACTTTGCCTCTGTGGGACCGTTAGACGGTGCTATAGGACTATAACAAGGCACATACCGGCCAGACTAGCGATGGCGAGCTGTGTCGACTCGAGAGACTCAATGTGCGAGAACCGCCGCAAAAGGTGTTGGTGCTTGTTGTTCTTGAGTAAACCAACTATCTTTATGCTACCTATAATAGAAAGCTTCAATGAGGATTGCCCAATAATCGTGGGTAGCATGATAGATATATGTAAATAGTGAATACACGCTATGAGAGCTCTGAGCGTGTGAACCACGTGGATGCCATACAGTAGGCAAATCCATTTCCAGGCGATGGTGTATCTCAAATAGCTCATATCGCACAAATCACTTACCCTTCAAAGCGCCCCATACGATGAAGTCCGCAGCAGAAATATCATGTCCAACAAGGAAGGTACGGAAGGCGAGATGGTCATCCAAGGAGTTGAGGGCGGCAACGATCTCCGGGAAAGCGGTAACAGTCGGCAAAGACTTTGCCAAAGCAAAATATGCCTGTGTCTGTATGGACGCGACTGTCAACACCAGTGGTATTTCTCTAGCAAGAGGACCTTCCTTTGCGCTGTCGTCTGAAAGGCCGCCTTCCTTGGCCAAGGCACGGACTATCTCATCCTCCGCGGAGATCGTTGAGCCATTAAGCTGAAGTGAGACGCCAGATGCACTCTCATCGTATGAGAGTTCAGCTTTGTCTGTGTATGTGGCGATTGCAATTGCCGCATAGGGAAATGGTGAGGCGGAAGAGGACAGAGAGAGTACTCCAGGCATGTTGGCAATAGGAAGGAGTGAACTGTACTCACAGACGCCGACTTCAACGTTAGTATTGACTCGAAAATACCGATCGAGATGATCGGGCGCCCGATCTCCTCATCAATGCAATGGGCGCCAATCACTTGGATCGTTCTTGCTTTGTGAACGAACGACATTCGTAATACCCTCGATGCGCATGAAAGAACATTCAGATACACATGGGGACCCAAACCTCATCTGTAATAGTAGGCTGTGTTCGCCGTACGCTTGTGCTAAGATTCGTACAGATCGCCAACTTGTAGCAACGCAGACTACAATCCCCCCCCCTCAACTGGACTCGTCACACGGATCGACTTGAAGCTCGTACAAATATACGATTACTGTCTGGTCATGGCAAAGCGAAGGTGCGGCTGCATTCCGGCGATACGGGCGTGACATGCGAGAGCGACCACCTCATTGTAGACGATTGAATCATGGTGCGGTGCCCATAGTGTTGTTCGTCTCAGCAGGCGCATTACGCGGGGCTGGCAGCGGCATCGGAGTGTCGATGTGAGGGATAGCATCAGTGACATGACTGGGCCCGTCCGTATACGGCGAGGTGTCCCCCGGGGTGCGTCCCAGCCTCACGTTCCGCTCTCTCACTGCGTGCGTTCCAAGCACTCCAACCTCAGTGGGCTGGACGCCCTGGGATGCCATGAATTGGGCAACGTCTCGGGGTAATACTCCAGCGTCCAGTACCGGTGCCATGACAATGATAGGGTTGGTCGCGACATTGAATCCTTGGACTGCGACGATGTATGCATATAGACCCCGTACAGATAGTACGTGCACCATAGCCTCGATCCATGCCCGTCGCGCGACTTCCGATGTTCTCGTTGACGGAGCCCAATTGCGCAGTTGGACGTATGCTCGTATGTCGTCGATGTTGAATGTTCGCATCACGGCGGAACGATGTCGGAGCGGCGGACGGATTTTTATTGAACCACGTCCACCAATACTCCACGGGCGACTGTCGGCTGGGCTGAGCCATTCCCGTCGACGCGATGCTGCTGGAGCTGCCATAGGTGGATTCCTCAACAACGTCGAAGCCGAAGGTGCGGGTAAACTAGTCGTGTGACTGGACGACGCAGTGGTGGTTGGAGGGTCGATCACCTGGCTACTCTCATCTCGTCGTCGATATGCGTCGTCGAGTCGCCGCTCTAGGTAATCATTGTGCCGTGTTTCTCTGGCCAACTGTTCACTGACATAGTCCCGTTGATCCATCGCCAGTCGCAAATGCTCTTCGGCTCGTATTCGGGCTAATATTTCGGTATTGAGACGCTCCTGTTCTTCGGCTCGTATTCGGGCTACCATTTCGGTATTGAGACGCTCCTCCAGCTCGCGTATACGAGCTTGGGCGTCCCTTAATCTCGCACGGTCTTCAACCAGGCCCCTCTCCCCTGGAAAAGACCATCCGTTGTTGAAATGGCGCTGTATCATTGTGGCACGTGCCGCATCTTCTGCATCGATGAGTGATTGGTCACACAAGCGAAGTCCCGCGATGTGCATCGCAAACTGCATACACCGTTCACAATTGCCATTGTGGAGGACCAAAGGCACTCCACCAGGGACTGAAACCCATGTAGGCTCTGTCCCCTGACGCAAGAGCCCCGGCGTGTGCACTGAGTCCACTACTTCGGTGATGGTGGCATGCGCCACGTCATTGTTATTGTCGACTCCCGACATTGAATCAATCAAGTTTGCTGCTCCACCTGGCGGCGAGGAGGGTGTCAAGTGTGAGAAAGTGTTAGGCTTCACGCTCAGACCGAGGGTAGACGGCACCAGTATTGGAGACGTATGGGTACCAAGGTAAGAGTAGAAGTTGCCCCCATTCTCGTGCGTACGCCCAGGCGTCTACACGTAACATATATACAAGTACGTAATATTATCTAATGTCTCTTCATATTAGGCCCGTTAAGTAGCGCGCTGCGAATGAGTGTATACTTCTGTCCATGGGCAGTTATAGGCCTATGAACGTATGGCCTTGACGCGGTGATAATATTTCAATGTCTTGATGACACCGAATAGTGAAACACTGGTCAGCCCGGGAGCCTGAGTAGACCACGCCACCTCGGACAGTGTGTTTCAATGAATGCGTGCGTGAGTCTGAGTCGGCTCAAAGCGGCTATGTACTTATTGTCATCCTCTGGTTTTCAAGTTCTGGTCGTGGTGACCGTGACGAGTGCTTACGAGCTTACTCGATTGGCAGTAGGCCTATCGGCAGAAACCATTCCGGTGGTTTGCTCGAGTCCGAGTGAGTTTTCGACTTCGACTGTGAAGTACATGCGACGCGACAGCGATGTCATGTCGAAGCATACCGTCGAACTCCTTCAACGGTCGGGATAGACGCCTCGATCAGATGTTCGATCATAGTGATCATGAGACGGCGCTTGAGTCTGGGTCGGTACCTACGTACTCTTTCCCATCATCTCGAACTAGACCCATTGCAACTTGCTCTCACGAGTGAGTGACCTTGCAAAGCAATCTTACACGCACGTACTCGCTGTGCCACGAATGCCAGGCATCTCACGATGCATCCTCGTAACCCGTACCGTACACCTCCCAACTTCTTGTCTCTTGCGGATGCATATCCTGCACTCAAACCACAGTGCGTGCTTTGCATTACACTGCATATACGTTATTCTAAGAATTACTGAGCAGCCTGACCTCCACACCTAAGGGCACCACCATCGACTTCAAAGATGATGTCGCTCAGAGGTCTGCTAGCGCTCTCTTGCATCTGTATCTCCGCGACTCTGAGTGTGCTACGTTTAAATCAGTGTAGGCGGCTAACTGAGGCACTTCTCTTCCGCGACTTTCACGTCTCCCTCGAAATCCCAAATGACCGCCTTTGCCCTCCGGTACGTGTCCGGTTTCCTGATTTCTGACGTTCCTGAAGGGTAAGGCACAGGTTCCGAACCGGTGAGAGTCACGATATGATTTACTTATCCTCTAACACACAACTCTCTTCACAGGTTGAACTACATCCTATGGCTTGAAGACATCCTGCAAGCGGCACGCCTAGCCGAACCGCTTGATACTCCACCTGAAGCTGTCACTGGCATTGATGTGTAAGTTGCGGTCAGCAATAGTATCAAAAATCGCTCATTTTTGGACAGCGGTACGGGAGCGTCTGCAATTTACCCCCTCCTCGGGTGCCGATCAAACCCTTCCTGGAATTTCGTAGCAACAGGTACTCCAGCTTGATAGCCCGCAGGCAAGACAGCGTGCATTGCGATACTCATATTTGTGGTAGATGTCGACGAGAAATCTCTTCATCATGCACGTCTCAATGTACAACAAAATTGCCTGCAAGAGCGCATCTCTGTGATAGCGTCTGACCCTGCCGGCCCCATCTTGCTCCACCTCTTCAACTTAGAAAACCGCATCCGAGATCCGCGGTCCGGGTAAGCCCATCAATCAGTGTCGTTAGAGTGTCCTAGATGACATACACCTGCAAAAACGCAACAGGGCGAAGTATGACTTCACGATGTGCAATCCTCCATTCTATAGCAGCCGTGAAGATGTCTTGCACTCTGCAGAAGTGAAAGAATCTGAACCAACGGCGGTAAGGTTCTACAGGCATCTCGGATATCCCTCATTGTCTAGTGTCGAATTGCATTAAGTGTCCCTCTCTTCACTGCTCAGGTATGCACAGGAGCGGATGTGGAGATGATCACACCAGGTGGTGAGGCTAACTTTGTGTGCACGATGGTCCGTGAAAGCCTCGAGACACGGGCGCAATGCAGGTTCGCTTTTTTGCTGCCTGCTGTCAGTTGCACACTTAGCCTTGCTTCTACCAGATGGTACACCTCGATGCTAGGCAAGTTGGCGTCTCTGACTGACGTAGTCGCACTCCTGCGCGCGGAGACGGTATGCGCAGCATTACTGTTGCTTTACTGGAAAGTGACCCCTCACCCCGCTCAGATCGACAACTATGCCTGCACAGAATTCGTCCAGGGGCAAACACGGCGGTGGGCCATCGCATGGTCCTTTGGCGACGTTCGGTTACCCGATGTAAGATTCAGACCACGTGTTTGCCTGCGTAATTTAGGCCGCTCGCATCTACTCCAACAGCATATATCCCGCATCAGCAACCCCGCAGTCCAAAGCCTCATGCCACCGCGCAACACGCTCCAGCAGGTTTTTCCCGGGGCGTCCTCCATGGCGCACCTCGCGACAGCCCTTGCACTCGTCTTGTCCGCTATTGAAGGTCTATCTGTACGGCCCGTAACTCCGGCGTTGCAGCCGGCGACGGCTGAACCACCTGCGGACGTGCTCGTCTCCGCTGCACGCGACACATGGACCAGAGCTGCCAGGCGGAAAAAGGTACAAGCGGGAACGATGGACACCGACGAAAACAGCGACGCTCCTGCATTGATTTGTCGTGTAACATGTATAGACCCGCAGGACGGAGGCTCTATCCGAGGGAAGGCTCCGGAAGGCCTTGTGGTGAGGGTCGAGTGGGTGCGTGGCGTGAAGCGCACGCTCTTTGAGACCTTTGCGAGGCATGTTGAACGGAAGATCGCCACTGCATTGGTGGTGGCCGTTAATACTTCTACCTGAGGCCTGTTCCTATACGCCGATGCGCCATAACTGCATGGAATCACATATAAGATACTTGCTAGGTTTGATCCCGATTCGAATTGGGTTGATCAGATCGTTGACATCAATTTATAAACGTATCCTGGGCGTCAAAAGACATCTCTCACCTCTCACTCATACCCAACCGAGTACTCCTTGGGTATTCGTGATCAGGCGAAACGAACCTTCCTCCTTACTCGCCCCAAATCAACAAGGGTTTAGCTATGAAAAGCAAGCGTGCGAACAAAATAGTGGCGGGGACTGGAAATCTGGTAGATCCCGTGCTGCGCTCTCCCACTGCGACTGTCCACCTCACCTACGATCCTAACTCACCGCCACCTCATCCGGGTCCCACTCACACACGCTTCGTCTGCATATCAGACACGCATTCACATGTATACCCTGTCCCGCACGGCGATGTGCTTCTACATTCTGGTGACCTATGCATGCGCGGGCAGCTTAAGCACTTGCAGACGACGGTGGATTGGCTGAAGGGCCTGCCGCATCCCGCAAAGATGTGAGTACTATATCTATAGGCAGGAGCATGGAGAGGCACTAATGCATGGTAGGTGCGATGTGTAGTCTGATTGCAGGAAACCATGATGTGCGTGGTGAAATCCAGAATAGCTCCTCAGTGGAAGCGCAATCCTGATTATTTCCTCAGCTCTGCTTAGACAATGACTGGCGAGAAGGTGGGACGCTGGCGAGAGTGCTCGGCAATGGGATACGCGCACAGGTACACACTCCGCACCGTCAAGTGTCCCTCGTCTGATCGGGTCATGTCCAGGATGTAGATGCAGCACAAACCCTCATGCGGAGCGAAGAGCTGCGCGAGACGGGCATCCGCTATCTAGAATACGAACCCATACAAATAACCACAGCCTCCGGAAGAACGTGGAACATATATGGTTCACCTGTGAGCTCGGCACCGCAGCATGCATCCTCCGTGCCGACGCTCACCTAGTCGACATGCAGGCAACGCCCCGATACTCAATCGGATCGTTCCAGTACGAGTATGGACAAGGCGCAGAAGTCTGCTCTCGCATACCGCCCGAGACCGAGGTCCTGCTGACGCATACGCCACCCCACGGGACGCTCAACGCAACGCGGAGGGGAAAGGCCGCGGGCTGCAAGGAGCTTACCGCTCGGCTGGAAAGTAGAGAGCTTGGGCGCTGCCGGCTGCATGTCTTTGGACACATCCACGAGTCGCACGGAGCGGTCATTCGCCGGGGAAATGGCGATGGGACGGTGGACAGGGTCAGCGTGAATGCAGCACTGGCGTATGGCGGCCAGGCCGTCATTGTAGATCTTGAGAATTAGAGTGTAGATATATCAATGCTCATAGTAGTTGCAAGGAGAATTTGGGTTGCATGGTTCCACTGTTAGGTGTAATGACATGTCTGCCATTCACTTCTTGTATCAAGCTTAAGCTGGAGACGTGAGCTGATTGTGAGGGGGAAATGCAGGGACGTCCGATGGTTGCTTCGTGAGGATGTGTGTGTTTGTGCCGCCATGATGACGATCGACTCATCCAGGCGCCTAGCCCTGGCAATCGGCATTCCAAGATGACTCGTGGTGGCCTGCAATGCCTGATTTATATGCGCGCCCCTCTATTTCGTACTCTCAACTAATTTCCCTGACGATCCATCATGCCTATGCTGTGAGTCGCTCTGTGCGTCGTAATTAAGTTCCATCTGACAATACGCCACCCTCCCAGGAAGGAGCCGTCGCAAAAGTACAAGCCGTACACTCCTCTCAACCTTCCTGACCGCCAATGGCCGTCGAAGGTCGCGACAAAGCCACCATATTGGCTGTCCACCGATCTCCGCGATGGGAATCAGGCCCTCGCGAACCCTATGACCGTCGCACAAAAGACCCTCTTCTTCCACACCCTCCTCAAATGTGGATTTAAGGAAATCGAGGTCGCATATCCTGCTGCAAGCGACACAGACTTCAACTTCGTGCGCGGGCTCATTGAGCAGGGCCAGGTGCCGGACGACGTGTGGATCCAGGTTAGTCTCAGCATCATTGCGGCGTCGATCCGGTGCTGAAGGCAGGTTGAGCTCAGGTTCTCACTCCTGCCCGCGAAGACCTGATCAAGCGTACGATCGAGTCTGTCGCAGGCTGCAAGCGTGCTATCATTCACATGTACAACGCCACGTCGTGTCTCTTCCGCGAGGTCGTCTTCCGGAACTCAAAGGAGGAGACCGTTGCGCTGGCCGCGAAGCACACCAAGATCATCAGGCAGCTCACAGAGGAGTGCACGGCGAAGTATGGGACGATCTTCCGGTACGAGTACAGCCCGGAGACGTTCACACAGACGGAACCCGAGTTCGCCGTTGAGGTCTGTGAGGCCGTCAAGGCGGCATGGGGCAAAGCCGGACTGGGCGATGAGCGAATCATCTTCAATCTGCCTGCAACTGTCGAGATCGGCCCCCCGAATCATTATGCTGATCAGGTGAGTGTCTGCGATGCTACCCGCTGGCGGCGGCGCTGAATCAGAGTAGGTTGAGTATTTCTGTCGCCATATATCCGAGCGCGAGAAGATCGTTGTCAGTCTGCATCCTCACAATGACCGCGGTATGTTATAGAACAGTCGTAAGATGTGTCCTGCTCATCCTCAATAGGTCAGGGCATTGCTGCGGCTGAGCTCGCCATGCTTGCGGGCGCCGACCGCGTGGAGGGCTGTCTGTTCGGTAACGGCGAGCGTACAGGCAACGTTGACCTCGTGAACCTCGCGCTGAACCAGTACACGCAAGGCATTAGCCCCGGGCTTGATTTCAGCGATATTCAGGCGGTCATCGACGTGGTGACACAGTGCAACGACCTGCCGGTGCACCCGCGGCATCCGTACGCCGGCGAGCTCGTGTTCACAGCATTCTCCGGATCGCACCAGGACGCCATCAAGAAGGGCTTCGAGGTGCAGCGAGTACGCCACGCCGAAGCTGCCAGGAAGGGCGAGCCGCAACACTGGGATATGCCCTACCTGCCCATCGACCCTGCGGACCTTGGCTGCAACTACGAGGCCGTGATCCGAGTTAACGCGCAATCTGGCAAGGGCGGCATTGCATACCTGGTGCAGCAGCACCTTGGCTTGGACATGCCCCGCAAGATGCAGATTGCATTCTACTCGGTCATTCAGGACATCGCAGATCGCGAGGCCCGCGAGATGACCGTGGAGGACATTACAACGGCGTTCAGGAAGACATACCACTACGGTGGCTCGACATACGAGGGCAGGCTTGTCCTCAAGTCCTTCAAAATCTCCTCAGAGCCGTCGGCAGACTTGCCTAACGGGGACGAGGCTGCGGACGAGCGTCGCCAATTTGACGGCACGGTCTCGGTCGACGGTGTCCTGCGCGTTATCCGGGGTGACGGCAACGGCCCGCTGTCCGCCCTGCTTGACGCCCTGCGCACGCATCTCGACATCGACCTGTCGCTGCGTGAGTATTCGGAGCACGCCATTGGCCAGGGCCAGGACACTCGCGCCGCCTCGTACGTCGAGCTCGTGCCCCTCGCACGCGATGTGAAGGAGATCCGGCGCTCAGCCGAGTCATGGTGGGGCATTGGCGTCGACGCCGACATCACAGGCTCAGGCCTCCGTGCGGTGCTCAGCGCGGCCAACAGCGCCATCGGCGACCGCGAGCTGCCGGAGCTCCAGCTGAGCGTCGGGTTCAGCGCGAAGACGAGCCAGGCGGACATCGCGTCCGTCGTGCTGCACGAGCTCCAGCTCGAGCTGCCGCGCCGTTTGCAGGCGCAGTTCTTCGAGGTCGTGCAGCGCGCGGCGCGCGAGACAGCTGGGCAGATGTCGTACGGCGCGCTCATTCAGCTCTTCCGCGAGACGTACCGGTACGACATCCCCGACACGGAGGAGACGTTCGCGCTCCGGGGCTTCAAGATGGAGAACCTGGGCGAGAGCGGCCGCAAGGAGCTCACGGGCGAGTTCGTCATCAACGGGAAGCTCACGCGCGTCCAGGGGCAGGGCAACGGTCTGCTGACCGCCGCCCAGGCCGCGTTGAACGCCCACATCGACGGCAAGGCTGTCATCCGCGAGTATGCCGAGCACTCGATCGGCAAGGGCTCGGAGGTGAAGGCTGCGTCCTATATCGAGCTGGCGTACGAAGCGGATGGCGGCGCGATCAGGCTGAACGCTTGGGGCATTGCTACCGATACTGACATTACAGCCTCCGGACTGAAGGCCCTCCTCCGTGCATCCGGCACGTTGGACAAAATGCATAGGAAGGCGCTAGAGCAGAAGTAAAGACAACATGTAGTATCACAGCGCGACGTCCTCGCTGTATCCTTATCTCAAAGCGAAAGCTTATGTGTGTTATGACTCGTTGAGAGAACGGAGCTCGGATGGCACGGAAGCTCACAACTGCGTACACCATTGTTGCATTCGGACGGCTAGCACGTTGAACGCTTATACAATAGAAAGAAGGGAACATAGACATACAAAGCACAAGAGAACACACCCCAAACATGCAGCAGATCAGAACTTGAATTCCTTCTCTTTTCTGTTCTCCCTCTCCCGCTCCTTCTGTCGTCTCCTTGATGTCTCCTTCGCGATCATATCCGAGAAGTCTTCTCGGCCGTTTGCACCGGGGACACCAGCGGAGCCACGAGCATGTTGCTCGTACTTCCGCCGCAGCTCGTCTTCCGACATGCCTTCCAGTTCCCCTGCATCGATGGAAACTTCCACGCCGTTCCCTCTGCGCTATTTGCGAACGAGTCAGCTTCGTAGTCGCGCGATAAAGCTGTAGTAGGACACTAACTTTGGAGCCACGCTCGTCTCCGAGCACGGGAATAGCACCGCCGCCGGTAACAGCACTGACGTCGTATCCCCGTTCGCTTCCCATAAGCCCGCGTACCGAGGCCTGCTTCTCGGGGACAACCTGATACAATGATCTTGGTCCTGACTCGACCGCTTCTGATTGTGCCCGTCCAGCATTTTTGCGAAGCTCCAGGAAGTCTGGCGTCTCGAGTCCTCCCGCAACTGTCGAGACGACACTGGTCATGCCGGATGGCGTCTCCATTCCTGACGGTGTTTGCATGCCGTCCTGCGGTGCGGGTTGCTGCTCTTCCTCCTCTTCGCTTTCTTCCTCGCTTTCCTCTTCTTCTTCCTCTATTTTAATAGTGAGACAATAATTCAAAGCGCTTCAGACATGACATACCTTCTTCGGGCTCTAGCTCACCCCAGAAGTTGCGATCAACGGGCTCGCCCATCTACGAATGAAAATAGGACGTCATGAGTAAAATCACTGCGCTCAAAGTAAGAATAATCACATCGGCATCATTGTTCTTGGGCATTACGCCGAAGACATCACCATACAAAGGACGATTGTATTCGTCAAGAGGGGGCTTACCCCAACCACCTGGATGGAAGCCCCACTGCGCACTGCAAGAAATGAGCACGCTATATGCGCGATACAGTTAGTGAACTCACCCTTCGGGAATAGGAGCATTGAGACCGGGTATCCGCAAGGTAGGGTAACTTGGGGGTGGACCAAAACGTTGCATGCTAATGAGCCAGGGAGGTGGCGCGAGCGGAGGAATTGACAATGCCTCCACGAGCTCTGGGGACAAGTCACCAGGACGCTTGTGCTTCAGCTGTGTCTCAAACTCCTTGCCTTCATAATACCTACGCATATTAGAGTATGTCAGCGGAAGCACAAGCAGCACCGACCTGAGGGCTCACATCTCGCCGAAGCCAGTGACATTCGGCTTTGTCATAAATTTGAAGAAGGCGTCGTGCAGCTTCTGGTAGTCAATGTCTACCTTGCCCATCTTCGGCTGCACGCGCTCACGCGTCTTCGCCTTGAGGGACATGCCGGCCTCCTTCTCTTTCACGGCATCCCGCATCGTTGCGATCCCGGTGTCTGCAATGTACGAGGGTAGTTGGAACGGAGGCTTCTCAATACCCCGCTTGCCCTGCAAGTAATCTCGTTTTGCGCTCCAGTGGCTTGGGATGGGGACCGTGTTGCGGTAGCTCTTGAGGTGGAGAAGTAGGCGAGGGTCAGAGGCGGTGACGTCTGTCCACTCGACGACCTCAGGCTTCTTCACAAGTTGCTTCAACTCTGCTACGGTAAGTCGATTCATCTTGCGGGCTTTCTTTTTCGAGAGGGGCTTCTTCTCTTCAGCATCCGAGTCACCCTCTGAGGCCATATCATCATCAGAGTAGATGATCTCTCCTTTCTGAGGCTCTTGGTCGCGAGCACGCTGCCACAACCGTGTCAGTTAAAAAGGGGTAGATATTATGAGATGAACGTACAAATGCTGATTCAGGAGGCGGCTGAAAACGAGCAAACACGGAGGAGAATCCTTCGAGGGCAGGGCCTTTGACATCCAACTGCTCAGGTACGTACTCGACATCCATAGGCTGCACACCATCCTCCTCCATCTTCACGTCCGGCTTCTGCTCGCCGTTCTCCTATCACAGCCGTCATTAATGAGTGCACGTACATGAGAGCTTACTTGTGTATATGAGAACGTACCGGTGTCCCCGACTTCTCCTGCTCCTTCTTCTGCTTCGCCTTCAGGCGACGCAACTGATTTTTAGACTTGATCTTGCCATTCGCCTTGATACCATTAGTACCATTGGTCATCGTCGCTGTCTGGGTAGCCATGTTGTCCAGTCACAAGCTGAGGAATGGCAAGCCAAGGAAGGGTCCTCTGTGCGAGTACCTGTTGGGCGCTGAAGCGGAGGGAACACTAACGTAAGCAGCTCCTGCCATATCAGGCCATCGGAGGGCGAAATAGCGGCAAACACCGAGCCCGCCAGTCACCGCTGGAAGGGCGAAATTTGCTTTCTACAAGTCTCCTCCGAGACCATCAAGCTTAGAGATCGTATCGATACTCAGCCCACCCCCACCACCGTCGCATTCTTAGTCGACCCCCCTGTCGACTACTTGCACAAAACACAGCAACTACCAATGTCAACGTGAGCAGTCCGATGATCATGCGTGTGTGACCCGTGTCTCATCCGGGCTTCTGCGTCGCTCTGCAGTGAATTTCAGGATGTCCAGGAGGGCGAGATTGAGTCCAACTGGGACCAGATTGTCGACAAGTGAGTAGGCTGTGTGCATCCTTCGTCGAAAAGCAGACGCTGATCGGATGCACAGCTTCGATAACATGGAACTAAAGGCTGAGCTCCTCCGTGGTATCTATGCGTACGGGTGAGTAGAACCCGCCTTGCCTCCGAAAATTGAGCTGGGCTGACCGAGGCGCAGTTTTGAGCGTCCCTCCGCTATTCAGCAGCGCGCCATCGTGCCCGTCATCAAGGGCCACGATGTCATCGCCCAGGCTCAGTCCGGCACGGGCAAGACCGCTACCTTCTCTATCTCAATCCTCCAAAAGCTGGACCCGGCCATCAAGGGCACCCAGGCGCTCATCCTCGCGCCCACTCGCGAGCTCGCGCAGCAAATCCAAAAGGTCGTCGTTGCGTTGGGCGACTACATGAACATCGAGTGCCACGCTTGTGTCGGTGGCACAAACGTTCGCGAGGACATGGCCAAGCTCCAGGAGGGCGCGCAGGTCGTGGTCGGCACGCCCGGTCGTGTGTACGACATGATCAACCGCCGTGCCCTCAGGACGGACACTATCAAGATTTTCTGTCTCGATGAAGCCGATGAGATGCTGTCCCGTGGTTTCAAGGACCAGATCTACGAGGTGTTCCAGCTCCTCCCGCAGGACACGCAGGTTGTCTTGCTATCCGCCACCATGCCGGCGGACGTGCTTGAGGTCACCAAGAAGTTCATGCGCGACCCCGTTCGTATCCTCGTCAAGCGTGACGAGTTGACGCTGGAGGGTATCAAGCAGTTCTACATCGCGGTCGAGAAGGAGGAGTGGAAGCTGGACACGCTGTGCGATCTGTACGAGACGGTGACGATTACCCAGGCTGTCATTTTCTGCAACACAAGGCGGAAAGTCGACTGGCTGACTGAGAAGATGCACTCTCGTGAATTCACCGTCTCTGCCATGGTAAGTTGCCGGCGATCAATATTCATATATAAAGTGAGATGCTGACGCAATATATCCGCATCAGCACGGTGACATGGAACAGAAGCAGCGTGAGGTCCTGATGAAGGAGTTCCGTTCGGGCTCCTCTCGTGTATTGATCACCACAGATCTGCTCGCCCGTGGTATCGACGTGCAGCAAGTGTCGCTCGTCATTAACTACGACCTGCCCACCAACCGTGAGAACTACATTCACCGTATCGGTCGTGGTGGCCGTTTCGGAAGGAAGGGTGTCGCCATCAACTTTGTGACGACGGAGGACGTGCGCATGCTTCGGGATATTGAACGTAAGTGGCGATATCCAATTGGAGACGGGACCGCTCTGACGTTTGAACGATGCCACAGAGTTCTACAACACCCAGATTGATGAAATGCCCCTGAACGTCGCGTAAGTGCCATATTGATTGTTAGGAACGGCGCAGGATCTCATGTTTCACTATTAGCGACCTCATCTAGATGACTTGTATGCCACGCTGCCACATTATCTTACTGCGTCCTCGAGATCAATAAACATTTTGACGCGTCGCTTGGTCCTGGAGGATCAGAAGCTCCTATCATTTTTTACTTGTTGTCACGTCATCCCGCCTCTTGCGCTGTCGCCCTCTCCACCCATCGCATTGTTGCACAATCACTGCGAACGATTCCACACGCTGTCACGACTGTACTGTATAGGCTGGGTTGTCGAATTCGTAGTCTAGTTGTGTCACCATGTACTGCTTGAGCGACTGTCGATATGATTTTCCTGCATTTCCTGTGAATTGTGTGTGCGCGTGTGTGTGTGCGGTGCGCGCGTGATGGCCGGGTGAACGTGAGGGCGGCTGATAGACTCGGCAGGGCGGGGAACAGCACGCGGACCGCCGGAGCAGTGCCGGATCGGGGAGCGTCGGTAGGTGGGGAGGCCGAGGGAGGGGCAGGGCAGTGCGTGGGCCGTCGCGTCGATCTCCGGAGACTAGACGCTGACAGATGGCGGGCTCGAGGCAGCAGCGCACGGGTATTCGACGGCTGTCCTTCACGGCTATACCCATCTGCCCTCCTTATATACACATACACACACATGCCCCTACCCTCCGTCCGCCCGCAAACTCATGCCACCCTCTCCATCTTCATAGCCCCCCTGCCTTTATAGTCTCCCCTTCTTCTCGTGCCAAGCCCCAGCCACGCCCTCTGGTCGCACCAGCAACGCCACTCTTGCACATTATCGTCAAGGCTCAATCAAGGCCGCTCCTTTGTGCTGTGCCTCCTCGTACTGTGGCGTGCCTGCCGATCCTTGTCACCGTTCCTGTGGCCATCCGCAGGCGAGCCTCCTTCATCATAAATTATTATATAACTCGGTGAGCAGCGCCCTTCTCCTCCCTCACCTTCGCTACACAGCTCTGACGGTTAAGGCATGTCCCCGCCGCAATCTCGCCCCAAGCAGATGTCCTTGACCATGCCCTCGGTCAGCACGCTCCACTTCGCACCCGCGCCTCCGCCTTCCCCCTCGCCCACCTCCACCGTCTGGTACACGCCCGCCACAGGCTTCCCTGGCTCCCCTGCGGCTCTCCAACAGCTCCCTCCGACCGAGATCGTCCCCCGCCTCTTCATCGCCGACCTCGCCGCCGCCGAGAGTGCCCACACCCTCCTCACTCTCGGCATCACCCACGTCCTCAGCGCGATGAATGGTCGCGTGCACCTCCCGCCCGCCATCCCGCTCGAACGCCTCCACCTCCCGCTGCAGGACAGCCCTTTCGCCGAGCTCGCCGCGCACCTCCCCGCGTCGACGTCCTTTGTGGCCGATGCCCTGCGCGACCCCAACGCCCGTGTGCTCGTCCACTGCGCGCAGGGCATCAGTCGCAGCTCAAGCATCGTCTGTGCATATCTCATCGCGAAGAATGGCTGGTCGCCTGACCACGCGCTGCAGTTCGTGAAGAATAAGTACAGCATAGCGGAGCCCAACCCCGGCTTTGTCATGCAGCTGGGCGAATATGCCCGCTCGCTACAGAAGCCTGCCTAGCCACAGGACTGCTGTGTTCGGACCAAGGAAGCCGATTCGGACCTTGGATGTGCTGTTGCTGTTCGCCTACTAGTCGCTGTCTCATCCGCATTAACAGCGGTCCTCATGTTATCAAGGGTGCCGTAAACCGGCCATCCATGCAAAAGGGTGCACGGATCCACACTTCGCCGCTTCCTACCTTATCTCCCAATAATCTCTAGAGCTCACATCACTAGCTGTTCCATAGCATCTGTTCACACGCAGTCCGTATGTTATGTGTGCCCATCATAATACCCCTATTATGTGCATGGTGTCCCCACATCTCATCATTCCAGTGTCCGCATGACTGATGGCGCGAAAGTAGTATACAACATACCTATACATACAATCCTGTACATAGTATCGACATGCATATACATGTAAGGTGGCTCCACGGGTATCAATATATTAGCAACATCGTCCCTGACGTGCGTCTGCCTCCAGCGATAGATTGGGATTCGACGGTTTCAACAGCTTGACGCCGGGCGACTGCAACCCCAGTCAAAATCAGTGATCAGCCCTGAGCCAGGACCACGCACCCTATCATCGTCAAAGACGCCCCGCCGGATCTTGTCGAGAATATCCCGTGTCGCACGTTCGAATGCCGCCTCGACGTTCTCCCCTGACCTTGCACTCGCCTCGACAAACAGCAGGCCTTCCTCCTGCGCCCACTGCTCCGCTTCCTCAGACGGAACCTCGCGGGTGCGCCGCCCCGGGCCCGCATCATCCGTGCACAGGTCGATCTTGTTTCCGACGAGAATGCAGGTGAGGTGCGGGTCCGCATGCTCACGTACATCTGCGAGCCACGAGCGCGCGTTCACGAAGCCTGCAGGGGAAGAAGAACGCGGACAGGCCCTGAGCGGACGTGCGGCGTGCGGAGCGGGCGTGCGAGTACGTACTCTGCCGCGAGGTGACGTCGTACACGAGCAGGCAGCCCGCGGCGCCGCGATAGTACGAGCGCGTTATGGACCTGAACGACTCCGTCCCGGCCGTGTCCCAGCCTGTGGGTGCGTGCGGTCAGTTCGCGGCGCGGGCGCGGCAGCGGCGAGGAGCACACATTGCAGCTTCACGACCTTGTTCTCCTCGGGGATCGTGATGAGCTTCGAGCCGAATTCGACTCCTAGCTAGGGGCGCACGGCTCAACGCGCGCATGCGAGCGAGAGGGCGGGCTAACGCACTGTTGGGTCAGGGTTGGCGAGGAAGCGCTGGTCGGTGAGGCGGACGAGGAGGGAGGACTTGCCGACGGCGCTGTCGCCTGCGGGGCCGCGATTCGTGTCGGGGTGTGCTGCACTGAGAAAGTATCATACCGACGGACCTGTGATTATGAATTTGAGAACGTAGTGCCATGCCACACCGGCCATCGTAGAAGCGTTTCTATGAGATACAAGACGGGAGTTCGTGAGGTCGTCGAACGCGAATATATGGTTAACAGGGTAAGCAGTCCAGAGGGATAGCGAGTCGAGGTGTTACAGCAGTCAGCGACCGCGGCCGCGGATGACGACGGTGGGGATGTCGACCGACGCGCGCTAGCTGTGCGCACGTGACCCTCCGGAGCTCGCCGATCGGTCTGGCGTCTGGCAAACGACCGTCGACACCAACACAAGTTCCCTCTAGACTATCCGCTACGATGAGCAGTGCGAACTGGCGCAACGTTTTCACGTATGTACCCGCACCCTACCCATGCATGTGGTGTGTCTGATGTCTGGCATCCCACAGGTACAACAAGTACACCCAGATCGCCGCGCGGGCCCTCCGCCAGTCGCTCAAGGAGAGCGAGCGTGTCACAGCTGAGAAGCGCGGCACGACCATCCTGCGCTACCAGCAGTGGCAGGACGGCCAGGGTGGCCAACAGGTGCGTCTGTAGGCTCGTCATCCCGACATTGTGTTTTCTGATCCTGGCGTCTAGGTCTTCTTGAACCCGCCAGAGAAGACTGCCCCGAAGTCGGCAGCAGTATAACGACGCTGCCCAGATAGTGCCCGCGAAGGGTCGATTGCAAAATGGCGGATAGGCGTTTCTTTGGGTGCAAGTGATCTCGTCATGCCCGTGCATTTGCGCGTGTAGCTACATTGTACAGTTTGCCTTGAACGTAAATCTAAGCCTGCCGAGTTGCTGCAACCCCAATGCCCCCATGTCGTAATGAGCCGCAGCGACAGAGAACATGCAGCGGGCCCTGCGTGCATCTTGCGACGGAACAAAATCGAGTATTGTCCTCTTATGGTGTAGTGCGAACGCCGGCAGCGGCACTTTCTTTCCTGTTTCGACTGGGATGACTCCTCCAGGGAATCCTTGCCTCGAGGCGAGAGGTTTCGTCCTTTCAAAACTAGAGGACCTGGGAAATGTGTAGCTCTCGGCTTGTAAGATGTGTCGATGAGAAGCCCAATTGTCCTCTAAGTCATGATTAAACCCTGTGCGAGCCGTGTCTCAGCGGCCTCGTTGCAGGCCATCTGCGCAATGTCGCCGTCGGCCATGGGCAGACGCCCGGACGAGCGGGCCCACGTGTTGGCATCTGAGATCGAAACGCAGAAGCCGCTTACATACACAATCGTAGGTTTTCTCCTCTCGATCAAAAGGCCCCAGCTCGTCGCCCTCTGCCCCTCACCCTCCCTCGCTCTCCGGTGCTACTTGCTCGGCTCGCCTTCCCTGTACACTCCTACTCATCGAGTTCATCTGCTCAAAAAATGGCTGGCGCAAGAGGTTGCTTCAACTGTGGTGGCTGTAAGTTACGCGACCCGATTTCGAGAAGGAGAACTCGATCGCTCACTGTGAAATGTGTTTACCTCGACCAAACTTGTTTTTTCCGTCACTTTACGCTGCAGTCGGTCATCAGGCTGCGTCTTGTCCCAAGGCGGGCACGCCGACCTGGTATGTGGCGCGCATCAATGTCTTTTTGCTCCTGCTGATGTTTTCATATCTATAGCTACAACTGTTTGTCCGCTCTTTGTGGAGGATTATTCCAATCGCTGAGAGGTATATACTACCAGGTGGCCTTGAAGGCCATGTCTCTCGAGACTGCACGTCCGAGGCTAAGGCAAAATCGTGCTTTAAGTGCGGAAAAGAAGGCCACTTGGTGAGTCTGGTCAAGATCCAATAAATGGTCCAGCCATACTCATGCCTCCTCAGAGCCGTGAATGCCCCGACAACACCGCTACTGGCGGATTTTCCAGCTATAGCGGCGGATCCGGAGGCCAGGAGTGCTACCGCTGTGGCAAGCCGGGTCACATTGCCCGCGCGTGCCCCGAGGCGGCGTCAGGAAACTTTGGCGCGTTCGGTGGCGGAGGGTCGCAAAAGACATGGCAAGTGTGTTTGAATATCATATGATCTGTGTTTCTGATGTCTGTCTTTTCTAGCTACTCTTGCGGAGGTGTCGGGCACCTTTCGCGGGACTGTGTGTCGGGTAGCAAGTGCTACAACTGCTCAGGCCACGTGAGTCCCTTCAAGTATTGATGTATTGTTGCCTCTCTGACGTGAGTGAATTTTAGGGGCACATCTCGAGGGAATGCCCGCAGCCTCAAAAGAGGGCGTGCTACACTTGCGGTTCTGAGGGGTAAGATCCATGTCCAAGTATTGATTATTGTGGTACTGAATAAATCTCGGGTTACACAGGCATATCTCGCGCGATTGCCCACAGACCACCGCGGCTGCTACTGAGGAAGCTGCCTGAAATTCTTTGATCTACGTTGTAGCCTTCGCTCGTTTCGTCTGTGCTCGTCATTTCTTGTATTCTGTGAAGTACTTGCTATCTCAGATGTACTCGCATTCTGCTACTCCAGATATAACGGCGCTCAAGCGCGACATGCGCTGAAATGATGATGATGTCTGCGCGAGCTCGAACGAGCTCGAGGCGGCCAGACGACACTCTAAGACGTTCGAGTGTACTCTGGGCCAGATATCGCCGCAGACGAGCGCTGGTCGGGTACTCCCGTGCCGCTCCGTATCGGCGCTTAGCAGTTGCCTTCACCGTTTTCGCGTTGACCCCTACGCACAGGGTTCATCCCGCCCCCATCCTCTCTCGTGTCTCCTTCCTTGTCGCAATGCAAGCCCTGCGCCTGGCGCGTCCTAGAGCCTCCCTCCGTCCGTTCGCCCGCTCCATCGCGGCCTCGGCGAGTGGAACCCATGCTACGGCCTCCCCCGCGTCGTCCGCGTCGTCGTCCGTGATCCCGCTGTCGAATGTTGAGGCTCAGTGGGAGCAGCTCTCGCACGACGAGCAGCTTACGGTGCACCAGCAGCTCGAGGAGCTCCAGAAGAAGGACTGGAAGACCCTCTCCATTGATGAGAAGAAGGCGGGTAAGTACACACGTCGCGTCTATCACCGCACGCGGCGTGCGTTCGGGCATGCGTGGACGATAACTGACGGTTGTTCATCCTGTGTTCGTGCTGCTGCTGTGTAGCATACTATGTCGCGTTCGGACCTCATGGACCTCGTGCCCCCGTTAACCCTCCGGGCACTACGATGAAGGTGCTTCTCGGTACTTTGGCCGGTGTAGCTGCAGCGGGTGCTGTGTTCATCGCCGTGAGATCATTTGGTACGTACTCAGTACTCTATAGTATTGTATGGCCTTCGTCTAGGGGAAGGTTAACGCGTTTCTGTCGTGCAGCTCCCCCGCCGCCGAAGTCTATCAGCAAGGAGTGGGAGGAGGCTTCAAACGAACGTGCACTGGAGCAAAAGATGAACCCCATCTCTGGTATTTATCTCCCTAATCTACTGAAGTTTCACGTCGATGTTAAACCTGGGGGTTTTTTTTTTTTACAGGTATCTCATCAGAGGGCTACTCCGGCACGGGTTTCGTCACGCACAAGTGATGGCAGAGCATACCATCCCCTCGCTCGATGCCAACACCGATGCTCGTGTTCAGGACGGTGCCCGCTCGATTGCTTGTCATAGAATACCTGCATTATCGAACGTCTCAAGCGAAGAATAATTGCAATCTTTTCCATTCATTGCATGGTGTTTCTCAACTGCATTTCTATCTATCGTGTCCACTGTCGCACTGCTCAATTCCTCCAACCAATCTGGTGGACTATATGCGGACACTATCTGTGAGCTTGAGGCGTAAGTTCATGTACGTCTTGACATCAATTGATAGAAAGTTGTCTCGTACCCATCGGTGTAAATCTCGCACTACCGCTGATAGGCCGTCGGGCATTCCGACAGAGCCGTTTAGCGCCAATGTAATGGTCACTGGATCATTCCGTTGATCTGTCCAGTTCATTTGGTGACTATTCCTAGCAATTTTTGCGTGTACACCTGTCCTCCTTAGTCTGCTTTGCTAATTATATATGGACATGGATGACAGTCGATTCATATCTAGTATAGTCTGCCAGAAAGCGCGGCCGCTTTACCCGCTAAACGGTGGGAGGGGGCTCTCCTAGTGCAGTAAGGGTGCGAGACAAAGTGGAAAGGACCACATCTCGGAAGTTTGATGGCATGCAACAGAGCAATAAAAACTATCGAAGTAGGTCCACAATGTGAGATTATGCTACAGGCCCTTATCCGCGAGACTGCTCTTAGTGTCTTTGCCCTTGTCCGCTTTCTCTTTGTCGTCCTTGTCGCCCTTCTCGTCAGACTTCCCGTTCTTATCCTTCTTACCCTTATCCCCCACATCCTTAGTCTCCTCCGCCTCTGCCCGACCAATGGACGCCTTGTTGTCAACAAGCGCGTGCAGCGCAATCACCGCGCGTAAGAGGCTACTCAAGTAGATAACCAGAAGTTGGTCGTTTGTACTTGTCGCAAAACTTTGCGTGGTTTCGGGGTCGGTGAGATTGGGCAGGAGGTTGAGTGCATCTTGGAGGTTGTAAACAATCTGGTGATTCACTGGCATTCGTCCAGCAGCAACGTCTAGGAGGTATTTCTGGATGTCAGCGAGACGTGATTGTAGACCGCGCAGCGAAGCTAGCTGTTCTGAAACTCGCGTTGCGAGGGTGGTTGTTGTCGAGTCCTTAATGTCGCGTAGGAGGTGCTCGACACCAATTTCCTCTGACTCCTCTGCCTCAATGGCCGACGGTACGTGCAGGAATGTTTTGCGCGTTTCTGTGCCATCCTAAAATACAAGGTATGATGAACAGGCATTCAATGGTAGAATAGACACTCACGTCCTTGATCTCCTCTACGGCGAAGTATGCGTCGGTTGGAATGCCCACTGTTTGTGGCCGTACATCAACAATGACCATCACGGGCCGTGCAATATACCGCTTGAGGAGGTCATTGATTTCCTGGTCTGATGCGCGTAATTTGGGGCCAGTGTGATACCACCCGATCATGCGTTCTCGAGCTGGAGCACCAGAATATACAGTCAAGACATGCCGGCAAGCATCCGGCAAGAACTCACGAACCGTTGACCTTCTTGAACATCTCCCACATGCCTTCAATATAATTGTGGTCGAGGAACCACGTCTTTGAGTCCTTCTCGTCCTCCTCGAAGGGAATACCAAACGAGTTGGCAACATTGATGGTCTTGCCGTTGTCTTGCCCCAGCAAAATGCCAATGACGCGTTTACTTGAGCTTCGTGAAACAGAGCGCGCATGATGGTCGGTTACAGATAGAAGTACAAGCGGGTGAACGACTGTGAAGTGATGATATTAGCCAGCGGCTTGACCGTACGCTATAGTGAACGTACCGACGGTGGTTCCTGACAGGGCTGCTAGCTTATTAAGAGGCATAATGAGTTAAATATGAGCATCGGCGGAAAATTGGGCCGACCTGCTCTGACGTTGTTGCAACCATGATGAACGAAGAATATGTAGATGTGCACTTGGCGAAGGTGGCACGAAATGAGACGCGTACGCGTTCTGGACGTCTATTTGTCCTTGTTGTCCAACGCCCTCTACTATTAGATTGCCTTTTGTGGCGTTAACGCTTTGTCGGTCGTACATGCATGGCATGGAATGCATGCAGTCATGTCAAAGCCATTCAAGGCGTCGTTGAATCAACCGGATACAGTTTGTTGTGTTTAGAGTTACAGGCCGCTACTGGTGACTAGTATTTATGAGCGGCCTTGATCAATGATGCGCTTCAGCAGGCGGCCCTAAGGCTCAGACCCTGTCAAAGCATTGATAAACATAGGCATATATAAGTCGCCAACTTGTACTTCGTCCGCACATCTTTGAGAGGTGTGTGCGACCGAGGCGGCGGGTCTATTACGAGTAGGAAGCTGTTTGTGCTTATTTGCACTCATAGTTTCCACACTTGTTTTGGTAAGTTCCTCGATCACTCAAACTTCGTCTCAAAATTTCCGAGGCTCGTTGTTGTTCGACTCCTCAAACAATACAGCATTAGCCGTTCAGCATTATGGCATTCGGTATGTTTCTATGTCTTTTTGAAGGTACTAATGCAGCATATTCACTGTTGCGGTATGCAATTCTCCAGGAGATTCAGGTGGTCGAGGCGGATTTGGCGGATTTGGTGGACGAGGAGGAGGAGGAGGAGGACGAGGAGGCTTCCGTGGTGCGCCGAGAGGCGGTAGAGGTGGAGGACGTGGTGCGTCTCTTTATGACTTTTCTGCGAATCAACTCGTCTGATGTGACTTCTAGGTGGTCCCCCCGGGAGAGGAGGCGTTTTCAAACGAGGCGGCGACCGAGGACGAGGTGGAGGACGAGGCGGAGGAAGAGGTGATAGGGGCGGTCGTGGAGGACGAGGAGGGGGCAGGGGCGGTGCAAGAGGTGGCGCGAATGTTATCTTGGAAAACCACCGACACCCTGGCGTCTTCATTGCCAAGGGCAAGGAGAGCATGCTGGTGACGAAGAGCATAGCACCTGGGGAGGCGGTCTATGGTGAGAAGCGGATATCTATCGATGGCGGCGTTGAGGGCACCAAGGTTGAGTACCGCGTGTGGAACCCCTTCCGGAGCAAGCTGGCCGCTGGTGTCCTCAACGGGGTCGAGGAGATTTTCATTGAGCCTGGACAGAAGGTTTTGTACCTTGGTGCAGCGAGCGGAACGAGTGTCAGTCACGTAGCCGATATTGTGGGTCCGGTGAGTACCAGCTATCAAACATCTAATCTTTATAAGCTGAGATGGACTATAGGAAGGCGTTGTCTACGCAGTAGAGTTCTCCTTGCGCTCGGGGCGTGATCTCATCAATATGGCCAAGAAGCGGACAAATGTCATTCGTACGTTATGCTATCATCTCTCAGCTACTCTCGCTCATTCGTCCTGAAGCCATTGTGGAGGACGCCCGTACACCCCAAAAATACCGCATGCTCCTCTCTACCGTTGATGCAATCTTCGCGGATGTCGCACAGCCGGACCAGGCTCGTATCGTTGCTCTGAACGCAGAGTACTTCCTGAAGAACGAGGGCAATGTCATTATCTCTATTAAGGCCAGCTGTATCGACTCGACCGCACCACCAGAGACTGTCTTTGCACGAGAAGTCCAATTCTTGAAGGACAACAAGTTCAAGCCCCTTGAACAGGTCACGCTGGAGCCTTATGAACGCGATCACGCCATGGTCACCGGTACGCATCTCAAATGCATTTACCTCGTAGTCAAGCTCATAATGTCCCCACAGCCAAATATCAGAGGCATAAATAGTTCGTTGACTCGTCTTGTAGCTCGTGATTTCTATCCGTCCTGCCTCCGCTACTCATTTCCTTGCTTGTCCTCCATGTACGTGCTGTATGTTTGATCGTCGAAAAGTAGCCTTTCACGTTCTCTATGGTGTATAAAATTATGCATAATGGCCCTTTTTGTGCGCGTTTACGGCGGACAAGTGATGTGGCAGTGAGATCATGATCGAACTATACGTGTCACTGCGCATCCGGTCAAGGAGAACGCGCAGCAGGCAATACAAAGCGAACTCCTCTTTGCACCAGCACCTGCCCGTCAATTGTACACCTGAGACTTGTAATTTACCTTCACGACTAGGCTCCCGGAAGCCATCAGCCAGGTTACCACAACATCGGCGTAACATATGAGGCCGCCCGCAGTCAGTCTTCACATTGGCACACCACCCGAAGGTTCGCCTCGCACCTCATCCGAATTTGAAGAGATCCAGTACCCTGCAACGGACCGCTCGAGCTGGGCTTCGACTCCTCGTCCAGAGGAGGAACTGCCATTGCACTACATGACCGAAGACACAGCTCGCCGGAGGACACCACGCGGACCCAGCAGTATCAACGGGAGCATCGGACACCTCAATCTCTCAGAGAAGGAATACGAGGCGTATGATGATGGAGGAAAGGACGTGTACTCAAAAATGAAAGATATGAAGAGTCCGCTGGGGAGTGGCAAAATAAGGCGTCCTCCGCCCCCGCCCCCAACATCCGTGGTGCGTGTTCCAGGTCATTGCTAGTTGTTGCACCTACCTCAACTGTGCCTTCAGGGAGAGTTCTTCCAACAGAATCTTGAACACATACCTCCTATCATCTATACGCTGTTGTCATGTTGGACAAGATTCTACAAAATCGGGCATTCTAACCTCGTCGTATGGGATGAGGCCCACTTCGGCAAGTTTGGGTCGTTCTACCTGAAACGCCAGTTCTATTTCGATGTCCACCCTCCTCTCGGCAAGATGCTCGTTGGGCTTGCTGGACTCCTCTCAGGCTATGACGGTCACTTCGACTTCGCCAGTGGTGCGGTCTACAACGACACTGTCCCGTACGTGGCCATGCGGGTCATGATGGCGACGTTTGGAGTTGCCATGGTTCCATTAGGTTGGTATACAGCCGTGGAGCTAGGTATGAGTTGGCGGGCATGCCATTTGGTTGCCTTGATGGTCCTTTGCGGTATGTTCGCTCGTAATCAGCATGGCATGACATCTCTGAGGTAGCATCTAGATGTCGCCTGGTTGTGCATATCGCGGTTTATTCTGCTGGACTCAATGCTCCTGTTCTTCACGTTCACTACTGTCTTTTGTCTTACGAAATTCCATAATCAGCAATACCAGTCAGTCCGGATTGCCTAATCCTCCATAGAGCACCGCTAATCGCGAAGTTCTTGCAGATCTTTCTCTTTTGACTGGTGGCTATGGTTGTCCTTGACAGGTGTATCCATTGGCTGCGTCACCAGGTATATAAGACCGTCCTTGATGCATTCACCTTACTAATAATGATCATTCAATAGTATCAAATGGGTCGGACTCTTTGTGACCGCATTAGTTGGATTATATACGATCGAAGATCTCTGGGAGAAATTTGGCGACACACGGATGTCTTTGGTAAGTTATGTAGCTATTCGCTGCAGTTTTTAGCTGACCTCTCATTCAGCGAGATCAAGCAAGGCATTGGGGTGCACGGATTGCATGCCTTATTATTCTCCCGACAATCCTTTACATGAGTTTCTTCAAGGTCCACTTCATGATCTTGAACCACTCGGGACCAGATGATGCGAAGATGAGTTCTCTATTCCAAGCAAATCTTGTTGGCAACACACTGTATCAAAATCCTTTGGGTACGTGAACATGACCACGACGTGATGATGACGTCTCACACTACGGGTAGAGGTCGCCTTTGGCTCAAAGGTTACCCTGAAGAATATGGGATGGGCCGGTGGTCTTTTGCATTCCCATGTGCAGACCTACCCTGTCGGATCTAACCAGCAACAAGTGACGTGCTATCATTATAAGGATGAGAACAACGACTGGATTATCCTACCCCGCTGGGACGAGCCTGAGTACGACGCCGATGGTCCAATTCGGTTCCTCTCCGACGGCGATGTCGTCCGGTTTAGCCATGTGCCGACCAAACGCAACCTCCACTCACACCCTGTCACTGCGCCTGTTTCCAAACTCAACTGGGAGGTCTCTGGGTACGGTGATGGGAAGATCGGCGACTTGCATGATTACTGGGTTGTCGAGGTGGTTGATGACCTTCAGCGCGGCTCGAAGAGTCATGTGGACAAGATCCACTCCCTCACAACTCGTTTGCGATTCAAACATCAGGCACTTGGGTGCTACCTACGCGCGGGCAACGAAATTCTACCGCAATGGGGCTTCAAGCAGATTGAGGTCAGCTGTGACAAAGAAAACAACGCCAACGATATTCATACATACTGGAACGTCGAAACTCATATCAACGAGCGATGTACGCACTGTCTCATATCTTGATTGTGCTAGGCTGATACATGTGTGTCGCAGTGCCCGCGGGCGACCACAAGTTGTACAGCACGTCGTTCTTGCGGGACTTCTGGCATCTCAACGTTGCCATGATGACGACGAATAATGCGCTTGTTCCAGACCCTGACAAGGAGGATATTCTTGCATCGAAGCCATTCGACTGGCCTTGGCTACGCCTTGGGTTGCGAATGTGCGGGTGGGGAGCGAGCCAAGCCAAGTACTATCTTCTTGGCACGCCCACGATCTGGTGGGGTGGCACACTTAGTCTCTACGTTGCCGCACTGGCGTTCGCTGTATACCTGCTCCGTATGCAGCGCAAGTACGTTGACATGGATGCCAGTACGTATAAGATCATTTGTGCAAGCTTTTGTCTTCCTGACGCTGGTTCTAGGAGAGTGGGATCATTTCCTCTATGTAGGCAAGGTCGCTATGCTTGGATGGTTGTTACATTTTGGTAAGCAGTACATAACTAACGATATCGTGGCTGTCACTCATATCGTGTTTAGTGCCGTTCTTGATAATGGGCCGTGTGACCTACATCCACCACTATGTGCGTACGAACCGATATGGCATGTGTAGCCGACACTGACCTTCCTATAGCTGCCTACGCTCTACTTCTCCGTACTGATGGCAGCTCATATGCTTGACCACTTCGTGTTCACCTCGCGGCGCTTGACCGAACGAACAAAATGGATTGTGTTCGGCGTGACAACGTTCGCGGTCGTAGGCGTATTCTGGTGGTTCAAGGGTGCTGCGTTTGGTATCGATGGTCCGATCAGCAACCACTGGGGTCTTAAATGGCTCTCGGTATGTCTTGTCAATCCTCACCCGATCTTGTTTTCTGACTGACGTCTGTGCAGACGTGGAATATCTATGAAGAGTAATACCATTATTACTCTCGGCTTGCCTATACTATACCTTATTTCCTCATGGACGTTGTGCTGCGACCTTGTAGTATTCCAGCATACCACAAAAAATGCTTATTCCTTACGGTTCCTACCTCAGCCGTCATTGTCGCAGGCCTCCATATGGAACCATTGAGCAGAGTAATGCAAAATGCGAATGGTATGAGATTGGACGAGAATACAACATGCGAACTGTAGTATTATGTCCGTGGTGTACCCCAGCCCACCCTGCGGTAGAACAGTAAGTAAGCACAACGATCGTCTCGCTCTGGTCCGCCAAAGACATCGTCTGGACGGATGTCCGACACCAATTCATCGTCTATTCGTACCCAAGCTTGTCGCGGTCGATCGCTGAGGTCACGGTTGGGGTGTAGTACATCGAGCGTATAGTGCCCTCCTGACGCCGACTGTCCATGGTGGTACAGTACTACACGCAGAATAAGATAAACGTCCACAGCCAGGAAAGACGCAGACTAGCTCACCTCCAAATAGTTGGTATTTGACGGGGTGTTTCCGCAACGATGACGTTGGTGAAATCAAGTCTGAATGCAAAATATGAGATACACCTTTCGTATGCACCACCACAGCCGTACCTGGGCTAATGTCCAAATCTGGTCCAAACGCGATTTGCTTGCCGATCTTCACAACATCGCCAACATTGGTATCGTACAAGAAGCGCTTTAAGTGCAGGACCAGAACAGTTGGGAGCGACTCTATGAGTGCCTGTTGAGTTGCCTCCACAACAACTCCTGGACGAGTGGGCTGGCTAATCTGAACTGGTTGGGGATGCGATATGTGTTGCAACGCGTCCTTGATGAAATGCACAGCCTCTCGCTGGAGTAGAATATATCGACCAAATTGTTGAGATAACAAGCCACATGACGTACCTGAATGTCGAGACGCAGCGAACGCCAATCCTCAACAGTGACCGAGTCTTTTTGGTGAGGAGCACAGAGAGTTGAGCGGAACTTGCCGCCGAATATGCGAGTTATCGGTGATTCTGCTAATTTGTTCTGAATGCGCACACATGAGCGTTCGCTACGGTACGAAGAATTGAAGGGACCCACAGATCTGACGACCGCCGTCCGGTTCTTCTTCCCGACCTCCATCCAACCTTCATCTTGCGGTTGACCAGCGTCATTCTCTGGAAGCACATTACTTGGCTGTGGCTTGGGAGCGGACAGAGATGAAGAAAGAGTCGTGAGTTCTTCCTCGAGGGTATCAAGGTAGAAGCCAAGGAATTCTTCCGCGTCTTCTTGGTGTCCACCCTATTGTTCGAAAAACAGATGTCAGCGAAGATACACGAAAAAGAAAAGGGATATTCACGATCATGCTCGCAAACCGTTTCTTCTCCTTCATTGCGTCATACACATAAGACGGGATAAACGACTCAGGCTCATAAAAGTCGTCCTCGCGTTCTTTGCCCTTCGCCTTCGGGTCTGCCTTGCTCTCCGGCACGAACTCGCGGATGAACTGGATCGTCGCGTCGATCAGTGGCGTCGCACGCGAGCCCTCCTTCTGCGTGCCCACCACCGGCCCCGCCAGGAACCGCCCGAGCTCGCTGAACAGCCGGTGGAACGGCGGGCAGTACACCAAAATCTGCAACACTGCATTCGCGAAGCACATATTTCCCGTGTTAACCAGTCCACGCGGTTGGATCTTTAGCGGCACGTTCGCCGGCCCTGGCCCACCATCAAGTAGATTCAGCAGCTCGTTGCGGTGCGGCGAGGCGATCGGCCCCCCTGGCGCGCTGGATGCAGGCGCACCGGACATGGCCGACGCAGGGATCGAGAAGCCGACGACGGTAGAGACAGGCAATCGGGTCTTGGACGACGACGCGCCCGCATCGCCTGACTGCAGGAGCGACGCCCATGATTTCTTCTGAGGAGCGGGCTTCGGCGCGGGGGGCGCCACTGTGGCTGCTTGTGGCGCAGATTCGGCAACGGGTGTAGCTACATCCTGGGCAGGCGCAGCTGGCGCGGTGTCCACGTCCTCTGCCTTGGGCTGTGCCAGAGCCTTCTCCTCGCTGTCCACCGTCGGGGACGGACCAGGCAGGGACACCGACGTCTGCGACGACGCCGGAGAACCGGGCACTGGCGTATCGCCTGGCTGGGAAGACACCGACGTCGTTTCGGTAGCAGACGACGATGGTACCTCCACAATCTCAGGCGCCGCCTCATCGGATGTGGGTACGTCCGATACACTGATAGTGAAAACCTCGTCTGTCTCCGATTTCGGCGACAGCGGCGGAGTGGGCAGGTCAAGCGCCTTGTGGACGATGTCCTCAGGAGGATATGCTCCGGGCGAGATGATAACCCCAGGTGCATGCGAAGGATTGTCCGGCCGCCGCGACCATATTACCCAGCTGGGTTCGGACACTGAGCGAGTCGATTGTTGTGCGGGCTCAGGAGGAGCCAGCAATGGCGGCGTCTGAACAACGTCGGATTGTGATGCTCCTTCCTGGATTTGCGGTTTTATCTCCACAGTTTCCGCGTCAAACTTTGGGGGTAGTGGCTGTGACGACGGTTGTGGTGATGGCTCCAGAGAACCTTGCGCAGGCATGAACGACGGTATCGATGGCTGATGCTCAACAGGTTGTACTGGCACTGGCTGCTGGAACGGTTGCTGGAGTTGTGGCTGCACTGGTGGTGGACTCGGCATGACAGGAGGCAGCATCGATAGCTGTTTTGGGAGAGGCGACAGGGTCTGTACTGGCCACGCGTGCTGGTAAGGCCCATTCGGTTGCGGTGCGTACGAGGGTGAGTAGGGAACGTTGGGTGGTGCATACGGGCCATACTTTTGCGGATGAACGTAAGGGCTTACGGGCGACACGGGCGGCGACGGCATCACTGCAGGGGATTGGACGTTATGTTGTGGAGGAATGGGGTGGTAGTGCTGAAAGTTGGGAACACCACCTCTATGGGGGTTGAATCTCCCGCGACCTGTAGTAGAAACCCTGGGAGACGTCGGCTGATGGTGCATTGGCGCATGCCCGTTCATGGGAGGCACAGGGTATTGGTAGTATGGCGCTGGACCAAGACCATTGCCGTACGTGTACTGGGGAGGAGGAGGGGGCGTGTGGTAGTAGGTCGAGGGACCCGGGCTTGGGTAGGAAGGATGTGGGCTTGCCATTCCTACACCAAAAGGCGTGTGCGATTACGCGGCGGTAAGAACATGCGTAAGCGGACTCGCACGATGCGCAAGGTACTCACAAATATAGATCCAAGTGTGTCCGGTCAGCGACTAAGAGTTCAGGAGGCTATTTGCTGCAGAGCATCCGCTTGCTACACGAAATGGGATGGAGAAAGCGGTGAACTGGAGCGTTTCTCCGCACGCGTCGACAGATCGAATATTCTGACTTTGAAGAGGCTCGCAATCAGTACAGGAGAAGACACTGTGCTCGACGACGGATAGAGGGCGATGCGCGAGAAGAATGAGAGCAGGATGAGCAGGACAGCGACGAGGAGTCAGTACTAGTACTGATGTCCTCGCGTTCAGAGGACACAGATTCCCAGGCTCTGGTCCAGCCCCTTTGCGCCATATTGGGAAATGCCACAATGATCGGGCGGACTGTGACAACGATCGTATACTCTGCCACCATCTTCTTGCAACGATAGAGGCTGAGCATGCTCTCTTGAGCTACTCGCCATGGACGCTGTTCTCAACGACGACCACCCACTTGCCCTAGAGCTTGCCAGCTTGCGCAACGCAATCGCACGCTACCAGGTGAATTCCGCAGACCTCACTTGGTGGTGTCTACCTTCAATGACACGCTCCTCTACTAACCAACAGGCTTCCTTGCCAGCACGAAGCTCATGCGACCTCCGTCAAGCTGCAGCGGCACTCGCTGGACACCTCATATGCTCTTGAACGTACCCATGCGCTCGAAAGCGAGAATTCGCTGCTGAAGGCGGAACTGGCTGTGCTGCGGGCGCATCCCGAGATTCCGCCGCACCCGGCCGCTCTCCAAGTTCAGGAGCTTACCATTGCCCACCGCCGGCTCTCTGACAAGCTCACGCTGACCGAAGGCGCCCTTCTCGAATACACTGCCGAGCTTGCGCACGCTCGGAGCGACGTGACCAAGTCACGACATGAGATAGAAGCCACTAGCAAGCTCGTGGAACGGTTACAGACAGAGCTGAAGGATGCGCATGCCAAGGAACGGGAACTGGGGAGGAAAGCCCGCGCGGCTGAGGAGGAGCGCAAACTTTCCGACCTTGTCGTGCAAGAATACGCGGACCTTGTGCGTAATTTGGAGGGCCGTCCAAGGCCATCCACCCCTTCCGCATCCACCTTCTCCCTGGACAGTGCGAACAATAATTCGAGCGCCACGCTTGTCGACAGTCTGTCCGAAGGCAAGTCGGGTTTACAGAAGCTCCTCGAAGAGTTCAATAGCGAAACAGAACGGCTAGAAACGGAGATCATAAACCTGCAAGGACAGATCAACCAACTTCAGGTACAGCTTACAGCGGAAAGCAGGCGGGCCGAAGACGACAGGGTCGAGACTGCGCAGGCTCAATTTGAACTCGAGAAACATAAGATTGACGATAACACTGCAGCGAAGATGGTCTCGCGGTACATGTAAGAGTCATTTGCCACCATTCTGATTTGATGTGCTCCAACTTGTGCTCAGGAAGTTCTCGCAATCGTCCACTGACTCTCTCCAGAAGGCGATGGAAGGCATGAAAGCGCGCCATACCGCCACCGCAGCTACACTTCGCACCGAGGTCGAGCACTTGCAGAAGGCGCTCCTTATCGAGCGCCGCCAGTCTGAGAAGCTACGGCATGCGCTGGACGAACTCACGGAGGACATCTCGCGTGAGGCATATGGCCGCCGGCGGGAAATTGCGCTGCGCCTCGCATTTCTGGGGCGTGAGGAGCATCTCGCAGAGGGACTACGGCGCTGGATCAGGCGGGCACGCGAGGCGTTTGAGCGTGCCTTGCATGCAACATTGAACAATCAGCAAGAGGAAGCGTCCGCCTCCGTCATCGGCGGGGTCTTTAAGGCCATTATTCGGGACGCAGATGACTTGCTAGACTCCTTGAATGGCCAACCGTCAGCAGAAGGTGATCCTCTCGGTTCCGTCGCGAGGATTGTAGTGGCTCAGAACGCTGCGTCCACGCTTGCGCGTGAGCTCCAGGCGGAGACAGACCGAAGACTGGCGTTGGAGAGGCAATGGGCGCAGTATCATGTCACTGGGCACAGTACCGCAATGACGCAGGCAGACCCCGCTGTCCACGCTGAGCCCGTTCCTGTTCCTGCGCTCCCTGCAGCGAACGGCGATGCTCCTCAACAGGATACACTCGAGGTTGAACGGCCTCTTCCTGTACGGACCTCCTCATTGACGGTTACTGCTCCTCAGCAAGGCACCGGCACCGCCCCGCCCCGGGAAACAACATTAGCAACGAGTAACATCCTCTCTGGCGCTCTTTCAGAGTCTGTACCCTCTAGTCTTGCGACTGGCTCTCGTGACACCGACCTCGCGCAGGTGGAGCAGGACCTTGAGCCCTCGCGGGCAGACTCTCCTGTGGTCCCCAATGCGCCGGATCCTGTTTTGACGCGGGAAACCGTCTCGCAATCTGCACCTGCACCAAACGAATCATTGGCGCCGGTGGACCTCCCTGCTACCGCCGCGGTGCTGCGCGATGAGAATATCTCGAGTGTACGGCGGACGATCGAACAGGTGTCTGCAGCACCAGAAACTACCCCGGAATCTGGTATAGCTACTTATGATACATCAAAGCTGCCTTTCCCTGCCATATCGGAGGACACCTCTGAGATGTCAACATCTCCTATTAACGTGTCGACTCTTCTGCATTCAACTACCCAGGTATTGGAGAGTACTACGCCTGTAGTACATGTCAAAGCGTCAGCCAAGGCACCTGTCATCGAAGTGTTCCCATCTTCCACACCGGATGTTTTCTCGCCTGTCACAACTTCTCCTCTGGACGAGCTGAAGATCTCGCCCCTCACATCGCAATTGTTGAATGGCGAATCGACAGGTAGCCCCTCGTCACGGAAACTATCATTGCTGCCCGAACTCCTCCAAGTGCAGCATAGATATGATAGTCTACAGCGTGGCTTCCGAGACTGCAACCTATCTTTGAAGGACATGAAGAAGGACCTCTCTGGATTCCCTCATGGTTCTGAGATGGTACTCGTCCTCCAGAAGGCGGTCGAGCGGCTCGACGACTACAACGAGGACGTACGTGTGGAGCTGGAGATCCGAGTCACGGATGAAGCACGAATCACATCCGGCTACGAAGCTTTGCTAACGATACCAGGCGCCATGTCCGACGAGGTCGATCAGGAGGAGATGGAAGTCGAGATACAGGCGTTCGTCGACGGCACGGACAAGGCCGTGGCGAAAGCGATGCAGCTCTTCTCGCGCAAGCTGGACGATCTCGAACATGACATCGCTGCCGTCAAGCGGTCGTTGCACGAGCTGGCCTCTACAGAAGAGCCACATCTTGCAACAACTCCCGCCAAGTCGCCGTCATGGACGTCCTGGACTGCCGGCCTGCTCAGTCCGCCGCGATCTACCAGCCCAGCGCCGACCTTCGGATCTGTCATGACCTCTCCTCGACTCCGCCAGACGTCGTTCTCCCATCCCCGTAAAGCGTCGGACGACTCCGCGAGTGGGAGCCCAGATCCATTCGCAAGTCTAGGGCTCCGCATACCAATGCCTGCGCACGTTGTGCCAGCGTCGCCTCCGCAACCAGTGAACGCACGACAGCGCGTTGCCTCTGCCACTTACATGCTTGGTCTCGGCGCGCGGAGCACGTTTGGCTTCCCGTCGAAGCCTTCTGCGAGGTCCCTGACAAGCGCCGTAGAGGACGCTAAAAGCGGTGAGGGAGACCCCGACTCTGATGTAGAATGAGTTTTATACACCAAAGTAATACTGCGTATATGTATCCATCTAAGTTATGGGGACTACTACAATGCTTGTTTTGATGATCGAATTGATCTAATGTTTTCGGAGACTTTCCATAATGAGTCGCCCGTCTGACGAACGTGAAGTCCGGCTCCGAGTCCAGTGTAGCCGCTGCTTTCTTAGCCGCGTCTACACCCACTAGTGTTCGAGGGCATATATCCCTTCCGATGTCCACAACCACCAACACACAAACCCGTGCGACAGGTCAGCGAGGTCGTCGCGGCAAGGGTCGCGGCGGGTCTCGAGGATCACAGCGGGGAAAAACAACCTCGTCCACAGCGCCGGAGACACCACAGCCCGATAGTCTCCCGGCCTCGAATTCCATGCAGAGTGCAGCAAAAGACGACCCGGCCACGGAAGAGACTGATGATGATGCGGTATGTTGGATATGCGCGGAGCCAGTGAAGTACTACTCTCTGTCCGAGTGCAATCACCGGACGTGCCATGTCTGCGCTCTTCGGCTGCGAGCCCTCTACAAGAAACAAGAGTGCACATTCTGCAAGGTGAGAACCATGGACGATCTCATTGATGTCCTTCATTACCGGGTGCACGGCTTCAAGCACTAACGTTGTTTGGCTTGCATTACAGGAACCACAGCCCTCCGTGTTATTCACCAAGTCCGCGGACACACCATGGTCGCTCTACACTCCAGACATGATCCCGTACAAGGATCCTAAATTATCAATATCTTTCGAGACCCAAGAGATGATGGAAGAGACCCTCATACTCCTCCGTTTCAATTGTCCTGACGCCGAATGCGATTACATTGGTAATGGCTGGAGCGACCTCAAGCTGCACACCCGTGCGGTGCATGGAAAACTCATGTGGTAAGCTGACGCCTTCCCTTCATTATACGTGACTCAATGAGCCGTGCATGTAGCGATCTGTGTATTCGCTTCAAGAAGATCTTCTCTCATGAACATGCACTGTACCCCCCGAATGTGCTGCCTATACATTTACCATCTATGCACCGTTCCCATGGCCGTGGCGCAGAATCCAAGCAGCAAGTGGAGGGCGGTATTCACCCTCTTTGCGAATTTTGCCGAGAATGTTTCTTTAGCGACGACGAGCTGTACGCGCACATGCGAGAGAAACATGAAGAGTGTTTCGTGTGCAAGCGCCACGAGGTCAAAGACCAATAGTGAGTAAATTTGCGTAATTGACGGGTGTAAACATGACTTACAAGCTCTCAGCTTCAGAAACTACGATGCTTTGGTGAGTAATGTCATGTCTTGAGGGCCTTTCGAACCTATGTCGATCCGACCCTGCCTCAGGAGCAACATTTCATGCACGGTCATTTCCCATGCATTCAACCGCAATGCCTAGCGCGCAAATTCGTGGTGTTCGGGTCTGCTCTGGATCTCAAAGCTCACATGGTCGAAGAGCATGGCGCAGAAATGTCAGCCAGGGACAAGAAGGACGCTATGCGTATCCAGGCGGAGTTTGAGTTCGAAGAGGTGGGAGGTGCAGGCCGACGAGGCAGGCGCGATCGACAGGGCCGTGAACGCGAGAGAGAGCCGCCCCCTCTACCTGTTATTTCGGCGCTCGCAAGGGGTAGTGGTGCGGGTGGTCGACGGCGAGAGGCCTTCAGCGGCAACTTGACACTGGATAATCCGAGTACCAGTCGAACGCCAAACGGAAATACACTTAGTCGCAGTCAGCAACCCAGTCGACGACAATCACCTTCCCCACCCGAAGCAGAAGCGGGAACTGCAGAGTGCGTTGTTTCATGGTGGCATTGTGCATGCTGGACTGATACACCGCTACAGACGCAGTCCCGCTCTAGTCGCGCGAATAAACTCGTTGGCACCGAATCCAACCTCTGCCGTCCCGGCTATTCAAGCTGCGATCCGCTCGTATCGCGCATCTGAGTCCGGAGCCAGAGATCTCATATCAACGGTCTGGAATATCCTCGACCGCAACCTCGATGGGAGTGCAAGCATCGTTAATTTGTTAGTGGACGGCATGGACGAGGAAGAGAAAAGGCGAGACTTGTTGGCCGCATGGAACGGCTTCAAAGTTGAGGTACGTGGTTCCTATAGCCATCTCGGACGAGTGTGTTAATCACAATGCCAATCAGCAACGCGGACAATTCCCTGAACTTGTCCCAACCTCCACAGGCACGCAATGGGCTGGTGTCACCAGCGGTCGTGTTCTGAATGCCAAGCACTCTACTGCATCCCGCAGCTCTGCACAATCATCGAGACAGCTATGGGACCGTGTCGCACAGGCGGCAGGCTCGTCTTCTTCCACCTCCTCTATACCGCCGGCACGACCTCCAGAACGCTTCCCGCCTTTACAGCCGCCAACCACGAATCCAGCATTTCGACAATCACAGAGGAACACCCCTTGGGCATCGTCAGCTGCAGCTGCTACGCCCGTTCCCATGCGAGGTCCGACCTCAGTGCCAGGCCCTGGAGCGACTAGCCGCTCTACACCAACATTGTCCAAATCCGCTTTTCCAGAGCTCCCTTCGTTGACTGTCAGCCGGGTGCCAAAAAGCGCTGTCAGTGGAAATCAGTCTTTGAAGAAAATTCTCGGCGAGTCCGTCCCTGCCGTACCCGCTTGGGCAGGCAAGAACGGTGCAGATCCCAGTACCTCATCAGCCGCAGGCGAATCATCGGCAGAAGGCGGCAATGCACAAGAATCAACCACTGGGAAAGGCAAGAAGGGCAAGGGCAAGCAAAAACAGACATTGTTCACCTTGGGTTCGTTCCCTACGTAGAATGAGACGGCATGTTTCTCGGTCGAAGTCGGTTACAGTAATAGTCGCTGTGGTATCACGCTCTCATTAGTAGTTTACGAGATATCGACGCAATCGAGTACAATTCGTGGATGAACCTCAGTTCTGAATTCAAGATTCGGAGACTTGACGTATAAGGTCATAAGATTGCCTGGGAGGAAAATAGACTAGAATATGATAACTGTGTTGCTGAGAGGACCGTGAGTCTGACAGCGTATTTACGCATTTTTGTCTACTCACCCCCGCAATACACCTAATAATGGTGAGGCCATAGGCTCGGCAGATTCGAGACATCCTACTGCGTCTTCATGAAGTTCTGATCTCGAATCTTCCGCCTATTCTGCTTCCTTAACATGTACTTCTCCGCCTTGCCTCCGGGACCATCATCTGGCAACTGCTTCGGCTCGAGCAACTTCCACAGCCATTCTGGATACGCGTCGTCCGCCATCGCAGTAACAGGCTGCTGGTTTTTGAGATAGGACATGCCCGTCAGTATTGTGCCCTCTGGACAAGATGATCTTGAAACGGCTAGCAAATGCAGGGCGTCAGAACGCGCTGCAGTAGACATACAGATGTACGGACCTTCTGCACCATCCACCTTCTTGGCTTCTGACGCAATCGCGGGTGCGGCCAGTGCAGCATCCGCAGTTTTGCTGCTGCTAGCGAAGCATCTTCGGGCAGGATACCAGGCGTTGAATACCGGAGGTCGTCGCAAAGTATGAAGGAGGGACATTGTGTGACTTTACACTGGTGTGACGAGACTTAGGCGTGGGTTGTCACGATAATCGGGTGCCTTGTCACACGACGCGACAACTCGCATGTATAATGCGGATGAACTACGCAAGCGATGTGTATTGAATCAAAATATAGAAGGTGTAGAATACGAAGTCTATATGACAATAATGTACAACACGAATGCAACGAGGCTGCGCTCGCTTGACGACTCAATGTAAGGCATGCTGAGACCGCTCGAAGTTTGCGCATTAAGACCGACGGCCGCGTGTTGTGCGCAGAAGCCCAATCGAATGCTGCATGTAGACTCAGACGCCTGCAAGGAATCGAAGACCCACGGGACCCACCACGATCAATGTAGCAAAGCGTCCTTTTCGTGATCTGCCGCTGGTACATGCGTGATTGGTGCATTTGCAGGATGCCCTCGACGAATCAGGGGGGAGGACGGAAGATATTTCTATCTCATCGTCTTCAAAAATATCAGGCTACTCCGTGTGTTTCAGCATCTGTCTGATCACAGAACAAGTCCACGAAACGCACCAGGAGAAAGCTAGAACGAAACTCGTCCGACTCTGGCTCTTCATATCTGTAGTCAACAGTTTGCTGTACATGGGAAGGGTTGAGGCTGTAATCACAAGAATACCCGAGCCCGCACGATTTGACCTACCATTAGATCCTGGTGCTGCGTGCCGTGTCTTTTGTGTGGCCTACAGTCTGAACGACATCTCTGATAGCTGCACCCACGCAAGGGAATATTGTAGGGTCTTTGAGAATCTTGGACAAGGGAGTGGAATTGCGACTCTGAGGATCGCATTTTGGGTTCGCTATGCAATAACGAGCGCATGAATGACGGTCAAACGAAAGTTATCGTTCAAGGTCGAGTCTGAGAGAAGGATGGGACATGCTCCGGAATCACTCTCTTATATCTCGGAGCGATGTGAAGTGGTGACATCGCAAAGGGTACATGAGGCGTCTGAGAAAGTGGAGGCATCTACATGCGGACGGGAAACGTGCTGTATTGGGTCAAGATGACTAGGTGAAGGTAATGACGCGCATCAGCATTGATGGTTCCAGACTAGAAGGTCACGGTGTCGACCAGAAAAGGAGAGAACCCTCGATCTACATGTCACTGGTTCCTCCCATATGGGGACACAATGAATCGAGTTTGCGAACATCAGGAATTTTAGCAAACAATGGTACTGATGGCGCAATAACTAAATGACACAATGCGCCGCGGTCAGAAGTATGCAGAACATCCGATGGTCCTAACGCGGGCAGGACTTCATGGTCATTTGGATTAGCCTGAAGTCCATCCATGTCGTCCACCGTGATCTCTACAGCTCCTGAGGGTCCAGGTACGACTGTATACACGGAAGTACTCATTAATCTTACTTGAACAACGGGCGTACCTTCATATGACAATGAACTTTGATTTCGCCTCCTCGTCAATGACCGGGTCGTGGCTTGGCGCAATTCTGGGAACGCAGACAGAAACTGTCCCGGATCTCGTCGAAACCCCAGCCCGAGTCTCATTCTTGTGTCCATGTATCCAAGTGCCAGCTTGTGTGAAAGCCCTATTGAGTATGTGCACCAGTAGACGCGGAGCGCTGCAGACAAAGGAGAAGACTGGCTGATTCAAAGTCTAAAGGCCAGGCCGCTAGAGATATGGATCATCTAGGATCATAGACCGCAGCAGTAATCGAAGCAGCATGCAAATGAGATGGAGCGGGTCCGTGCACACCTCAAAGCGCCCACATTTACTTTTGTACTCCGCGCGAAGCCCCAGATCGCATCGCTACTCGATTTGATCGCATCGAGATTGTCTTCCTGCTCGCAAGACGATGTATCATCTTGTGTACTCGACGATCTTGTTCAGATGACCAAGTAGTAAGATACAATCCAGACTGCTAATCGGATTCCTCGGCTTCATCAATTTGAACACCTACTTCTCCCCTGATGCCTTCAATGCCGTAGTATGGTACTCGGTCCCTGTGCCACCTGCCAAGCAACCAGTCTACCCGACATAACCCTGAACCTGTAGCTGAGGCGAGAAATGGCGCGCCTGCAAGCCCATTGCCATCATTCCAGACGACTCGCTGCACAGCAACTTCGCGTGGCCATACACCGATGCCGGTGGGGATATCCACGTTGGCCTTGGTTGCTGCTGTACGATCCAGTATTTCCTGAGTATTAAACGGAGATTGTCAGCCAGCAGGTCTACGCCTCAAGTCAGAAGACCCTACCTGGGGCAAGAACTTCTCTAGCATCCGCCATTCACGATCCTTACGGCTGTAGTCTAGCTGATAAATCTTGTGCACTAAGAATGGCTATTTCAAGTAACACCATCAATAGTAACCTTATTGTGGCTCGTAAAAGCATATTGTGGCTTACCACTGAGCCGCCTCGTCTAGTCGCCCTGAGTGTGTTTGTGGTCAAACAGCTACCATCGGCCACACCGATGGCGAGTTGGGGCTGATAGTCAGATGCGGCGACACTCTGTAGGAGACGAATGAGCATGTAGTGAATCCATACTCAGTACGGATGTGACATACCCAGCTTGGTCCCTCGGGTTCGACGATGGTGTGTCCCCTGCCCAGCATGCTCGGGGACAGCGAATACGTTTTGATCATGTTTTCGTTGTCAACCGTGACTGGGCCTCCGCAGTATGTTGAGTAGCATAGCGCGTTTACGACGTCTAGGAAAGCGTTGTTAGCTTCATTACTATGAAATCCAAGACCAAGCGCCCACCTCTTGTACGATTCAACAGGCTCCCTGAGACTTCCCTGATGTCTGTGAGACACTCAAGGCCGTCGTATCCGCCACTTGCGATAATGGTTGGGTTGTCGGCGGTACGCTCTCCGGAACCGGAGGACACTGGCGTACGTGCCCATGCCAACACCCGGACAGCCGACTGGTGCACCGTGAAGTGGTGAGTTGGAAGTATGTCTAAATGTCTTAAATCAAAACAATGTCGAGTACTGGCTGTCATTAGGCTGCGCACGTCGAGCATCGCATTGGCCGGTCCTCAGTACCTCTCCGATGTCGTATACAGCAATCGAGCCTGTGGTGGGATGTCAGTGATGGCAGCGAGATAGAAAAGGCATTCTGACCGTTCGTACAACCGACAGCTATCACCTCGCTGTTGGCCCAGTCAAAGCCCCAGCACATTGTCTCCTCGAATTCGATACGTAGTAATGGCTGCGTCATGCTCACTGCACGCGCCTCGGTCATGAGACACATCATAGGAGCTGAAAATGGGTTTACTCACCAAATATGGGCTGAGAGGGATCGTGGTTGTCTCCAAGTGAAGCCGCAAGGCTAGCAGGGTCAGGGACCGCGTAGAGCGAAAACGAACCGTCTTCAAATGTACCTGCTAGAATGCCGAGCTTACGTGGGATTAAGTTACTACCGTCAGCCTGAATAAGACAACGGTTCAGACGTCGTAAATCTGCGTCAGTCCGAACAACCAACAACTTTCAGCTCACCGGTGCAGGATCGTTTGCTGGGAGCGGACACCAACGTAGCTCAAATGCAGGGCCGCTCTCAACGCAGAGTACTAATTCGCATCGCATCTCCCCAGGGTCGTTGCCTCCATTGCCATCGACTTCCATTGCATCATGTGAAGGGCCTAGAGACCAGATTTGTATGCATGCACTGGCGGGCCTCTGAATTCGGACCCCTATGGACGGCGAATACTCGCTTGAGGGAAAGGGCGCAACAGCTAGGTACTGCTTATGCCCATGACCTGCTGATGGGTTTGTACAAGGCCAAGGTGTTCGACGAAGGCAAGAGACGTACGAGGTCGATCATCGGGATGTATTGGGCACCAGGAGAGACCCCAAACAGGTGCCCCGGGATTAAAGACGTGTGACTTGCTTTTAGGAATGAACTCCTCTGGTTCGTCGTGCGTATGTACTCCCACTGCACAGTAAAGACTGAGCAGCCTCACCTATTCGACGGGCCTCAAACATCTTCATCATAACACGGGTCTGCTTCTCATAAGGGCCGAAAGAGCACGGGACTGGAGGAGGGGCCTTGTACTCCCCATTCTCTTGCGCATCTAGGCCGGTGGGCAAATACGGCATTGCGTCTCTTCATTCCCCTGATCAAATTCCGATACATTGCTAAACAAAGAGCGGCTGGATATACGCACTCCGGTGTCAAAATACGGCATCCCTGCACGGTCACCCCTGCATGCACCCTCGGCCTTCGACACCTCTCATCTGCACTCACCTCCCCGTCGGTGGTCATTGACTCTTTGAACCACCCTCGGTCCTCCATGAGTTCCCACAGAGGACCTGGGCCAACATTATGCCCCCACGACTTACCCACACGGTCAGATATGGGGGTAAATGACCAATTGTTGGTCAACGAGACTGTTGCAGGTCGAAAGGGAGCAGGAGGCTGCAGCAGACGTTCCACAGGACCACCTCTGTCGTATAACGGAATTGCGCGATGCCTATGATGTAGGCTGGGAAGTACATAGTTTTGTCGCGAAGAAGTCACGATTCCCGGCACGCCAGAGACATTCTTCACTTTTGCATTCGTCTTCTTGCGCTGAGGCCCTGGAGTAGAGAGAACTACCACAGAGCCTTCGATGTCTGAGTCTGAGAGTCGACCACCATCTCCTGGTGCATCTTCATCCTCTTCTACAACATCATCGTCCATTTCGTCGTCCTCTTCAGCTGCATGTTCTCGTGCATCCTCAGGGGCAAAGTCGCTCCCGCTGTCGCCTTCTTCGAAGATGGGCGCAGACGCGTTCGAGGGGCCGGCACCATCGTCATCAAAATGAATGAGGGTCGCGTAATTTGGGCGTGAGGCACGGGAGCGGAGCTGTCTGCCCATGGCGGTCAATGCAGGAAAGTCGCGATCGAGGACGCGTCGGGGCGCGCAATGATACGGGCTCTGTGTTTGGCAGGTGAGTTGCCCAATCGGGCGTGTAAACGATTATACCTCGGCCGTCCTTGATCTCGTGCCTCGGTGGGCTTCCACAGATTTAGGAATGGCGCTGTGTCTGCTGACAGATGCCGTGATCACGGCTGCCGCATGATGGGGATTAGTTGAAGTAGGTTCGCAGTGTACACTACCCACTGCTGACCTTGTACCGGTAGACAGCATTGACTCCATGGATTCTCGATTACCCAAATCGACGAAGGTGCTCATCCTGCAGAAATCTTCCCCTGAGCGCAAGCCAATCTATCATGACGTTATTCTCGAGGAACGCCCCATACCTGCTCTGAAGGAAGGCCAGATATTGGTCAAAGTCAATGCCGCGGGCCTGAACCACAGGGAGGTACGTCACGTTCAGTTATAGTGCCTGCCTCAAAGTACTAGGTCTGTAACTTCACCATTGTATAGATATGGCAGCGCAAGGGACAGTACCCAGACACCACCCTTGGCTCCGTGATGGGTGCAGACGGTGCCGGTACACTAGCAGTTAACTGGCCTTTATCTGATACGTCGGCTGATATGCACGCGCAGGTACGGTAGTCGCATCAACCCAGCCCAACGACGATATCCTAGGCAAGCGGGTATTCCTCAATCCAACGCGAGGCTGGGACTCTCACCCAGATGCCCCCGAGTCCAGGTGAGTTTTCTCATGTCTCAGAGCGCGTGACGTAAGACCGTTGTATCTTTCAGATTCAGTATCATTGGTGGAGGAAGCGTGATTCCCATTGGAACGTTAACGCAGTATGTTGTCGTCGAGCGTGAACATGTTATTCCAACACCAGAGCATCTTGATGATGAGCATGCGGCTGCCTGGCCGGTCGGGGGTGTGACAGCCTGGAGGTGAATATTGACTTCCTACAACTGTATGGACTGACCGCGAGCTGGACTAGAGCTGCAGTTGTGAATGCTCGTGTACAAAAAGGCGACAATGTTCTAATCACGGGCGTAGGCGGTGGTGTCGCTGTATTGGCGATGCAGATCTGTCTTGCACACGGGGCTAATGTGTATGTGACGAGTGGTTCGGAAGAGAAGATTGCCAAGGCCATCGCTCTCGGTGCCAAGGCAGGCGTGAACTACAAGACCGGTGAGTTTATGTTACGAAAAAGCTCTCAGCGCCGTTGCCTCAATGTGATGTGAAGAAGGATGGCATATACAGCTTGAGCAGGTCCTGAAGAAGAGTAGCCCTAAGAATCCGCTGTTAAGTGCAATTATCGACTCGGCTGGAGGTGATATCACAACTCGAGCCAACAAGATGCTTAAGCAGGGTGGTCGCATTGTCGTCTACGGCATGTGAGTGTTGGGTGCTTGCGACTTGTAACAGAGCCTTACGCGCTTTCTGTGGCACGTCTACCTCATAGGACTGCTTCTCCCCTTGTCCCCTTCACCATGCGTGAAGTTCTCAAGAATCAACAGTTGATTGGTGAATTCATCTTTTGTCGGACATTCGCTACCATATTGACGCTGACTGATTGTCAGGCTCTACAATGGGTTCATGCAGTGACCTTCGTGCTGCAACGCAGTTCATTGCTGACCACTCCATTGTGCCACTGGTATCCCATATTGTCGATGGTCTTGAGAAAGCCGAAGACGCATTTGAGCTCCTTCACCGAGGCGAGCAATTTGGCAAGATTGTGATCAGTATTGACGGTAAACCTATGAGACGGTCTGTTTTGTAAACCGCGATATTTGGGAGGATGCCCAATGAGATCGAGCTAGATGTCCGTTGAACATATTCCATGTTTGCTTCTGTGTTACATATGACAAACCGATATATATATCCATGTATAAACATGTTACAAGGGCGCATGGTGTAGTTGGTTATCACATCCGCTTAGCACTTGAGTGTATTTGCGGGGGGTGCTGGGTTCAATTCCCAGTGCGTCCAATAGTTTTGCCTCTCCTCAAGGAGGGAGTCTTTTCTTCATCTGAGACCGATTCTCTTCCATTCTAAGCAGACATTTAGAGTCCATTGAGTACATACACTCCCCTCGATGACATGGAGGCGATGGAAGAGTTAGGCAGGTGTCTATTTCCGAGACGAGTGTTTGCTGTGGCGCGGGCGCTCTGCTCGTTCAACTTCAACAACTCTAGCTGTGCCCCATCTGGATTCTGCGGTGACATAGAATCGAGTTCGCCGATATATCCTGTGCTGCTCTAACTATACTATGACCTGTGTAGTCCCTGCTGGTTTTCGTTCTCTCCCGCTATCCGTCACGCAACTCTCACTTAGCGCAGTGCTGCAGTGTGGCCAGTCTTTCCGCTGGAGTATTTTCCCGCTGGTCATACCCTCGATCTCCCCTGGCACAACCCTTCACTCTCCAACACACGAGTATCGCCTGTGCTTGCGTGACCGCATTGTCTGTCTTCGTCAATGTCCCGACATACTCTTCTACCGTTCGGTGTTCCCTAACACATCTGGCGAACTGGACTTAGAGGTCTTGGCTCAACGAGAGAAGGAAACACTTGCATGGATACACGACTACTTTCAGCTTAATGTCGACCTGGTGAGCCTCTACAACCAGTGGGGTAAGCGCGATCCGGTCTTTCAGAAATGCAAAGAAAGGTTCAGTGGGATCAGAATGCTGAGGCAGGATCCCTTCGAGAATATCATATCGTATGTGTTCATTTAGATTACAACATGTGTAATTACGAATTTTGAAATAGGTTCATATGTTCGTCGAACAACAACATTGTACGAATCACGAAAATGGTCAAGGCGCTCTGTCAGCGTTATTCACCTGCACTAGCCACAATTCCACCCCCTGACATGGCACAAAATACATCAGACGAGGCCACCTTGCGGAATCTGCCGCTCACCGAGACATATCATCCGTTCCCGCCGCCCTCGGCCTTGGCTCGGCCAGAAGTTACGGCGACCCTTCGAAGCCTCGGCTTTGGCTATCGTGCAGACTATATACAGAAAACATGCAAAATGCTTGTTGATGCCCGCGGGTCGGGGAATATCCAGGGTAATCAGGTTGAACCAGCCGAAAGCTGGCTTCAAACGCTCAGGAACCTTTCTACGCTGGAAGCGCGAGATGAGCTATTAAAATTTGTTGGTGTTGGGAGAAAGGTTGCAGATTGCGTCCTTCTTATGAGTCTAGACAAGGTATTCCTGGGAGGCTTATCTTTCAGTGCTATGTGTTAATGTCCTCGTCCCGACAGCATGAAGTCATACCCGTTGACACTCATGTCCACCAGATCGCGGTTAAGCACTACGGCATGAGCGGCTCATCAAAATCCAAAATGGCCATGACACCTAAACTGTACGACGAAGTGAGCAACAAGCTTGCAGCCGTGTGGGGAGACCACGCGGGATGGGCGCACTCGGTTCGATTCCTGTGTCATCGATTGACCTTATCCTCCACGACTCACATACCTTCTTAGGTGCTCTTTACGTCCGATTTGAAATCTTTTGCTTCCTATGGCCTCCCATCGCCATCTCCGTCGCTATCTACACGGACAGAGACTCTGCAACGTGCGGGTAAAACGGAACAGATGGATACCATGATGCCTCCCTCTACACCAACAATTGGAAAGCGGAAACGAGGTCGACCGGTATCGTCTTCGATCAAAGTCGAGTTATCATCAGCCGCGGAACAATCATGCGATATCATGGTTCAAACACGTTCTCCACTCGCTTTACATGATGACTTTGGAGAACATACTAGCATGGTCGACCGTGTGAAGCAGCGACGACGCAGGGTGATATAAACGAGAGACGCGCTTATGAACTAGCATCCGTGCTCCGCGTGGCGTTACTACTATTTGCATTGAACTATCAACTGCGTTATTATACTTTGCAGTTAATCAATACTCAGCACTGATTATTACACTGTCTTGACCAGACCAGCGAGGCATACGCCACATGTTTTGCCCATTGGTCATCACCCGTACTATTAGGATCGCACAATTACACTGGTAGGAGTTTATCCCTCTCTGCCGGGTTGTGAGTAAGCTCATCGAAGCCTAAATCACAGCATTGTGCATATGAAATATAAAAGCTGCAGTCCGGTCGGAAAAATGAAGCTGTCAGAACGCTCTCGGAAGCACTTCTCGTATTAATTGAAATAGTCGCAAACGTACTGACCCTCAGTTTCCGTGCATGCTACCGACACAAGCGATGAACATCGCGTCCCTGTCAGCACACGCTGCATATGTTGGCACTTAAAACTTTCACAGATGCCCGTCCGCTTGCGCCTAAAGTGTAGGTTTTCATTTGTTAATATAACATGCCTATGCTACAGCATGTGCGTTGATAGAACACCCTGGAGAGTGCTGACAGGACTGATGTGCCTCGCACTTTTTCGACGTTGTGATGCCATGGAAGTTCCTTCCTTCAGCCAACCTTGTATTGAAGAGTGAATGCTGGTGTTAGAAGGGCTTCTAGCACAACCTATTCTCACTGGCACAAATTTTCAGTGTCGTGACTGTCTATAAAGTATGGACGGCTGGCTGCGAACACTCACTGTCGTTGATCTTGTCCTCCTCGCCACACGATACTCCGATATACCAAGAGCAGCATGCGAATAATCGACGAATTGTACGTCTCCACAGTTCGTTCGAGATTGACGAGGTTAACGTTCCCATCAGCTCTCAAGCGTTGGTGATGACCCGTTGTTTCTTGCTGGTCTCAATTAGTGAGTATTTGACAGTATCCGCTGCATGGGCACAGCCACAACAGACTGACGGCATTTATCGAGCTATCTTACTTTTTGATTTCTTCTTGACACTCTCAGCGGAAATACAATATTTCTGGTGGCGACGCAGAATGTCCCTCAACTCCATATTGTTTTTCTGTAACCGCTACCTGACGCTGATTGGGGAAATCCCGGGTGCACTCGAGTCTTTCAGTTACTTCTCTGAGGAAGTGAGTTCAGTCGGCTCTTAACTCTCTGCGATCCTTGTCTTGATCACACATATCTCGACAGGGGTCAGCTTGTCATCTATCATTGGTCTGCTTATTGTTTATGAGATGATCGAGATAAACAGGTGTCACCAATTACGGGTCTATGATCAATGCTTTCTGATGGTCTCGCAAGGCATTATTGTGGGTAAATGGATCTCAGTATTGTTGAAAACGACGTTGGCCTGACCCCTTGTTCCACGATTTCAATGCATCAGTTTTGTTGGGGATAAGAGTTTTCGCTCTCTACGAACGTAGTAAGAAGGTACTCGTCTTGCTTGTGACGGTTTATGCAATCATGATTGCTGTAGCAGTGGTGAGCCCCCGCGATCCATCTCAACGCAGAGTCTAACTGTGCACTCTAGTGGGCAGTCGTCACAAGTCAGGTATCTCGTGACGGGGCTGAACTCGGGACAATTCTCCTGCCAGCATGCGATCTCACGTTGACCTTGCAGCAGTACGTGGTCACCGGTCCCTTTTCGACGAGTCTCATTCATAATCATACTCGCAAAAGCTATCGTATGCTCCTCTGCGCCTCATTGACTTTACTCGACGCTTTATCTTGATCAAGGCTTTGCGGTGCCTGGGGAACTGAGCTCTTTTGCGACCTCGTGATCTTCGTCCTGACACTGTGTAGACTGGCGTGTATTGTACGTGTATGGACGGGAACTCTATCCGAGGTAATGCTCCGGGATGGTAAGCCAATCACGCGTCTCTGAATTACACTAACGAAATTTGAATAGGTGTCTTATACTTCGGAGCACTGGTCATACTGCATACATCAAATATCGCGGCTTTCATCGTATGTTATCATTCTACGATGGTAGACGTGACATCGGCGATTGACTCCCTCATCAGTTCGGTCCCGTATGTCTTTGACCGTGATTCTCAGAGCATATCGATCTGACTTTACTCAAGCCTGCGGCGAAGGGGATGCTCACGACGTTGACAAATGCGTGAGTTCGTGTGATGTATTTCTTACGAGATTATATATTTGACCTTTTCAATGACCGTAGAATCTCAAGCACACTTGTCACCAGGATGGTGCTCAACATTTGGGCTGCAAATCACAAGATGGCGCATTCATCATCATCGATGAATTCTGGTCCAGCAGCGGCTTGTCCTGCTCTCAGAGAGCAATGAAACTGATATTTCTGCTGAATGGTTTGATGCGGAGGAGCTATGCACAGATACCTGTGCGTGCTTCTAGTATCTTGGCGACCGGTTGTGCTGAACAGCCTGAACTTATGTCAGGATGCTTCCGTTGGATTCCGCAACGGAATTTCACCGCACTCTGAACCCTTGCCGTTCATAGTAACGCCTTTACCTAACACAACATCAAGCTGTAGCTACCATTGGACTCGATGCAGTATCGTTTCCATTATGTCATGTATTTGATTTCATCGTGTCTATCATATGCTGTCACTTCGCCCTCATACATTGGCGCAAGGGTGTATCTACCTCTTTCGCCTTGCATTTCATTAATTCGCTGGATCCGCCGCCACGCGACTCAGATATTGCAGAAGGAAGAAGATTTGTCCTTTTTGTAACCGGATTACTGGCATCTATCTTAAAGGCGAGCTGAGCATCGCTGCCATGACCCTACGCTTGTATGATGATCACAAGCTGAGAAGAGTATCAAGCATTAACACTGCCTTATGTTCCTCAATCTGCATCGATATGAGTTAATTTCAAGTTACGTGTCTCCTTTCATGCGGTGGCCGACGAGGATAATACTGTTGCAGCTCGAGCGCCATACATGATCACACTACATACATAATACCGACTGGAGTCGACGGCGCTTCCACGTTGGAAGACGCGTCACAGAGGCGCGCGCTCGTGGTGCGGGCAGGGCCATACTGGACCTTATCCCGCAGCCTCTCGTCCATAACTATGTCTTCATCCAAGGCAAAAGAGAAGCAGGTCGCCGAGCCCGACGCTGACCAGGACAGTGTCGAGAACGTCGAGGACGTCGATGACACTGGCTCAGATATCTCAGACGACGAGCAGACCGCGACTGGCTCCACGCTTCCTGAGGGCAATACGCCATCCACCTCAAGCAAGAAAAAGAAGAAAAAGCGGTCAAAGGCACTAAAGGCCCTCAACGCGCTCCGCACAGGACATGGAGATGGGATCCCGCAAAAGCTGGTTGACGCGGTTCTGGACAAGGTGCGCGAAGAAGGCGGCGACCAGGCAGCGTCTGCGGATGCAGCGACGGTACGACTGGCGCTGGAGCAGATGAAGATCAAGGATGTGATACAGGGTAAATCAGGCATTGGAGGGCTGAACAGGAAGGATGCGGGTGATCACAAGGTTCGTGCTATAACAGCTAACAGTGACTAGTCCTCAACGGTAGAGCCTCTCTAGTTTTGGACAACGCAGCCTGTACCTCAGCTTGGTGGGTTTAGTCCCTGTACTGTATATTCGTTTCTCATTTGTTGCAGGCGAGGAGGCGCCATCGGCGGATGGCTATATTGAGCCATCGAAACCGCGAGAGGAGGTGCGACAAGAGCCATACCCACTGCCCAAGGACTTTGTGTGGTCCACAATTGACGTTAATGACCCTGCGCAGGTGAACAATATTAGTTCTTCTTTGGTCTCTCAATATTTATGCCTTTACTGCAGCTGCGAGAGGTGTACGAACTTCTATCCGCGAACTATGTGGAAGACGACGATGCGTCGTTCCGTTTCCAGTACTCGGCCGAATTTCTCAAATGGTCGGTACGCCATGCACACATACAAGTAGTCCCTCTAATAGTGCTCGAAGGGCGCTGCAACCGCCAGGATACCATAAAGAATGGCTCGTCGGTGTGCGGGTCGCCTCGAACAAGAAGCTGGTCGCGTTCATTACGGGCGTGCCCATGACCGTGCGGGTGCGGGAGAAGTGAGTCGCTGCTTGCGTGCACGGCGACGCGCTAGTGACGATGCGATCGCGCAGCACCTTCAAAGCGAGCGAGGTCAACTTCCTATGCGTACACAAGAAGCTCCGGTCAAAACGGCTCGCGCCCGTCCTGATAAAGGAGATCACTCGACAGTGCCATCTGAAGGGCGTCTTTCAGGCACTATATACGGCCGGCGTGCTGTTACCCACGCCGGTCACGACATGTCGGTGTGTGCAAAACGTCTCTAAAGAAATCAAACGCGTCTTGATGCGACTGGCATCTGCAGTTACTACCACCGCTGCTTAAATATTAAGAAGCTCGTCGACGTGCAATTCACAATGGTGCCGCGGAGCATGACGCTCGCACGTATGATACGGCTGCATAAGCTTCCGGACAGCCCGCGCCTGCTTTCGCGTGGCTTACGAGAGATGGAGGAGCGCGACGTCGCGCAAGTGCACGAGCTCTACTCACGATACACGAGTCGTTTTGGCATGTCACACATCATGTCTCCAGAAGAGCTACAACATCACCTCCTCAGCGGCTTTGGTGAGGGCCCCAGAGATGTGGATAGCTGGAAGACGCCTCGCGAAGGTCAAGTCATCTGGACGTACGTTGTGGAGGTTGGTATACACGCTCGCTGCTTTGGCGACGGACTGAATTGTCACGCTATCACAGAACCCAGACACGCACAAAATAACCGACTTCATCTCGTTCTATTCCCTCCCCTCGACTGTCATGGCATCGACCAAGCACAGCCTGCTGAAGGCGGCGTACCTCTTTTACTACGGAACAGACGTCGCGTTCACCGATCATGCCGAAGAAGATGGCCGCCTCAAGAGGCGTCTGGAGGAGCTCGTAGCGGACTTGCTAATCATAGCAGACAAATCCGGCTTCGACGTTGTCAACACGCTGACGATGATGGACAACATGCAGTTCCTCGAAAGCCACCGAGTAAGTCGCTTTCGTCGTGCGGTAATGCCCAATGAAGCTGATGTGTTTGCCTGCAGTTCGGGCAGGGCAACGGTCTTCTCAACTACTATTTGTACAACTGGCGCACGGCACCCCTTGCGGGCGTGACTGATGTAGACGGTGTACCAGCAGGAAAAGGCGTTGGTGTAGTAATGCTGTGAGATGTCGCTGTGTAAGGATGATATACGGGATACCAAATGTAATCGCGCATACGATATCTATGATGAATTATACAATGCTTGGTCACTATGTAGTGTTACAAGACGTGTCCTCCTTGCTCGGTTGCAGTGGCTCATGAACCGATGCAATACTAACATCGGGATGATCAATTGTCGAAAGTATGCCTGGGTTCGACAAATACCAATACATGCGAAGTGAGTCCTCTGGTCAATCGCTGTCAATTTCAATGATGTCGTCATCATCGTCCATGCCATAATCAGGCGATGGACTGCGCTCCTGAACCTGCCTTGCCTTGTTCCGCTGGGGCAAGACAGGCACAGACGCCCCGCCAGCGCCCACTGCATGTGGCCCTGACGACGCCACTCTTGAGAAGGCCCCGGGACGTGACGATCCCAGTGCCTGGCCGCTAGGTCCCCACGAGGTCGCGTTCTCTTTCTCCTTGCCTTTGCTGCTCGAGGATTGCAACTGGGCGGTAGATCGTCCACTCAACGTGTTACCTGAACCTGTGAACGTACGCGGCTGCCATTGGGGTAAGTACGAGCGACAAGAGAAAATAAAAAACCTAAAACAACAGACCTCCTCTTCAGTAGACTTCTCGCTAGGAGGGACATAGGGCGGAACGTTGAACCCGAAAAACAACTGGCCAAATGGAAGGTTCAGAGGTGCAGGGGCCGTTGCATCAGCTTCAAGGGCTTCGCTCGTCACCACACGATGTTGACTGATCAACAACGTGAGTACCTTGTATACGCACAGAAAACTTTGCTCACTCTGTTCTGATAATCTTGCTATCTTGCGAGACCTCCTCGACCTTTCTATGGCTGATACCTTTACCCTTTGTCTTGCGACCGCCCAGGGTCTCTCCCTTACCCTTGAAACTTTCCCAATGGTCGCCGCCCTTGCTCATAGCAGGAGTGCGAGAGGTGGTACCAGCAAAGTTACCGCCGAGAGACGATGTAGGGCGGGATGATGTTGGGGTCTGAGAGTTCAGGTCAATGTTGAGCTTCGATGCCATAGTGGACGCCACGGCTCTGGGGCGCTCGGGTTCAACATAGCCGACTGGAGCTGCGAAGTCCACTTCGAGATCGGTGTCAAGAACACTGATTCCCTCTCCGCCAGGCTGCGTTTCCATTACCAGCAACCCAAATACTATCGAGTTATACGAGATCTCGATAATGTCGCCTTGAGTGAGTGCCGTGAAATGCCGCAAGGCTTGTTCAAGCCTGGCCACGAGTGTGTAAGTATATGATGCATAAAGGAATACATAATCACGCACACTGCTTTCGGGTCAGATATTTCCAGGAATAAGGTGCTTTGCGCTTGGAGCTTGACGAACTTGCCCTTCTGTAGATTGCAGCTGTTCAGGCGTATTGGGTCACCTTCTTCCAGTCGCAGTGTCTGCATCATCCAATGCGGTAGATGGACACAGCCTTCCTCGGCAATGAATTCTAGGACACCAGCGTGCGTGGATGCTGCGGGATTGGTGGCGTTCTGAAGTTTGAACATCCATGCAGGAGTCTCGAGTTCCATCGAAGATAGAGTAGCAAGTGCAGATGGAGGCATTATGACTATAGTTTCAGCGGTGAGCTCAGACGGATAAATGGTCATAAAAGTATACATACTCTTTCCACCGTAACTAACGTTGTCTCGTTCCTTCCCAGGGAGCATCGCAACACTATAGGCCTTGTAGTATTCATCAAAGCCGCGTCCAGGCGGGCGACCCATGCGGTAGCCCATTCCTGCGCCGAATCCTCTACGCACATGAGGTCATAAACATGCGAGGCTCAAGAGTCCCTTAATATGATGCGGACTTACTGGGTCAATTGTGCGAACAGTCCTGCCGGACCAGGGCCGAAAGGATTCTGATCATCGAACTAGGAGCAGTGAGGGAGTGATAATGGTCTGGCGTTATGTTGAGCTCACCATATCCATGTCGACGATAGTTAGAGTTGGGAGGAAAGTAAGGAATGGGGTACGCGTACTTGATCGACTTAGGAGTTGTGGCACCGACGTAATCTTGGGTCACGTGAAATACATCGAGCGCGACACTGAGATTCGCGTTAGCGCGCGAGGTCAATTATCCCGACCTCGACTGTCTGCTTCCTACACTTCCACAATGGCTGCCATTGCACAACAGACGCAATCCCGCGGGGGGTCTAACACTGCCTTCAATGACAAGGTAAATCCAAAATATTTCATGATCACCATCCACGTCTAAGATTGTTGTGAAGGGCAAACCCATGGAAGTGCGACTGTCGAATATGGTCGCTGCGAAAGGTTCGTCTGCTCCTGTTGCAACCCTTCATATATTGCCGGGATTTATGTCAAAGCACGTCAGCGATCAGCGATGCAGTCAGGACGTCGCTTGGGCCCCGGGGTATGGACAAAATGGTGCGTGCTAAACGCGAATCATACTTGAAGTCTCGCCAATGCCATATTTTCCAGATCCAAACACCCAAGGGCGAACTCATCATCACGAATGACGGCGCGACTATTTTGAAAAGTATCCAAGCTCTGCATCCTGCTGCAAAAATGGTACAGATCTCTCAACAATCGTGTTGAATTAAGGTCTAATACTTCAAAAAGCTCGTGGATCTGTCGGCAGCTCAGGACGTCGAGGCCGGTGATGGGACGACATCTGTCGTCGTGCTGGCAGGTAGCTTCCTCGGAGCGGCAGAGAAAATGCTGCAGAAGGGCATGCATCCCACCATTATCGCCGAATCGTTCTTGAAGGCATCTGCGAAGGCGGTGGAATACCTCACAGAGATCTCAACGCCCATTGATCTCAGCGACAAGTCATCTCTTCTCCACGCTGCTACTACCTCCCTTAACTCAAAAGTGAGCTTGCAGACACGGAGATCGCTCGGCTATGATTGCTGATCTGGTCGTGCCAGATTGTGTCGCAGTATTCGTCTACCCTTGCGCCAATAGCAGTTCAGGCAGTGCTCCGTCTCGTTACCCCGACCTCCTCGAATGTTGACCTTCGCGACATCCGCATAGTCAAGAAGGTTGGCGGCACCATTGAAGACACCGAGCTGGTAGATGGTGTTGTCCTAAATCAGAATGTTGTTACTGCTGCGGGGGGACCAACACGGATTGAGAAGGCAAAGATTGGTATCATCCAATTCCAGCTGAGTGCACCCAAGCCTGATGTTAGTTCGCCCAAGCGTGGTACGTCTTCCGTACTGACAATTTGCACCACTGCAGATGGACAACACGGTAGTGATCAACGACTACCGGCAAATGGACAAGGTCATCAAGGAAGGCAGGCAATACCTTTTGAACATTTGCAAGAAGATCAAAAAGGCGAACTGCAACGTCCTGCTCATTCAGAAGTCTATTCTGCGTGACGCCGTCGATGACACATCGCTTACCTTCCTCAAGCGCTTGAACATCCTCGTCATCAAGGACGTCGAGCGCGATGAGATCGAGTTTCTCTCGAAGAGCTTAGGATGCAAGCCTGTCGCGGATATCGAGGCATTCACCGAGGACAAGCTCGGCTATGCTGACTTGGTCGAGGAGACGAGCCACGCCGGTGCGAAGGTCGTGCGTGTCATGGGTGTCAAGAATCGCGGTCGCACGGTGAGCATCCTTGCTATGGGAAGCAACAACCTCGTGCTCGAGGAGTGCGAGCGCAGTCTGCACGACGCGCTATGCGTTGTCCGCTGTCTCGTGAAGAAGCGGTATGTCGTTACCGCCGCTGGTTCCTCGGATTGAAGGTTGTTGACATGAGTGTGTAGAGCATTGATTGCGGGTGGTGGCGCGCCTGAGATCCATGTGTCTCGACTCCTGTCGCAATATGCCCAATCGCTTAAGGGCATGGAGGCGTACTGCTTCCAAGCCTATGCCGATGCTCTGGAAGTTATTCCTACAACGCTTGCTGAGAACGCTGGTCTCAACCCGATCGCAATCGTCACCGAGCTTCGGAACAGGCACGCGATGGGCGAGCGCAATGCTGGTATTAATGTGCGCAAGGTATGTACAGTTGTAAACGTGTTGTTGGAGCGTAGATTAACAACGTTGAACAGGGTCTCATCTCCAACATCCTGGAAGAGGACGTTGTCCAGCCTCTATTGGTGTCGACGAGCGCGGTGGAGCTGTCGACGGAGACGGTCTGTCTCTTGCTGAAAATCGATGACTATGTCCAAGCACGATAGACTTGGGGTTTCAAGGTAGATAATATCACATTGTAATCATACTGACGTACCGCATATATTGCTGTCATGATCAAGGACATTGCGAGATATACACATGACAAACAATCAAGAAGTCTCATGACATATCTAGTACGATTCTGCCAACATCCCCCGGATCATCTTGAGCAATGAATCATCTTGGCATCGCAAACGCCAGAGACAACTGTCGTCATCGCTTGCTTTCAGGCGAAGTACAGCCACCCGGGAGTCTTGAGCTACTGAAGGCAATACTAGGATCTTCAGTTCGCCTGCGTGTGATTGGTCAGCCCAGTATCGTCGACGTGAGGATAACGGCCACCCACCTTTAAACGGATCTTGATCCTCCGAAATGACCTTAAGACGACGTTGCACCCCCTGCAATCGTCGCACGACGGCATCGATAGACGCCTCGCACCATCCTCGGGCATTGTGATCAGCAAGACGATTCCAAACTGTTTCAAAGTCTGGCTCCGATGCCTCCAACACGGCTGAAATTGGCTGCATAGGCTCAGAGACGAAGGGCGAGTCAAGAGCGATTAGATCGACACGAGTGGCCTGCCAAATTGCTGAGCTCGTTATGGCGAACAAGGCTGATTTTTAAACTTACGGAGTCATCTTCATCCAGTATTTGCACGACGGGTAGACTGTTTGCCGGAGCAGGCGAGCCCTATGCATATTGAGGTTTTCTCTGAGATGTAAGTGGGGGGAAATGGCTTCTTACAGTGGACATTGTCTTGAGGTCTCTACGCGATGCGAGTGCAAGGTCTCCAGGTGTGATAGTCCGGGCGAGCCCATCTTGCGACTCGCCGACGAACTTGGAGCTTCCGTCGTCTGAGGCTCGTGAGCTGCTGCTGCTATAGCGCCGGAGACGCGGAGCTGGCTTTGGAGGCTCGTACGCTTCATAGCGTAGCTTCTGTGTGGGATTAGATGTGCGAGATACCGAACGTTCGGGCGATTGTGCTGTATGCAGAGAGGGTGAACGGTTCGAAGATGACGTGACACTGGGTGCTTGCGCTTCCAAGGCAGCCAAAAAATCTGGGAGCTAACTACAGGTTAGGTCACAAGTATCTGCGACCCTATGCAGCACAGACTTACAGAAGTAGATCTCGCCGATGAAACGATGTCTCGAAGAGCTCTTTTGTGTAGGGACAAATTAATAAACTGATCACAGCGCTATAATTTCCGATTAGCAACAACATACGTGATAAACGGTGACACCTCACCCGTCTGATGTACCTTCCGCTACGTTCAAGCAGCTTGCGTACCGTGTCGATGACCTCGGTTGGCACGTCGTCACATTCGGCTGCAAGACGAATCATGCAGAGTAGGCAGGCATCTTGAATAGATACTGGAGGTCGATTTGAATGTGGCAGTCACGAGAAGGAAGGAATAGTCACACCTGAGTATGATGAGAGTCGTCTGCTAATCCCAACAAGAAGGTTCATGGGTGACGTCGGTGAAAGCGACAAGAACTCAGTGACAAGCGCAACAAGGACAATCATCATCGTGGGGCCTATCTGGCTATCTTGTGCAATAACACTGGCGAATAAGCTGCCGATGCAACCGCTACGGAATGAAATATCCGCTAGATGTTATCTTATTAATCACCCTTTTGGCGACATGTTATACGTCCTACGTACCATCCCTGATATAAACAAGCAGTTCTTCAACAGTATCTTGCAATACGTGCCGCAACTCCATGGCTGTGTCGCCCTCCACAGCTTGTAATATATTCTTCACGTGCTGAACATATAGCTCGCTATCCCCGCTAGATATCACTTCGATGATTTCTAGCAGTCTCTTACACGTCTCGTCTGTGTTGTGCATGTGCGACAGCTGCAGGTCACCCTGGAGTATGCGCGAGTAGTATCCCTCCACAATAGCGGTCTCGATTCGTTGTAGGATGCGTAAGGTCTAACAAAAGGGTAAGTGGTGCGACACCCACTGAACCACTCGAGCTGCTGACCTTCTGGCGAATGCATCTATCGTCAGAATCGAGCAGCTTCATTACGCGCTCCATCTCCCATTCTTCCAGAACTACAGGAACATCCGAGTCAGTGCCTGCCCATAATTGGCTATCGAGGCACTCCAGGCAAGCGACAAATAGATAGATGTCATTTGGCTCATTTGATGTTAGCAAACCACGTATGCCCTCAACGAACTTCCGGCCCCTCGATTCTTGCACAGCGGATAGTAGCTCAGGTGAGGTATTCGCTAGTGCCAAGAAACATTGATAGAGGGCCGCTGTGGAACTGCATAAGCATCGAGCGAAAACATGCGACTGTGACATACCGTACGCGTGGCGGCCTCTCTCGGATGATGAAGTGATGATTCGGGAGATGAGCTTCAAATCGTCCTGCGACAACCTATTGGTGTTGGGCGGTTGAGGAACTGAGCACAGGTATATGAAGTTTGTACACACGAAATAATATGTAAGGCATTGATGATCTTGAGAAGTAATGGATTCTTGGCGGGGTCGGGATGATTACGCCATTCGGATACGAGAAGCCTTGATAGGAGGGCATGGTACTTATCTGCTGATATCAGTCCTGCCTTGTAGGAGTCAGACTTGAGACACAAGACAAAGGAGAGCAACATACCTTGTTCGATTCCGAACAAGCTGTGAGGGCTGCGCTGACGACCACAGGGTCCGAATCAGTCAGTCGTTTTTGCAATTTACTGGTGATTCCTTGAAGAATCCCTGGACTGTAACGGGAAAGCCTCTGGAAAGCTAGCAAGGCGCGTCGCCGCACATGCATCCTGCGTTTGGGGTTTATAGATTTGAGCCGCGGATCAGATTGTGGGTGCTTCAACTACATACTGACGAGTTGTGAGATAATAAGTCGGTCAGGCGAGACTGTATGGCAGGAATCACGTCCTCGGTCGCAGATTGTATGAGGTTATCGAGTGCAAGACAGATGCGCGAAATGTCAATGCTTTCCAGATCCTAGAGGGCATTAATCAAACACTTCCATACAGTGATTCATGTGATGCACCTTGCGCAAGGTGTTCACGAGCATTAGTTGCAGTTCGTGGTCGAGCGGCATAATCTCCTTGCAAAACAGATAGCCTGGGAGATATTCCGGTCATTGGGGGACATGCCGTATGCATAGAACATACATACCTATCCTCTTGTCCTGAACGATCTTGCCACTCTCAGCAAGAGTGATAGCATGATGTAATGCGAAGTCAAGGTCTATGTCTGCCGAATGTACGGTCGTCGTGCAATACAAAAGTATTATCAAGTATTCTTTGCATTGTTTCTGACCTGAGTCAGGATGCGAAGGATAACATAAACACCAGCGACATACCAAAGTCAACGTCGACCGTGCCAGTTGGTCTCGGACGGCGTCGACCTCGTCCAGGAGATATTGGTCCGCTACTTGAGGAGACGGCGCTGTTTCCACTTTCCGGACGAGAGCATAATGAGCCCTACTAATTGCACCTGAGGAAATGAACGGCACGTCCATCAACAACAGCACTTGAAGGGGACGTGGATGTGGAAGGCGGACGAAACGGACAAGCTCATTAGTAAGTGATCGAGAGCGCTTGAGTTGATGAGCTCGACTCAACCATGTCTTCCTCATCTTCATCCTCGTCTGCCGCTGCGACGGCCCATTCATTCAATAAAATTCTCAACCAGTTCAAGCTCTCATCGAAGATACGAACTATACATGATATTGAAGAGTCTGTAAAGAAGCTCCGGCGACTAATCCTCGTCGACGGAATCCCATCTGCGGTGGCATGTTCAGCCCCGAGTCGATCAGGATCTCGCTAACGCGCCCATAGGATACATCCCTGCGCCCTAGGATATGGAAGATCCTACTACGCGTACAGGACGTGTCGGCAGACACATTCCTGGAGTACGTCGCACGAGGACCATGCGAGGTTCGAGAGAAGATCCGGAATGATACTTTCAGGTGTGTGCCGCGCCAAACGTACGTATTTTCCAAGGCACTGAGTTATCCTTAGAACTCTAGCAACAGATCGCGGGTTCAAGGAACGGGTGAGAGAAGACATGCTAGTGCGCCTCCTAGACGCGTTTGTATGGCGGAATTATGGTAAGTCCTTCCCACTGAGTTGTGTGGGTGTTGCGAGATTCATTGCCACCCTTCTAGACAGACAAGACTCAGAGACGCATCAATTCGGCTTCACGTACGTGCAGGGAATGAATGTCCTTGCTGCACCTTTCTTGTATACAATGCCGTCCGAGCTGGAGGCGTTCTTTTGTTTTGCCAAGTTCATTGAGGAGTCATGTCCCCTCTATGTACAACCAACTCTTGAGGGAGTGCATCGCGGCTTGAAGGCATGTTATAATTCTTGCGCTAATACAGTTCTTAGACTCACACTTACGCAGCTGCTTGACCGTTGCCTTAAGATCGTGGATCCGGAGCTATATGCCTATCTGCGTAGCAAAAATTTGTCCGCAGAGATCTATGCGTTCCCATGTAAGCGTCCTCATGTATGCTGTTAAATTTGTAACTTACTATTCTCTACTTCTCTAAGCGATATTGACATTATGCGCATGTACACCCCCACTCGACCAGGTTTTGCAGCTCTGGGACTTCCTCTTGGCGTTTGGGGTGCACCTCAACGTACTTTGTGTCATCGCACAACTCCTCCTTATGCGAGATGAGGTCATGAACTCTTCGAGGTGAGGACGCCGTACATTTCTCCAGCTTGGTCGACTCTGATGTTGCGCGCGTGCAGTCCCATGCGCCTACTTCGCACGTTCCCTCCGCTTGAAGCTCTGCCGGTCATTGGCATTGCTGTTACCCTAGTCCGTGATCTCCCGACAGACCTTTATGACGAGCTTGTACGCCATCCGTACGCCGTGCAAGACCAGTAGGCGGCTTCCTCTTCCAATTTTAAGTTACTGCATGTCTACCGTATGTCTACCCTGCATCCTCGTCGCTATGTTGCCTCGCTGTTTTGCTTTGTGCGTCTCAATTGTATCTATAATGTATGGACCTGCATGTTTTCGACTATCATAAGGAGATGCGATCCGTGGCGGACGGCACTGTCTGTCAGCAATAGCACCAGCTCCATTAGTACCGAGCCAAGTCACCAGAACATCTAAGTAGCATTCTCTTCATTGCTTCTATTAATCACTGGTAACCTATCAATGTACCCAGCTGTGAGATCAAAGAATGTCCATAGCAAGCCGTGGGTTGTGATGCTTCTCAAGGCACTGACTCCCAGACCACGATACAACCTGGTTAGCCCTGTCAATATCGGCTTCGGCGCATTTGGATCTGGGCCTTCAAATCGAGACAGTACGTGAGAACGTAATATCACAAGTTCACTGGGTCAAAGGCAATCTCACCTCGGATCAGTCGGCGCAAGGTCTCCCATGTACCCCGCCGCTGCTCTCCAGCCAACGCGCGCTGCTGAACTTTCGTCTTGACGCTGCATACATCTGTCGTCAGTGATCACAGATTTTGCCAATTCAATTCGTCCACTTACACGTCAAGAGGATATATCAATGCCCATGAGGTGACTCCTGCCAGAGAGCCGCATAGGAATGGAACCGTGGACAATGGAACGGGCATCCAAGCTGGTGTTGGACCTTGCTCCCCAGATTGTAGACGACCCATCAGGTGCCGCAGACCATCGTACTCGAAAAAGTACAAGCCGGTGCCCACCGTATCTCGCACTGAAACATTCGTTTAGAACACACCTGATTCTCAATGCGATATGCCTGCACTCACCGAAATGGAGGCGGAAACCGAGATACAGGCCACCAAGGCCATATGTTCTGAATATCTCACGAACAGCATCCATAGTACCTGGAGCTTTTATTATACGCAAACCCTTGCTTGCAGCGATAGAGTATTCCAGCTGCCGGCGAACCTAGACCACTTCCGAATGAGCATACTGCTTAGCCCGTAACCTCTACAGGCCGACCTTGACAAGTTCGAATGCTATAAGTCATGAGCTGGCGTTACAACTATCAAAACTGTAGGTACACTTACGCGCACTCCCAAATGATATCAATGACCCGGATAGGGCACCTCTGCCCCGTGGAAGGTAAGTTTGAGCAGTGACTAGCATACATGGTAAAAACTCACCCAATGCCACCAGTTGAGGCCACGTTCAGTAGTGTATTATGCGCTAGCAGATGATGATCGCGGAAGTACTCTTTAGTACTCGTATATATCGTGAATGATGCCGCGCCTGGTTTCAACTAAGCTGCAGTTATTGAGGCCAAACACAAGAGGGCAGAATACGCACGGACAAATGAGATTGTCATCAATGGTATCCATAGCCCACGGTAGAACCCAACGATACCCTCCTCTCTATACACCTGCGCGGCTAGGCTGTGGATCGTTATCGGGGTGCGAATGGTCTGCAGTCTGGACTTGATAGAGTCCAGCTATACATGCGGGTCAACTTCTAGGACTTGCGCATGTATGCGGGAGTGGTGGGTACGAACAGGATATCCCGCGAATGTTGAAATGTAGCTTGCTGACACCGCACACACGACGGCCTTGTTTCCTGAAAATAGACATTACTATACGATACCGAGTCATGCTTGTAGTTTGTGGATTACTTCGTAAGGACTCATAAAGGGCGGCAGAGTCAAACAAAAAGCCAGTTGGGCTGCAAGGAATGGCATCGTTATGGACGCGGCGTACTCATTTGCTGGTGTGTTGGCCCACCTTGCTTCACTCATAGGATGCAGTAACCGGGCCCGTTAGAGTCCAGCTTCGTGCGCCAGCACGATGTTTTGAAGTCTCAAGCAACGCTGTTTCAAGTCTGCCAGGACGTCGCAGTCAGGGCTTGGTGGATGTATGATCCGGGGTGAAATTCAATTGGGCCGCGCTGCCAACACCAGCATAATTCACTCTAACAAGCAGTCTCAAACAAGCGCCCAGCTAAGTATATAGCTCCTGTGATTTCCGGGTTTGGGCTGGCAATCGACGGTGCAGGGTCAGGTATAGTCTGAGTACATATATACACAACATGCACAGGCGGCACACTACTGTAATGTAAACATGTGGCCCATACGCCGATCCCGATAGCCATATTAACACCTGCTGCCTGGATTCAAATGGTATGAGCTTGTCCATAGATAGTCCCTCAGGATCACGTAAACGCACACCTACATTGAGGCTGAGAGGACAGGGGATCAAAATCCACCGACTCTCTTCTTGACAGCTTTCTTCTTGATGGGGCCTGGACGTCCGCCATGAGGACCGGGAAGGACCTGCGTGCTGGGCATGGGCAGTTGAGACGGGAAATCTTGACTTGATCCCAATACGTCATCGATAGGCTGGCTGTGCCCATTTAACATGTGCTGCTGATTGGAGACTGCGCACTGTGCTTGCGTGATAACAGCCAGTCCTCTTGGACCCGTGGGCTGACTTGCCATTATGACAGGGGGCATCACCGCCGCGGCAGGTACTACTGCAGGGGGCATTCTGGGCTGCGTTGATGGTTGCGTCGCTGAAGGCATGTCATCCATCGATCGTCTCCTAGGGTGGTGGGCACCGGCTGGCATCAGTTTTGTGACGCCATCTTGGTATGGATCTTCATAATTGTACGCATACGGATCCGCACCGACTCCCCACTCCTGCAATAGTAGATGGACGCCCGGCGGACAGAGGCCGTCTGTGCGTGCTGCGTCTTGTTTCCGAGAGTCCATGTAATAGTCGATAGACCCCTTCGAGATTGGACGCAAAAAGCCAAACTTGACGGGCGGCGGCTCCGAGTCTTTGAGCGACATGGCCTCGGTGGCGCGAGACATTGTCTCTAGAGCGTCGTCCAAACCTGGATCAGCGGCTGCTTGAGGACGCACGGGGGAAAACACGTCCGAGGCTAGAGCGAGATCGAGTACCAGCTGTTCGCGGGCTTCGGACTCCCTCCTATAAGACGGCCCTGGTCTTTCAACGTCAGAATCCAGGTCATAATGGCGGAGATGTTCAATTGTCTCCTCGTGCTCATGACCCAAATCGGGAACTTCGCGGCGTATGAAAGGCGATATATTGATGTGCCATGCAGCTCCGCGCGCGACAGGTTTGACAGGAATGCGATCTTGCACTAATGCACGGAAGCCGCGACGGGAATTGAGCACGTTTTCAGTGAAGACGTCATTCCTAGAGGCATTAGCTGGTTCACCGCCAGAACGGTAAGCAACGTCGTATCTATCCAGCTGGCTTCAGCGAGTTCGAACGGAGAGGATAGGCAGACAAGAATTACGTCGTGACCATGTGCTCAAGGGGAACATCCAGATCTTGCCAAAATGTAGGCATCTTGTCAAGTAAGTCGTAAACTGCATCTCCGTTCTCCTTCGTCTCAGAAGAATCATCGCAGAAAAGCCCTAATGCCCGTCAGTATATCCTCGTTGAGTAAGGGGATGCTCGCACTATCGTATATGGGTCGTACATCTACCTCGCTGTAACCACGCGCTGCCAAAGGACCATTTTCAGCGCTCGAGAGCTTGAAATGATTGACTAATGACTGTGATTCCTCAGGTAATATGTTTGTCGAACGTCGTCCTGTCATCCGGTCTTCGACGCAATCATCATCAAGGGCCAATTGAAGGGCCAGCATGTGAAGGCCTCCGGTCTCGGACAGTTGAAATGCGCTGATATTGGAGCCGATTGCGTCAGTATAATGTTGGAAAAAGACGTGGCCAAGATTGCGGCCATCTGTCGCTTGGAGTGCTGGTAGGGAATACGCAGGTCGAGTTTGCTGTATAAAATTCGAGTCGGTGCGCGAAACGTCGTACAGGGAGATGAGACCATTGTGGAAAGATGTGAGGAATGTTATGGGAGCTGGGATAGTATTAGATGCAACTCTGGAACACAGCAAAGAACGCTTACCATTGTGCAAATATCCTGTATGCGCAGTCAGAGTACGGTCGAGGTCCCTCCCGTGCTTAATACCTAGTAATGGTCTCCGCGTATTGCGTTCATCGATCCATAAGATTTCACTGGTGGTCAGTAGCCGGACCATGTGGTCATCTTCCATGCCTTCGATAGATATGAGTAGCTCCCCTCCTCTCGACGCATCGTAGATGTTACGGCTGGCTTGTGACTGCAGTAAGGTATTGTCAAACTACCTCGCTTGCATTAGCAGTGGATTGTACGTTACCTTGAAGTCAAGCATATCTGCTGATCGAGATGACATAAGCAGACAGTCATCCTCGCTACTCCAATGTGCCAGTCTCCAAACGTTGTCAACAGGCCCATTCAACGGAGTTGGGGGCCGATGCATCAGCTCCCTGCAGTGAGGATTTCACATCATGTCTAATGGAGGATAAGCGCCTATAACCTACAGGAATTTGTCGCCATGAGGAGCACTACACCGGTAGACTGCCCCCACATCGTTGATCATTAGAGAGAGAGTCCTTCGTGTGGCAGGTAGGATCATGTCGACAACTCTTTTGTCCCCTACGTCTGTGCGTACCACTTGGACGAGTTCATCTGTTTTTACTGCGCGCACCGAAGGTGCCGTGACTTTGAGGACTGAAGCTGATGCTAAGGTACGAACACCTAAGAGGGACACTGTTTGAGTCGTGTTAATGTCAATGTCAGCACGCACTAATTCCACGATCATTCAGACATTATGAACACCCACTCTGTGAAGGCGGCGTGGATGCTACCAATTGTCGTATAGGTGTCGGGAAGCTTCGCACTGGCTTAGCCATCGCATTTAAATGCGCATATTCTCGTTGTGAAAAGTTTATATAGCTGATGTCTGCAACATAATTGGCCACCACTTCATCGTGAAGAAAAAATAGCTCACTGACTCAAATCACAGAATGATTCGCCCATAGGGCACGCGAGGTACGCCAAGCTCTCACGCGACTCACGAGACACATGAAGGGCTTCAATATTACTGCCCTGATATGGATCGAACTCATTGAGTTCATGCATATGGCGAGCATCTTCCGCTATTTCTTCCCGTATGATCTCAGCAGGAATGTCGACCTCTGGGTAATGAGTGCGGAGGAAGCGTGCCTAATGTAATCGTGAATATGCATAACTGGATCGACCTTTATACGTACACCTTGCTCCGCCCGTTGCAGTATGGTCTCTCCCACATTACGAGGCAATGATGGGCGAGTGTCCGGAAATATCTGTAGCGGGCTGCCCTGAGGCACAAGTCTACGGGCTGTCAGGCGGTCAGAGGATACAGGCCATTCACAAAGACCAGACTTTCCTTTGCTGCTACCGGCGAGGAATGACCACTCCAAACGGCCGGCTCCCTGCTGCAGAGTAGCGGCGCTCAGCGCTCCGTGCTCAAGGACGGGGTAAGCCCAAGAGAAGGCTTTTCCCTTGCCCTTGCGCTGTGTCTTCTTCGTCTGTGCATCCGCCTGATTCGTCTCACCAACGGGCCAGCGATCCATTCCATTGGACAGAGAGTAGTACTTCAATCACGTCTGAGAGGAGAGCGGTGGCCGGAGTCCTCGACACGGTCGTTCCAAAATTCGGATCGCGTGTGTAGACGCCCACGATCACTTCACTCTGACCGGCAGCATGCTCAGACTCTGGGCCTTGGGGCAGCAGCCACGAATATCGGCATGTAGGACACTGCACTCCTCCGTCGTGAGCAATGCAACGGCTACCACAGAGGCAGCATCAACACCGGCAGCCTCCAAGTGGGAGCCGACTTCAGTGCGGACGGGCCTAATTGCTCGCAAACGCGGCATGACGGTTATGTGGGATGACCACGGAGCAAGGTTCCCAGTTACGGTTCTTCAGGTATGTCCTGCTATTTCACACATTCTGTACTCGCGAACTTGATAACTGGCTCAGTTAGAGAACTGCCAAGTCACTGCGAACATCAAGACCGTCCGGAAGGACTTGTCGGAATATCATGCTGTTCAAGTCGCTGCAACGGACAGACCAGCCAAAACAGCTACCAAACAGATGCTAGGCCACTTCAAAAAGGCCGGTGTGGACCCAAAACGCATTGTGAAGGAGTTTCCGGTCACTCCTGATGCCCACGTACCAATTGGTGTGTACTGGCACTAAATCCGACGACGACTTCGTGCTCACTCGGAAGTCAAGGCACCACCCTTTCTGCAGTTCATTTTGTCCCCGGACAATATGTCGATGTCATTGCGAATTCGTATGTTCTCTGACAATATACTTTGCAGTTATTCTAATGACTCTCCAGTCTAGGGAAGGGATTCCAAGGGACAATGAAGAAGTGGAATTTCAAGGGTCTTCGGGCCAGCCATGGTGTATCCGTCTCCCACCGCTCGGCAGGAGCCATCGGTGCTCACCAAGTACGTGCATTCTACTACCGCGGACGTCCGTACACTTACTACTCAGTCTGCAGGATCCCGGCCGTGTTTGGCCAGGAAAGAAGATGGCTGGTCGCCTGGGTGGTGTGCGGACAACAACCCAGAACCTCGCCGTCATTCGTGTCGACAGTGCTCTCGACCTCATCTTCGTGCGTGGCTGTGTACCCGGTATTGACGACGCACATGTTATGGTACGGGACGCCAAGAAGAAGATGATTAGCGTCGCGCGAGTCAATCATGCTAAGGGTGATTTCGACAAGCTACTGCCGAAGGGCATACTCGGCCTGCCATTCCCTGCTGGAACGAAGGAGATGGCAAAGGAGCTACCATCAGTCATCGAGGCTCCCACTCACCGCAGGAGCCCATTCCTTCCTATATCATGAACATGTCATTTTACTTCCTACTGCATTGATTCCTTTTCACTCTAACTGCGGGGAAATGTGTGCGCGCAAAGAAACCCACAGCCCGTATCTTCAGTCCCACCTATAGACCGCTCATCCCCTTAAGGGATGATGCATAGAAAGTAGTACTGAAAGCTGTCCATGAGTGCTTCCCGCGCTAACGCCCGACACTCACAGTCGCACCGTCTCTCTCCATGGTGCCTTTCATGAGACACTTGGTTTCCAGACTCTCACACAATGTCTGAGGGCCGGCTGCTTGTTCAAATCGCGTCGTACAATACGAACTTGCAGGCTGAACGGGGTCTTCCGCAGGACCTGGTCGACTGGCTTGCTCCGACACTACAAGCCTCCGTGCTCGGAGCGCAAGGCGTCGAGCACCGTGCCCCGGACATAGTCGCGGTCGGTTTCCAGGAACTGCTGCCGTTGCACCTCGGCTGTGAGTACTGGACCTATTTCCACTCGACCTCAGGCTCTGAATTCATGCACACCAGTTGCCGGGTTCTCCAGGTCAGTGATTGAGAGCCGCGACGCGCTCATCCTCTCGCAGATCGAGAAATACGCGCCGAACGGCGAGAAGTACTCGCTTATCGCGAAGGAAGTGAACGTCGGCATAGCGCTGCTCATCTATGGACGCGACGATGGCGTCGCGCGCCGCGTGTGCGACGTCCAAACGCAGTGGACAGGCTGCGGGCCCGCGTACATGGGGAACAAGGGTGCCGTCGGGGTGCGCTTCCGAGTGTCGGGAGAGGACGGCGGTGTGAGCGAGGTTCTTACGTGCGTACTCCGACAGTGAGACCGGTGTAGACGTTCAATGGAGACTGCGTTGTCCCGCGTAGGTTCGTCAATGCGCACCTCACTGCGCATGGGCACAGGCTTGCCCAGCGGATCCACGACTACCACCACATTGTTGGAACGCTGCTCTTCCCCCCTGTCCCTGGCAGCTCCAACCCGAACGACCCGACAACAATATACGCAACTTCGCACTTATTCTTCTTCGGGGATCTTAACTTCCGGTTCGCCATTCCGCCGACACATGCTTTGTCAACACGCTCGCTCCCGGAGCTCGCTCAAATGGCGTTCGACGAGACAGGTCGGAGTACGCTGAAGGAGTGCGATCAGCTCTACCAGGAGCGGGACATCAACGGCCGCATATTCATGGGTCTCCGGGAAGGCGAGTTCTGGAAGTTCCCGTGCAGCTATAAGTATCGCCTCGGAGAGGTCGACCAATTCGAGTGTGTACCGCCTTTGAACTGCTGTCATGACTGTATTCGCTGACATTCGTATGTAGCTTTAAGCGGGCACCCGCATGGACCGATAGGATAATGTACACGTCCTACGCGGACTCACCAGACGCACCCACAGAGTCCTCTATCTCGAACTTGTTGTATACCACTATTCCTTCATATACCACCTCTGACCATGTAAGTACAATTATATACCCAGATATCGCTGGTCTATGCTGACCATAGCACGGTATTGCAGAAACCCATCGTTGCGCTTCTCCTGCTACCTTCAGCTCCCGCCCACTCAACCTCTACATCCCCACCAACCATACAGCTACCTGCCACTTACCATCCACGACCCGACTCTCTCGCCGTCGTGAAGCGGTGGACAGGCCGTATCCTCGGTCGCCTCGTCGGCTACGTTTGGTGCTTGCTGACGCTCATCGGCGCTGGCTCAGCGGGCTTCGGGATCGGCAACTCCATCATCGGCCTCGGTGTCTGGGGCTGGTGGCGGACAAGAGTACCAGGCGCACCGGGAGTATGAACGCGTCGTCTATGTTGAGATAGTGTAAAGCACAAGTAGAGTACAATACTGCCACTAAGTGAAGGCCTGCATAGGAATGTCTAAGGTACATTGTACACGAGTTGTTGTCTTATAACTATGTTGTGGCAAATTTCGGATGCAAGAGAAGGGAGATGCACGAGGCGTGCATGGCACAACAAGAACAGAACGGTACCCACTACAAAGCTTATTCGGCAGCCGTAACCGTCACCTTGACGTCAGGCTTGCGTCCACGGAGTTCGTCCTCGTCTTCCACGACGATCAGCGGCCCCTGCACGTCCACCAGCGTCTCTTCGCGGCGCACAGCAGAAACGTCTACAGTCGCTTCCACGCTCTCCTCGTCACCTTGCGAGGTGGGCAGCAAGCGGATGCAAGAGAGCAGCACGATGGCCAGCGCCAGGTTCCCCGCCGACACGAAGAACACCGCCTTCGGGAACGTCGCCACGGTCCGCAAGTACACCACGCCGTAGATGGACGGGCCGACGACCTGCGAGCTGCAGGCAGACACACAACACACAACACACAGACATAGCGGGCATCAGCCATGCCCGGCGTGTCCAGACAGCGGGCCCACGCACCTGATCGCCTGCAGCACGCCGAACGCGCCGAACAGCTTCCCCAGCTCCTTCCCGCCGTTCTGCGCGTACAGCGTCGACGCGAGGCTCTGCAGCGCCGGCGCCGCGCCCCCGCCGAACGAGCCGAGCACGGAGTAGACGGTGTACAGCGTGCCGTTCGTCGCGGACGCCATGAGGACGTACGCGACCAAGTCGATGGCGAGCGACACGCGCACGACGGTGAGGTCGAACGTGGGCGAGTGGTGGCGGCGCGGAGACACAGGCGGTGCCGAGTGCGGGGCATCTACTTCCGAGGCGGGGCGCGCGGTGGCCGGGGAGGAATCCGCGGTAGGGGAAAGTGGTTCGTCGGGCTCGACCGGCAGGTGAATCGCAGGAGTCTTCGGTTGGCAGAGGTAGATTGCGACTGCGAGAATTGTGAGTGAGTAAAACGCATGCTCTTTTGAGTTCTATACGTACTGGGAAGAACTACAGTGAGGTGAAACGCTCGGGCCGCGCCGATTATGCTCGTCCAATAGCCGATCTGCACAAGACGTCAGTGTGCGGTCCCTCCACTAAGTAGTAGCGAGATGCACATTCTTGGAATCCCAGCCAAACGCCAGAGTAGTGTATTGCATCTTGGATGTCAGGGATCCCTACGTAGCCCGGTCAGCACAGGCACTCGCGTCCAGCATATAATCACTCACCATCAACATCATGATGCATACATACCCCCCGGCGACCAGTACCAGCCCCAATCCTTGTCTCTTGGTCTTCAGCGGATTGGCACCGCTCGTTCCAACGTTGGCGCTCTTGGCCGACGGGAAGAACAGTGTGAGCGGTGAGAGAAACCCGAATGCCCACCGCAGCCACACGCCCGCGCCGCCCTTGGCACGCGCTGCCTGCAGTTGCGAGAGCTCCTCCTCATGCAGCTTCCTCGCCTGTGCCCTCTGCGCGGGCGAAAGCGACTCGGGGATGACGAACCAGATAACAATACTGTACGCGATGTGCACTGCGGCGGCGACGTAGAAGACGGAGAGCACGGTACCGGTCGCGCTGATGAGCAAGCTCGCGGCCGAGGGCCCGATGCTCACGCCTATGAACATCAGCCCAACGAAGAGCGAGAATGCACGCGCGCTGGTGAGCAGGCGGCATGAGTGCGCAGCAGGATTTGTAAATGTGGGAGCGGGACGCATACCGTGTAGCAGAGTCCGTGCAGTCCGCGATGTATGCATGTATAGCTGCTGACACGGTGCTAAAGCCTACGCAAGTACATCAGAACACAATGAACACTAAAGAGTGCATCGTACGCACCGCCGAGTAAACCCTCAACAAGAGGTCCAAGTAGGAGGAAATGATAGCCACCCGGAAGCGCCCTCGAGAATTTCGCTACGAAGATGAAGGTGAAGTCCGTGATGAGGATGCCGAAGGCAGCAAACCCCATCACTTTCATGCGGCCAAACCTATCTGAGAGCTAGTCGCGTTGAAAGATAAGACTCCGTATGAGAGTAGCCTGAAGTGCATATATTTGTGGAACATACCGAACCCCACCATCCCGTAGTCAGGCAGCCCAATACACCCATCGTTGTGATCATAGACAAGGATAGCTTCGCGACAGCCTTCTGGACAACTGGGTCTGCGACGCATAGCTCATAGGTCTTGTCTAAGTAGATCAACTCGTTCAGGAAAGGTCATCGGCAACAATGACTTGTGTTTATTTACCGTCGAGTATGACAGAGGGGCTGAACACAACATCTGGGTTAGGAAGACGATCCTTACCGCGTCCTACGGTATATTCCGGTCTATACGCATCACACACCAGCCTGGTGTATATCTCGATACGAGGGGCCATAGTCGCCGACATGGCAACTGAAGCCAAGGGGATGAGGATGAGGAACCTGCATGCAGTTTTGAAACAGGATCTGCGTATGCACAAGGCAGAGCACGAACCACATCGGAGACGGCCTCTTCCACCACGGCAGACTCTGTCTCCACGTCGCATGGGAGTCCGGGGCCTGGTCGTCCTCCTCGGGTACCTCCTCGACGAGGGTGCTCTCGGACTCGTGCCGGTGCGGATGGACGAACTCCTGGAGGAGCTCTACGGCGTCTTCGCCGATCTGCCCGTCGGGGTTGATCAGCGCCTCAGGGCCCTGGGGAAGATACGGGATGGACGCGCGAGAGGGGTCGCGCGACGTGCGTGGGCGCGAGGGCCGACGCGACTGGGAACGCGAGGCCGTGCCGAGACGGAGCAGGGAGTTATTCCTAGACACGGACATGGCTACAGCACCGCTGGCTGCGCTGGGGAGGGAGGGGGGACGCAGAGGGGGCCGCGGGGGTATAAAGGGGAGGAGGGAGCATATGTAATATGGAGGCAGACACGCGGATAGCGGGTGCCATGAGCAGATAGGCCAGCTTGCCATCTTCCACAAGCCGTGCCCGGGTGCCTTCCGCTCGATCACTCGGCATCTTTCGTCCCTAATCCCCGATCTCACGATCACGCCGATTATCCGACCCCCGCAGATCGTGGTTGCTTCTGCGCTCTTACATGCGCGCATACAGCGAGCGCGAGCGGACGCGCGATTCAATGCCCTCGGCGGAACCGCAAGTTCGTTGCAGAGTTGGCACACAGCACCAACGATGTCATTCTCCACTTGGTCAAATCACGCAGATAGCCAGAAGAGCGCAGCAAGACGCATGTGCCGGCCGAATGGTGCACGGAGACAAACCCGCAGCCGTGAACCCACGCTTATCCTCTCGACCGCGCCTGGCGACAAATTAGCAGTGCTCAAATTCACCAGATGGGATTACAGAGGGGCTCACGACCGCACTAGACAACACTGAGCAACATAGAACACCCGGACCACTGGGTTCATCACGATTCCTAATTCCACTCTCGGTGGCGTGGCGGCGGGAGGGCTAAGGGCGGCTGGAGCGCAAGGTAAGAGCACCCATACAGAGTTCAGCCCACAGGTCCTACTACGGCGCCAATTCAATATCGTCAAGTGCAGTAGGTCTGGCCTCAAGAAGTACAGTATCAACAGGGTCTTCCGCAGTTTCAGAAACACGCGTTGCAGGAGAACCGCACGCGCCACACTCACGCAGCAGGCGGTCCTCGAGTTATCAGTGAAGCTTCAGAGATGCTTGCCGCATGCCCGCAGCAAACAGTTACTAGAATACAATATCACCGCTTGGTCGCTGCCCTACCGCGCTCCTCATCCCTAGCGAGGAGCGGCTCTCGCTCGCCCGTCGCGACTTCATCAGACGGTGCGGCCTCCCGCCCCTCGACATCACAGCCCGGCGCGTGCAACCGGATAGGCGCAAGCAGCATGAAGGAGATGCTCAGCGCCGCCAGGGACACCGCGAAGATCGCCTGCGGCGCCGTCGCGACCGTCTTCATGTACGTCACGCCAAACATGAACGGCCCCAGCACGTTCGAGCTGCCCCGCCAATCCGCGTCAGCCCCGCACGCCACCAGCACGCGCGCCGGCACTCACCTGACCGTCTGCACGACGCCCAGCGCGCCAAACAGCTTGCCCAGCTCGCGCCCGCCGCCCTGCATGTACACTGCGGACGCGACGCTGTTCACCGCGGGCGTGAAGCCGATGCCGAGCGTGCTTAGTATCGCATACGCGGTGAAGAGATACCCGTTGGGCGCGAGTGCCATCAGGGTGTACGCGACAACCTCGATCACGATCGAGAGACGCGCGAGGGTGAGGTCGAACGCCGCAGGGTGATTCGCCTGTGCGCGTGCAGAAGTCGGCTCTTGCGCGTCAGCTGGAAGTTGTACTGCTCGAGGTTTGGACTGGAACAGCTTCGTGATGACTGGCGTTAGAGCCGTCAGAAATCAGTCACATTTGCTACCTGAAGAATAGTCGCGTACCAGGCAAGAGCACGGTCAAGTATATTGCGCGCGTCGTACCAAGGGCGCTAGTATAGTACCCGAGCTTGATGCGTTCATGCGTTAGTCGATTATCGAAGAAACAATTTCAAGGTCAACGCACCTGTTCGGATGTCCAGCCGAACATCAAGGACATGTACTGATACTCATACGTGAGATCTCCCTGCGAGAAGGTATCAAAAGAATGAAAAGACACCCTTTGGCAGACCCATTACCTTCAATGCAATGGTGAACCCGTATCCCATTGCAAGTAGCAGTAGACTCCAATCCCTCCTCCTCGCCCCCGCAATTGACGACTTCCTCGGTAGCAGCAATGCCAGCGGAGTCAAGAAGCCAAACGCCCTCTTCAGCCATTCCCCCGCGCCGCCATTCTCTCTCCCTTCTTTCGCTTGCTCTATGCTGAGCGTGTGCTCACGGCGGAAAACAGCCATCTGCTCGGGCGTGAGAGATTCGGGGACGACGAAGCACAGAAGCAACGCGTAGACGAAGTGTAGCACAGCCGCGATGTAGAACACAGAGACTGGGTTGTGCGTATAGCCGACGAGCACACTGCCGAGCGTGGGCCCGATACTAAACCCGGTGAACAGGAGGCCGAGGTGCAAGGAAAAGAAGCGCGAACTGTAAAGGGAGTGGGCACGGGTTGGTGAGCTATCTTGGTGCAGAACAAGTTAGTGAGTAGAGCGTACCGTGAGGAGGGTTCAGCGCAATCGGCGATGTACGCGTGTACACCGGCTCCAATGGTGCTCATACCTGAACGCACACTGTCAGCGGCCTGCAGAGCGGGAGCGGCGCAAGGTATATACCCCCCAGCAACCCCGACATTATGGCGCCGCAGGTAAGGAGCCAATACCCGCCAGGCAAGAGGCTCGAATATCGGCAAACAAGCAAGAAGTTGATGTCCTCAATGAGCGAACCGATCACTGCACATGTGACCACTCTTGTTCGGCCATATCTGTCAGACAGCTATGGCAGCATGAGACCCAGGCGGCGTCATTATAAGGGGATGCGCATACCGAGCCCCACCACGCCGTAGTCAGACAACTAAGTACGCCCATGGAAATAGTGATGACAAGTGACAGTTTCGCTACTGCTGCCTGTACTGTGGGGTCGGAAGCACAACTCTCCCACCTGTCTTTGAGCAACGCCCATGAGTCGGATGTGAGAATTTAAAGCAATTATACGACACACCGGGAGAAGAGAACGCATGCACGATCTGACCGATGGCAGATGAATCAGGTCTGTGAGTATCACAGGCCAATCGTATGTATATCTCCACTTTGGGGGCTATGACTGCTGCCCTTGCGGTGGAGATAAAAGGGGTTAGAATTAGGAACCTGCGTGCAAGTTAGAGAGTAAACGTATGCTAGATCGCCCGTAGACTTACCACCAAGGCGACGGCCTCTTCCACCAAGGTCTCCGCGTTAGTTCGTCTTGTGCATCTTCCTCGCTCAGCTCTTCCGTACATGCCTCCTCCGCGTCGCTGTGATGTGAACTCAGGAGCTCCGTAGCAATGGGCCCATCGGGATGAGAAAAGGCATCGGCCTCGACCTCCGGGTCTTGTAAGAAGGGACGGGATGCAGCGGAAACGCTGCGTGATCCACGTGCGCGAGACTGCAGGCGCGATCTGGGGGTCGTATCGAGATTCCCGAGAGTCGACGGACCTCTTGAGCTAGACATGTCGTATGCCTCTGGGACTCGAGCAACCCTGCCTTGTTGGTGGGGGGACGACGGCCTTATGAATGCTGGTGTAATACGGAGGATAAGATAGGCCTGCCCCAAGCCTCATGCCTCAGCATGATTAGGGCGACTGTGCCGGCGGACGATCGGTTGACGAATTCCTCTCTAGGATGTGTGTCGCCGGAGTCGAGCTCTTTTATTACACTCTGTCGCACTTCTTCTCAGTCGCCTTTATAAGCCGTAAAGTCGCAGAGAGCTGGGCGCAACAGGTGAATAAAAGGACGCGAAGAGTGGCAGACCTGGCGTGAAACGGACAGGGTGGGTGACCCCGAGGCGGCTTAACGCAGGCAGATGTGATCGGGATAAAGGCACTATCAAAGTGATCGAGCTGCTCATCCGCCGTCGGCTCACCGCAACAGTCCCCATCCACGTCCTCCATCCGCCATGGCAAGTGTATACATCGAATACCCTTTAACAGAAACAGACTGAGCCAGTGCGACTGTAGTCTCACACAGTCGACATCCCGAACGAGCTCAAGGCGTCCCTGCGCAAGTTCAGGTTCGCCCGCCGCAATGCCGGCAGCGCCGCCCTCATCGTCAAGATCAACAAGCAGAAGCTCATCATGGAGGAGGTAGAGCAATTCGATAACATCAGCATCGATGATCTTGCAGAAGGTGCGCTCTTCAATCATGAGTCCTCCTACTGCGACATCGAGACGCGTCTTTCAGAGCTACCAGAGAACTCGCCTCGCTACGTCGTATTGTCCCATGAGCTCAACCACTCCGATGGGCGCAAGTCGTTCCCGCTCGTGCTCGTCAACTGGGCACCAAGGTCAAGCGAAATGGGGCTCCTGACGCTGCACGCAAGTGCCTTCATTGATTTCCAGAATACGGTAAGCGTCGGCAATAATGCTGATACTGCGCTTTGACGCATGGTCGCACAGGCGGATGTGAGCAAAGTCATCGAGGTCCGGGAGGGTGCAGAAGGCTTCACACAAGAGGCTATCGATTCCAAGTTATTGCAGGGATAAAGTTTACGAAGTCAGAATATCACAAAGGAACCTGTACAGTATATCCGCAGATCACCAGGCTGTATCAATATGCTTTTACGACTAGCTCGCTGCTCATAACCAGTATAGTCGTCACCTCGCATAACAGCTCATTATCTGTGCCAGCACCCAGCAATTCCCTACGACATAGATGAGACTCCTCACCCACAGTCCAAAGAAGACATTCTGCCCAAGGAACTCCAGCTTATACGCCTCGCTAAGCCAGAGCGCCTGCGTGCCAGCCCAAACACCCAGGTAGAGCAGCGCTTGTCGAGTCGACATCCGTAGTCGCGGAATGAGTAGCGGGAGGAAGATCATGTACCATAAGAAGTACTGGCGCAACCTTGGTATCAGCGTCTGGATTTGGATCTACGATCGGAGCTGACGAACCTGTGAGGTGCACACTTTATTGAACACGACGAACACGACGGTCTGTACGAAACAGGCAAATACTAGGTCGTCTCTCCGTCGTCCAAAAAGCAGTCCTGTCCCCAAGGAGAGTACCATTTGAGGTACAAAGCTGGTCAGCGGCGAGCGCAAAAGCCTCTGCCCGAGGGGCATAGAATCCAGTTCGAGCGGCGAAGACTGTGTTGGGTATGTGAGATAGATGAGGTAGAAGTAGGGCGAGAAGTTGTGTCGATGGTCGAGCCTATGCAAGTGGTAGAGGTACGATTCGTACAGGAATGGGTATCCCCATCTGCAGCAACGCGTGTGAGGATCAGCTCCAAGCCGCGATGTCAACGGACGTACATCAAGTACATCAGCGCACCCAGTGCGGCGAACGTCGCAGCACTCAACGCGCCGAATTTGAGCGCGCGTGGGTCAACCATTCGTTGTAGATATTCTTTCCATCCACGTCCGACGCCGTTGCCAACCAACCCGAGACAAGCGACTCCGTAGATGAACGGGTATATTTTCCAGTGCGTGCTGAGACCCAGCAGTACGGCTGCAGCATTCCACCGTCGTTTCAGGGCACAGTAGATAGTCGAGAGGACAAAGAGCAACAGGATTGCCTCAGATGAGCCGCGCGTGGAGATCGTGAACACCAATGGATTGAGCAGATGCACAGAGACGAGGAGGGTCGCGTATCGTTCCAATACACGCGTGTCGGCGGTAGTCGTGTCCGTAGGCTTTTCTTGGTCCGCCGAAGACACAGATGAGGATGCAGACCCCTCGCATTTAGCGCCAAGGGGAAGGATGATATCGACGAGCATCCTGTACATGAGCATGCCCGTCAGGAGGTCGCATACTGCAAATAGATATTTCCCGAATGACGGGTGTAGCCATTCATTTGGAGTCAGGAGGAGCGCAAGTAACGGCGTATAGCGATATGTTGCTCTGGTATACGGACTTCACAACTGGGTGAGTTCAGCCACGAGCCTAAACATATAGGCAGCACTACGCACTCGCCAGAGCCAGTCCACAGTCCTAGATATCCCTGGGCTCGGTTAGCTGAGGTGGGATTAAGCACAAAGTGCGCCGCATCGCTGAAGACGCGGTAATCGACATCGGTGTACTTAACCGTAGAGTGAGCGTCGTGCCATTCACTGTATAAGATGAGCGCAACCCGCAGAACCGCAGAGATCGCTAGCACACGCGAGAACGAAAGCTGAGGAAGATGGCGTTGTAAGGAAACGAGGGACTTCGACACCATACTAAGACTGCCTAGTTCGCTCGTAGATGCACGTCGTTGCACTATGAGGGTCACGTCCCGACGCGACGCGTTCACTCCACGTGCACGCCGATCACATACGTGTACGGGCGCTTGTTACTCTGACACCCTACTGAAGTTGCAGCAAAGACAACATGTTCCACAATATAAAGCGAAATAACGACAAGTGAGCCGTAAGGAGGGCGAAGAAAGGTGCCTCTTCCACGGCACAGTACGTAAAGTCCATCATACCAGGAGGTATGCCCTCGGGTGGCTGGAGGGTGCTTAGATCTACGCAAGCAGAAGACGGACATTTAGTCGATATTCGTGTCAAGTATACGGGAAAATGACGTACGTATTGCGACAGCCATCTGAAACCTTCCCCATACCCCTGCCTTTGGACAACTGAGCACATGAAGATTTCGATCGGGCGAATGTCGTTGAGGGGAACCTTGCCCTACGAAGAATCTCAGAGAATGTCGTGAACAAACGTTGGGAAACGAACCTTGCCCGTTGTCTGGTAGAGACCTAGGTGGTGTCGGAGTTCCTCCTCGCTGACAGCACCAGGAGCATCAATCTTGTTGCCGAGGATGAGGAAAGGCACCTTCGCCAGCTCCTCAATCGACAGGAGAGCGTCAAGCTCGGCTTTCGATTCCGCAAATCGCTCGAAGTCAGCGCTGTCAACGAGGAAGACAATTCCGTCCACTTCGGGGAAGTAGTCACGCCAGAGTCGGCGAGCTGGACAAAGGACCATCAATCACGAGGGGGAAGCCTCCGAGTCAGATCTTGAGCCGACCTTGCTGATGACCACCCAAATCATAAGTCGTAAACTTGACATTGCCAATAGCGAGTTCCTCGGATGCTGCGCTTCATCAGACAAAGACATGTGAACACGTTTGAAGGGCCACTCACTCGGGTGAAGCGTAGGCTGCAGTGTCGCCAGTCGGTCATTCTTTAGCATATGCAACAAAGTCTAGAGAGCACGTCAGTCGATTCAGTTCCAGCCAGCGGAGAACGCGCGCACCGTCTTTCCCGCATTGTCAAGGCCGAGGAAGAGGATCTTGGCATTCTTGTGCAACAGGCCTGTATTCGTATAAGTCACTCGTAGAACCAGAGTGATTAGAGCAGTGCCAGCTCACCAAGCTGTGCGAGGACATCCCAAAACCAGTTAATGATGAACATGGCGGTAAGAAGGGTAGGAATCGGACAACGAGCGGCAAGGTTGCGTGGTACGTCAACGAGTCGCGTAGACCGCGTGACGTGACCCAGCGTGATTGCATCACGAGACCCCTACGAGACTCCTCGCTAGATCTCGACCCTCAGAGCGAGGCTCTCCTCCCCCCTTTAGGCCACAGTTTGCGACCTGAGACGAAGAAAAGTTCTCCTGAGGAATGGAATGAATCGACATCGAGCACCGATTAGAATCATGGCGATCCTGCCTTCTCGAATTCTCGATATGTACTCAAGCTGGCACTCAATTACCCATGTACGCGGTGAAAGCTACTCAAACATTTGGACTGAAGCATACACCATTTTATATTTCGTGTGTATCAACAACATTGCAGATAACCAGTACGATACGAAGATGTGGGGAAGATCTGACACTCACGACACCAAGGAGGAGATGCGAGAGCTCTTAAGCCGCCCGGGATACATCAATCTCTGCAGTACCTAATCGCCTATCCCGTGTAGAATATGCAACGAAGGATAGGCACTGTCTAAGAGGTTGCATGAAGGAAACCACCGCGCGTACACCCGGCAAATTTATACCATAGGTTGTTTGTCACTATTTGTATAAGCGCCCAAGCCGTAAGCTGTCACTCATTTTCTCGTCGCAATTTAACACGATGTATAACATACGGGTGGGGTTCGTACCATGAATAAGATGGCCAATGCGCGATCCGACCAGCAAGCAAAGCTACAAGCCACAATGCTATCCTACTTCATGTCAAAGTCCGTATTATCATAGGAAAGGCGTATGGCCAGCGTTGGGATTGGCACGTCGGGACGACGCACTCGTGATGCGCCTCCGGGGGGGGACCACTGACGAAACGACCAAGACATGTTGCAATCTCGCCATGAGTTGAATTCAGGTTCAATAGTGATTTTCATAATCGATTCGGCATTGGAATTGAGACCTTGATCTAGATGTTCATACATGAGGCACAGTCCCATGAAAATGCAAGGACATAGTACGTACGCGCCACTGATGCATAATGGTCCCGTGGACATGCTATCCATTCCTGTTCAAGCATTTGAACGTTGACTGTTAGGCCGAAGGTGCGGGGCGAAACGAACCTGGATCCGCAAGAGAGCCATCATTTCTAATGGTCCTAGTAGTGCTGATGATCAGTATATGAGTTTAACGAACAACAAGAATAGATGCCAGGATCGCGATAGATTTGCACGAGGGTATACATAATAATAACAGGTATCAGGAAGCAGGGCTTGAAGACGGCAGCTATGGGGTAGGCACTGTAGGATGTCTAGCTAGAACGTGGCCTGCTGTTCGGAAGATATGCCAGATCCCACGGAAAATACGCCCGAGCCACGATTCATCACGTTTTACCAATCTTGACCGCAGTATCCAAAAGTTTAGCGTTGGACACAGTGCATCAAAACGTGCGACAACCTGTGCTGCCGAAGGTCGACGTATGGGGTCATCATGCACCATCTCGCTAACGAGGTCCTGCATGAAATGCAACCCATGGTACACCTAGAAGCAGGTCAGTACGTAGCATAGTATAGTGCAGTATGCAGGGTGTGAGATCAATGTGTAATACTTGACATTGCAACCCTGCAAATGTTTCTTACAACCCCGCTGCGCGTCCCATTGTTCATGCGTAGACACACACAAGCATGTCAATCCTCCCTTTTGGCAACACACAACACTAACTGCTGCATTGCGTTTGATACTATGTTAGATGGGATTAGAGTGTAATGTTCCTAGAGAAGACCCTCTAACCACTCGTTGAAAGGTGATAGACCATGGCCCTTCTCTTCAATAGCGCTTACCGTTGCCCCTACGGCGACATACGTGCCAACGAAAGACACATCCCCACCTTCCCAGTTCTCGAACTTGAATTCACCGGCCCCGCTGCACTCGAGCCCTCCCAGCTCTGACTCAGCGCCCTCAGCGCCCAGGCCCTCAATGCCTACACCGCCGGCTTGAGATGCGCGTCGCCGCTCGAGTTCACGTTCGAGGATTGTACGGACACGATTGATGGCAAGTTGGTCCGGCGTGGCTTGAGCGGTCGGCTTCAAGAGGTCAGACTTGTGCGCAACAATAAGCAACGCGGGGGTCGGCCGCGATGGCGGCAAAGATGTGATAGCGTGGAGGACCTGATGCAGATGCCTGGGCACAATTAAAACGTTGAGACCCTTTCTGAAAACATAGTTACTCACTCTGCAACAGCGGGACCCGCACGAGCAACAGTGCTTGCGTCGACTACGAAAACAATCCCCCGAGCATCCTGCATGTGCTCGCGGAATTGGTCTCGGATTCGAGGATGTCCAGGAATATCAATGATCCGCAAGGTCTTCTGCGCCAAAGGAACCACAGCTGAGTTGGACTGCATTGAAGTATGCGATGGTAACGTTTGCTTGTATGCGAGCTTCAAGCAGCGATTACCGTCAATTGTAGCCCGGATGTCAGGGCCAAGCATACGCACAGTGGAAAGAATAGCAGTCTTGCCCGCGTCAAGAGGTCCAACTAAGAGGACGGCATCCCCTCTCGCGCTAGTCCTCCGTCGGGTGAGGATGAAAAATACTGAGGACAAATGAGCAAGCATGGTATATGATATCGCAGAGCTGCACTGACTGGCTAAGAGGACAATCCCCAGCGACAAGGACGCTATGACCAGCGTCTGGCGTGTGAAGACGGACGAGGGCAATAGCACTTCAGGCTGAGGCGTGATTGTAACAGACGGATTTGAGGAGGGGTCCATTGTGCGGTAGTGGCAACAGTGTCGTCACATGCAATATTGGTCGATACGCAATCGTCTGTTTGATACTGTTAGGATCGAAAGCCTCTGGTCAACAAGCGACAATAAGCACCTACAACCCCCTCGTCACGTGCGCAAAATTTGGCGATTCCGAATTCTCGGCTCTGGTTCTGAGACAGGCGAATTGATCTCAGTCTCCACACTTCTTGTTAAGCAACAACACTGGGCTGGCCACTACATCCACAACTTGCCTTTCACTGTGGTCTCCTCTGCCATCCACATGGCTGTCGCTGTCCAACCTATTTCAGCGGTCGATCACAGCGAGCCGCCCCCTCGGAAACGTCTTCGCACAGAGGTGGCATGCAGTCCGAAGGTCCAGCCTGAACCACGCCTGTTTGCACCTTTTCGTGCACTTGGACTTGTTACAAACCATGTCCCTTTCGCATTGCAAACGCGAACGCACAAAGGTGCGACAGAAGGCCCGCGAACGCACATTGTGACTTGTCTGGGGAAGTCGTGGGCAATGTGGGAAGGGGGAAAGATGGGATTACTCTTCGTCGGTGAGTACGTATGAAAGAATAACGTGCGGACTCGTTGCCTGACCAATCTTTTGCCTGTGGGCTCTCAAGGTCCTGATGCACCCGAGCAGATCACGTCCGTGGTCATCGACGGCAAGGACGTATGGGTCTCCAGTGGGTCGCATGTTATAAAGTACATTAGGGGAAAGGAGGTGTGTTACGCTTTACCATGTATTGACTCTTGCATGATACCATCACGTCCCTCAGGTCAGAAGGCTTGCAAACCCATTGAGCACACCGATCGCCTCCATGCTGGTCTTTGGTTCCCAGCTGCTTTCCCTAACGCAAGATGGTACCAGAATGTTCATATGGGGTCTCGAAGATGGAGGTACATGTTCCGCATGCACCGTATATCCATTTTACTCAGCCTATGTCAGAACTTCAAGCGACCATTCAGTTTGACACTGATTTTACTGCGACAACTATGCTGCATCCTGCTACATACCTCAACAAAGTCCTTATTGGCAGCAGTCAAGGAAATATGCAACTGTGGAACATCCGTACTCAGTATGTAAACAGCTACTTCCACGCATTCGTGTCTGACACCAGACGATCAGGACTCGAATACACACTTTCCCTACTGCTTCTCTTCTTACACAACCATCCTCTTCATCTGCTTCTTCGGTTGCTATCACTGCCTTGGTACAGTCTCCAGCCATAGATGTGGTTGGTATTGGCTTTTCGTCTGGGGAGATCTCTGTATACGACATCAGGACAGACGAACGCTTGATGAGGATGACTATGCAAGACGGCGGAGTCAGAGCGCTATCTTTCCGTAGTGGTGAGACAAATCCGACATGTCTGCATGGTGTGTTTTTAGTTGATCATTCGCCAGATGGACAGCCCGTCTTAGCATCGGCATCGTCGACCGGACATATCGCCCTCTGGGATCTCAATGCCGGCGGCCGTCTGCTACATCTAGTTCGCGGAGCCCACGACGGCGCAGTAACCTCAGTTGAGTGGGTACCTGGACAGCCCTTGCTAATCAGCGCGGGCGAAGATAACAGCGTAAAGGTAATGTGAGCGTCCATATATCCTCCCCTGATATATCTCATACGTATGGCAATAGCAATGGGTCTTTGACTCACCGACAGCCGCTCCCCGCTTGTTGAAGTTCCGCTCGGGCCACCATGCTCCTCCACATCTGATCAGATACCACGGCGAAGACGGGAAGCAGCTCCTCACGGCGTCGAGAGATCGTAGTTTACGATGCACCAGTGTCGTAAGAGACTCCAGGAGCTTTGAGTTGAGTCAAGGTAAGTGATAGCTCGATCGCCACACATTATTACATGTCTCGAACATACCGATGCCAGGTTCACTCGCTAAAAAAGCGAACAACCTGTCCATTCCCCTGACATCTCTCAAGTTCCCGCCAATCATCGGCCTCTCATACTCAACTACCCGAACCAAAGATTGGGATGACATCTTGACCGCACACGCTGACGAAACTTTCGCGCGGACATGGAGTATGAAAGACAAGAAACTCGGAAAGCACACCTTCGGGTTCGGGACCGAGGGCAAAAAGGCACCTACATCAGGCGCAGTCAAGGTAAGTAACATGAAGTCTTTGCTATATGACCATGAACCTGAACAACCATCCTACATCTTAGTCTGTTTGCGTTTCTGCGTGTGGAAACTTCGGTTTAGTATCGTCCTCCACAGGATCGATTCATATGTACAACATGCAGTCAGGCATTCTGCGTAAGACGTTCAACATCGGCCCTTGTCCACCAGAGGTTGACAGCCGATTCCGCCCATCTGGTACGTCGAAGAAGAAATTGGAAGAGCGATGCGTTACTGGCCTAGTGTCGGATGCCCTCAATGCAACTGTCATTGCCAGTACACTAGACGGCACAATCAACGTAGGCCCTCGCGCTCATTCCTCGTTGCTGTATCTCACTAGGTTATGCAGTTTTTCGATTTCCATACAGCCAAGTTAGAACGAACACTAGTTCTTCCCTCCGCCGCTGTCTCGATCACTCTGCATCGCGATAGTGGTCTCTTGGCTACCATCTGCGATGATCTCACCGTGCGTATCGTTGACATTGAGACGCGCCGAGTGGTGAGAGAGTTGAATGGGTTCCGCGGACGCGTCCTCGATCTGGTGAGTTCGAGGTTTAGCCGTCGTGAGAAATTCAAGACTGACGTTTATCGCGTCCAAGACATTCTCTCCCGATTCTCGCTGGCTTGTGACAAGCTCCTTAGATTCCATCATCCGTACTTTCGACATTCCTACAGGACGTCTCATTGACGCCTTCCGAACATCGAGCGTAGCGACCAGCGTTGCATTTTCACCCACAAATGATTTTCTTGCTACTGCTCATGTGGACAGCGTAGGAGTGTACCTATGGTTTGTACCTCGGCTTCCTATCAGTGTATATACTGACACGTCTCTTTAGGGCGAATCGTGCGCAGTATTCGGAAGTGGCCTTGCAGAGTGTCCCCGACGATGAGAAGGTTATTGATGTGGCTTTGCCATCCATGCAAGGCACCGCTGAGGACGAAGGTGACTGTCTATTGGCATAATTCGTTGCTACTCGCTGAACTGTGACTTCTCAGCTCTTGACGCACTGTCATCACTGGCACTTACTGGGCAAGAGAAGTCGTCCGACTTCTTCCTGGCACCGCCTGAGTTCGATGGCGACCTCGTTACACTTTCATTGTTGCCTCGTTCGCGATGGCAGACGTTGCTGAACTTCGAGGTCATCCAGGTACGATGAGATGCCTTTTACCGAGTTATAGTGATTGACTCCACGTCATTCAGCAACGAAACAAGCCAAAAGAGCCTCCCAAGGAGCCAGAGAAGGCACCCTTCTTCCTCCCCACTTTGCCTGGCGTTGAGCCAAGGTTCGCTATCGAGCAGAATGAAAGCGAGAAGACAAAAAAGCAGACAAAACGTTTGCAGAAGGCTTCAGCGTCATCCGATAGCACGTTCTATAAGATGCTAGCTGCGGAAGACCCTCACGGTGATTGTAAGTATGCATATTTGAGATCAGACTGTGCGTTCACTGAAGCTCTGCTCGGATACAGACGAAGAATTTTTCACCTATGCAAAATCACTATCGCCAGCGGCCATCGATCTGGAGCTTCGCTCTCTAGTCACACTCGATGCTCTTCGCACGTTTCTTACGGCTCTCAATCGTCGACTCAGGTCGCATCGAGACTTTGAGGCAGTGCAGTCGTTCCAAAACGTCTTTCTCCGCATGCATGGCGACGTCTTGACAGCAAATCCCGAGTTGCAGGAGGAACTGGAGATGCTACAAGATGCCCAGCGAAAAGAAAGCGAGAAATTGTTAGAACTTCTCGCTTCATCATTAGGAACGTTGAGCTTCGTCAGGGATACGTTGTGATGTATTATTGTATATTATTACCACCCTTCGCATACATCCTCCTGAAGGAGGCAAGGGAATCTCATCCTGACCAGGGTCCGTAGACGCCCGATGTCAGATCGCGATCTTGCCACCTCTGGTGACCATCGTGTTGAATCTCGAATGTTGAACAACTTTCTGCTATCCATCTACTTGAATATTTCTTCGCGCTCACACATCTCAGTCTCGGGTATGTCAGTCCCGACATCGTCTGTCCCAAATGAGCTCTGGCTTGATATCTTCAAACACGCGACCTTTGTCCCAGGAGCTCTGGATTGTGACGACGGACACGCGATCGCATGCTTTACAAGAGACAAGGATGGGATCTGCCTTGCCAATCGCCATAGGGAAGCAATGGATATAGCACTCGCTCTCTGCATCGTCTGCAAGAGGTGGAATATGCTGGCGACCGAGTTTGTTTTCGCATATATCCGGGTGAAGGACGGCGAACAAGCCATTCGTCTTGCGGATGCTCTGCGCCACTATGCGACGACGTATCCTTATGCACCACAACCTGGGAGACATGTGATCCGTTTGGAACTCGCTTTGGAAGGCGCTCATGCTTGGACGAGGCTACATAGCTGGGCTCTCATCAAGATACTTAAAAGTTGCCCTCGTCTCTCTGTGTTCTCCACGGCATTCTGCAGCCCTGATGTTTATCTTTGGGATATGTCAACCTTTCCAGACGCCATTTGTCACGGCCTTAAAGGATCAAAGCTGCGAAGATTCGAGTCTGGTTACATCCCCTCATTTGTTCGCAAACTGGCACCTACCTTGGAGGATTCACTCGAAGTCCTCTGGCTCCGCCCTTCAGATAGGAGGCTCACTAAGAAAAGAGTTCAAACCAGCTCACTTGCGTTTCCTCGTCTCCACATGCTTATCCTCTCGGAAGCCGCAGAAAATTGCTTCGCAGAAGTCGCCATGCCATCCTTGCAGACATGCATCCTCGAAGACCCGATCCAAGACTCGGACAAGGCCCCTCAGTGTCTTCTGGCTCGGTACGGAGAGCAATTACGCTATCTTGTGACGTCCAGCACACTGCAAGTTTCTTATGTCCTCGAGAATTGCCCGAGGATCGCGCACTGGACAATTCCCTGCGCTGCAGTCGGCATGCTGCGCGTATCGGAGGCCTACTCATCAATCATATCCCTGACTCTCATCGAAGAAAGTTCACTTCGGACTTGCATGCTACCTATGGCCTTGCGGTCGCTCCATTCGATTCTCAGCGAGGACAAGTCTTTCGTGTCGCTTCGCCTCATTCGATTTCAGCTTCCTCTCCGAAGTTCCTTCACATCTTTCGTCCGAACGTACAATGAACATTGGGAGTATAGCTGCATTCGGCATGGTGGTCTGCTCCTACATCTATGTGACCGACGCAAGATCAGCGTTCAAGCATCCTTTGGCGTGGCTCAGCAGTCGGCAGATTGTTGGGCACCATTCACAGAACAGGTCAGGCCATGTTGCGATACATTTTTCAGTCATGAAGCTAGACCATAACAACTCCACATTGGACAGATGCTTAAATGACGGGATCCAGCATCTTCCGTCGCGATACCCCTGATCATCACACTTGTATCGCCTACATTATGTTACGGACATTTTGGAGCTCGTAGGATGAAGAGATCTTCTAACCCGTGTTCACTGTTGACCTGCTGTGTACATCTTCCGAGCCGTAAAGTGTACGGACCCACTGCGATTAACTTTACACCGAGTGCCTGCAATATACATCACGTTCCATGATTACTTGTGAATTTTGTGTGGCGTTTATTTGAGCCACATTGCATACAAGGACAGCAACCGCATATATATATGTATATAGCCGGCGCCAGTTCAGGCCCGCGGGCTGAGTTTGCGACTCGTTCATGAGCGCTTCCAACGTACCGTCTCTGACCCCCACTCACCGTCGTTAGCCTCGCAGCTTACCTCGGCGCTGTACCCCTTGTGATGGACCCAACGACGCCTTTCGTGGTTGGCCGGAATACGCTCCTTACATGCGAGTTCGTCTTCCGCCAACTAACAACCATAAACGCTGCTCACACACAAGGTGCTGCCAGCCGCCACCACAGGAGTTCTTGCTGGCGCGTACGGCTTGGTTAAGGGCTCTACTCAGATCGGCCCCCTCATTACCTCTGCGGCCCTCAATGGGGGCGTAGCAGGCGCGACGTTCTTCAGTGCGTGCCGCACACAACGTCCACGCCGATTCAGAGTTGACAGAACGATTGCCGCCAGGTTTTCGCGAGTACATCGCCAGCCCCGTGCTTCTGCATGCGTTGGCAAACACGGAGTACTCGCGGCGAATACGTGAGCTCCAGGCCAGTCGGAGAGCGGGTGGACGGTCGGGAGAGAAGCTCACCTGGTGGGACATGCGCATGAACAAGGTCCCAGATACCGCAATCAGCGGTGCCTTCACCGGTGCTATCCTCAATGCATGGAAACGTATGTGCACGATTATTGTTTTTGTTTCTCAACTCACGATTTGACCATGCGCAGGAGGCCCGGCAGGCATTGTGCCGGGGGTAACAACTGCAGGCCTCGCCTGTACACTCATACAGCTTGCATACAACGAGCTCGACATCGCGCGGATCAAATATGTCTCACGGACACTGCAGGAGACGAGAAAACAGCAAGACGCAGAGGCCGCTCTTCCAATGTCACAGCCTGTTCCCCTGCCCTCAGCACCCATCGAGCCACGAAAATCTTTCATAGAACGGATGCTCGTGACAATGGGCTTCCACCAAGTCACTGACGAGGAGTTCTTAGAGAAGCTGAAATTTAAACGAGATTATGCGCTGCGGCGCATTGAGGAGTTGGAGCAGGAACGAGCACAGGAAAAAGAGAAGATAGCTTCAGAGACTGTCGATTCACAGACATCTGTCAAATCACAAGACTAGGTATAAGTCCTTGTCCTTGTCCTGTTGTCACGTATGCAAAAATGGCTGCGTCGTTCCATTGGCTTAGCGTACATTGTCTAATACATCCCCCTCTCTTCACTCATCCAAACCCCACACCTCGATGATACCTTTTCCGGCGCTATCCAGTCCAGCAACGCACAAGAATGGATCATTGAGAGCAACCGCATTCACTTTTGCTAGATGGTTTGTCTCTCCAGTCCAGTTTGGCTCCGCTTGTAGAGCGCCTTCAGCGTTATGCGAGATCGTGTATCGGGCAAGCTTGCCCAGGAGCGTGCAAGTGATCAAAGTTTCCGTGCCGCGAAAAACCCTACAATGCATCATCAATGAGGATGTCACTGCGGGCATGAACGACGCCAACGTACACTGCAACAACTGGACCTTCGGCTACTTGTAGCCACAGACCCTCGTTTTCCTGCAGTCCGTCCCATTTCCGGGACCGCTTCTGTTTGGCACCGGATACAGGTGAGGGGCGCTTCTCACCGCCGGCTCCGATCCAGACGCGGCCGTCAGCGGTGGACGCTGCAACGAGACCCGTCGAACTGACGGCTGTAGAGAGGACAAATGGAGGGGACAGAGACACCCCCGACGAAGGTGGCGCGGAAGCTAGTGAGCATGATGTCAATAATCGAAACCATTCACTAAAAAATGACATGCTTATGTCAAAACGCGATAACAGCGTTCCTTGCGGGAAGTCGTGGTGCAGCAATGCCGAGTCGTAACCAGCGCTGACGAGTTCACTGGGGCGATCCGGGATGAATTTGACGGCACCGCAGATCTGCTTTGCATGTCAGCGCGTGCATATCTTGCAGACGGTTTACGAACGCTGCTGTGACGGGTCTTCATGCGAGTAACCGCCTGAGTGGAGAATTCGACAACACCAGCGGATCCTCCATCTGTACTGAAGGCTAAATATCGACCATTTTCACTGATACTAAGCTGGCTATGCAAACGGTGTTAGCGCCCGTAAGGGACGGGTGTATACTCGAGACCCACCTCGTTCAAGGCATCCTCATCGTCCTCTCCAAGTTGGACAGTGGTGCGTGCGTCTGCATCAGTTGAAATCATTTTATCCGAGTGAGCAGGGAAAGAGAACGCCTGCGTTGGCCTTTAACAGCCGTCAAAGGACCATCAGCTCTCGACGTACCCGGCAGCCGCTCGCGATCCATAAGCCACCAGCTTGGGGATCTTTGGACCTGAGTGTAGCTATTGATGCAATCTCAGAGCCTAATGACTTGATGGCGCGCACGACCTTCGGGGCCGGTAGTTCGTACAGACGCAGAGTTCCATCGTCTGTGTTTTTGGTGAGACCGCCGTTGTCCCAGATATGACGTCTTTTCTCACCTGAGCCCACCCACAAAGATCCAGACGACGAAAAAGTCACTGCAGATACTGCATGCGGCGTGTTAATGGTGCACTGGACAGACATAACGAACGAAAGAGGACCGTCGCGGCATCATGTCGGATGGAGGCCTGCCATATATGGCAAACATGACATAGGGGATCTCGAGTCGAGCGCTTCTGATCATCGTTGAGCTGAGATAGCTCAAGAAGACGCGGTCATGTCTCCTACACCACGAGCTCCGACGTCCATTGAAGAGCTCACGGTACTCTTGGAAGATGATCACAAGGTAAAGGTCGCAGGTATGTCCCATGGTCCAACATATTGCCTAAATTCTCAATGAGTCTGCTCAGGGATTGACGGTGAGCAACGTTAGGTCTCGTTCACCGGCACTGTAGCCTGATCTACAAATATAATGCAAAGTGGATGGTGTCCTCAGAGGAAAGTTCATGGTGAGTATATATAAATCACGCGTGAAACTCCTATCTCACCTTGACCGCGCAGTCGAAGGACAAGTTCCTCAGCGCAGCCTCCTCAGACGGCTTCGGATTCTGCAGCGTGATTTTGTCGGTGATCCTGAAACTCTCCCGAAAGATCACTCCATTGACCGTTTATACTCAGCGGCTGGGACATTCATGATACCGTCTATTCTCGCGAGCTTCTCATCTCAAATAGGGCTAATGGCTACCGCGACCTTTTGGCAATAATTGATCTCTCCACGTACCGCCGCATTCCATGGGAGCATAATGTGCCCTTCTTCCTTGTCTCCTTCCTCGACCCAGACACCAAGGAGCCAATCTGTGCGGATCCTCGCGGGGTCATGAAACAGGTTGTCGAACGAGCTGGATCAAAGGGCTGGCAATGTTATGCCGGTTGTGAATACGAAGTAGGATTACGCTTTAATTTCTCAATAACTGACACTAATGCCGCCAATAGTACTTCCAATTCAAAGGTAGTCCTCATCAGCCCCTTTTCTATAAGCGTGCCCTTATGATCAAACATCCTCAGAAACGCCCGATAGCCTAGCAGCGAAGAAATTCACTAATCTGCAACCACTGACCTCTGGCAGTAAGTCTGCATGTGAAGTCACTCATTCTGCTCATTATTGGCACACGCAGTGCATGGATACTCTCTGCTGCGAACACAGCTCAATAATGATTATTTCCATGATCTATTCGACGAAAGTTTTAAATTCGGGGTACCGCTTGAGGGCCATCGTGCGTTAATGTGATATCTATCAGGAATTTGTTTGTTAACCTCTCCCAGACACCGAGACGGGACCCGGTGTGTACGAAACCGCCCTGGCTTACACGACAGCCTCGCGCATGGCAGATAACGCGATCTTGTTCAAATACCTCGCCAAGAGCATCGGCATGAAGCACGGCGTTGTTCCCAGCTTTATGGCGAAACCGTGGGGCAATGTACGCACTCGTCATAATTTATCATACAGCTCGCTCACACTCTTCTTGCAGCTGCCTGGATGCAGTGGGTAAGCGTCTCCATTCAGGCGTATCAATTCGCGACTCAAAACCAAGTATCCAGCCATATCCATGTTTCCCTGAGGGATGAGAACGGCAAGAGTATATTCGCCGTGCCAGACTCAGAACTGCGGACAGGTCGGGCGGACGCTGCATATCCGGACACGAAGTTCCTCAGCCAAGAGGGTGAATGGTTCTTGGCGGGTGTCCTTGACGGATTGCCGGACGGTAGGTGACTTAAAACGCCCTCTGCGGAGATGTTGATCAACTGCCCCGCCCGCTTCAGTCATGCCGATGGTAGGGTCATTAACTCTTCCCTAACTGTCGCTCATGTCAAATCGATTAGCTCGTGCCCACCATTAACGGGTACAAGCGGCTTGTGGGTGGCGAGGCCTTCTGGGCGCCGAACGCCGTCACGTACGGATACGACTCCCGCGCAGCCTCTGTGCGCATCATCTCGCCACCCTCGGTGCCGCCCGCCGCAACACGCCTGGAGGTCCGCGTGCCGGGCGCGGACATGAACCCCTACTTTGCCCTTAGCGCCGTGTTCGCGCTAGGCTTCCGTGGCATTGAGAAGAAACTCAAACTCCCGGGCCCACCTGTCGGCCAGTTAACGCTGGAGGACAAGCAGGATGGGAAGGTGCGCATATGGACGCGGTCCTTCACGCGAAGCTGACGCTGATGCTGCCCGGGCGGGACGTCCACACAGGTGCGGATGCTCCCGCAATCTCTCGAGTCTGCCACGGCGCGCATGATGCGCCCCAACAGCATCGCACGCGAAGAGAGCGTATTCGGGGAAGACTTTGTGGAGCATTTTGGCGGCACACGCCAGCATGAGGTGAGACTGTGGAACGAAGCAGTGACGAACTGGGAGGGTCAGTCTTTGATTTCTTGTTCCACACATATGCTAATGTCTGCATATACACGTTTTCAGTGGAACGGTATCTGGAGCTTGCTTAGCTTTGGCCCTGTGTAACAATGTGGTGGGAGATTGCGGCCCATCCTATATGTAATAAATATAAACTTCGACCACGGGAACTGCTGGTACAAGTACTGCTTGCGAATGGTTAACTAGCATCTATCGACCTGCCTCTGTTGACGCTGGGGACGAACAACATCATGACATAGTGGGTAGTGAAAGACCTGGGATGGCGATCGTTTCGCTGGACGTGACTTTACTGTTACCTCAGGCTTAAAACCGTGACTCAGTCCTCTGAGTGGGCCCGCTCACGAGGGAGCTCGCAAAATCACATATAACGGATCTACGGCTACACCAGCGTCGTCAGCCGTTAATTTGGCTCCGCACATGTTTTGAGGAGCGGCATAGATACAATACTGAGCTCCTTGCAGCCGTTCGGGAGTCGCTCAGACCATAGCCACCACAGCGATGCCGAGGGATGTGCACCGAATTCGGTAAAACGTTGGTGGAAGTCCTGGCGAAGCGTGGTTAGCCTTGTCAAGACGGTCGGCTGTAGATAACGTTATTCTTCCACTCACCAGTGACTACCGGGCTTTCTCCGACTGCTGTATGGAACATGTATTTGTATCAGAGCCTTACGACGTTCTTGAATCCAGTCTTGCCTCACTATCTCGCTTGCACGCTAATTGCGTGTAAACACGGCCATACCACACACAGGAAGGTTTATCCAGCTGAATTCGGTGGTCAGCTCCTGTGATGGCAGCGTCCAGTCAAGAGTGTGGCAAGAAAGGCTACCTTTTGTTGTGATGTCTACTCCTCTGTTCGCTGCAGATTATCCTGAGCTCAACTCGCTGATCACAAGGAAAGGTTGGACGGCGTCCATTGGGGTATCATACATTGACCTAATATCACAACATGGGAGGAAGCCACCTTATAATCCTGCTTGGACAAAGCAAACTCAAGCAGCAGCATCCTGCTGGGCTTCTTCAGGTTTGGGACGAACGCTGTGGAACCAGTGCAGGAAATGCGTGACGTCCTACGCAGCATCAGGTTCAGCCAATCCGCTAAACTTTGGTATACTAGTGCAGGGAACAGTAAGAGGGGAGCGTACCTGAGATATTGCGCTGTCCATGGTGGACTCGGCGATGAAGGACGGAATCTTGCCGCCAGGCGTGCTGGAGGTGGCCATGCGCCATTCGACATTACCGTTCTCGAGCTCCTGCAGCCGCTCGACGCTAACATATCGGCCCTTCACGCCCTTCTCCTCCAGCTTGACCAGCTCAGGCTCGTCGGATAAATCAATGGGAATTGACACAATGATTCTATGTTCGCATTATTAAAGTCAGCAGGAGAGAGGGAAACAGCGCGTAAACATGAGCCTACCCTGTCTTAGGTGTAGTTGCGTCGAGGTAAGTCGTCTGTAGGACTGTGAAGACCCGCGGCGAGACTGGGGGCGTAAAGGTGTAATACAGAGACCAGACAGCTTGCGTCGGTGAGATCTGCTTGATCTGCTTCACTTTCTTGATGTCTGCGATGAACCTTGCGGTGCAACGTTAGAGGACGACCATGCATGGGCAGACAAACATACTTCATCTCATTCTCTGCCTTGTCAACACCCAGCTTGCCCCAGAACTCGTCAAAGGTCGCATCTGCGGGCGCGTGCTCGCTGACTCTGCAGTGCCAAGGTGCACCGTCCTGCGGGCCCTTGGGGCGGGAGCATGTCTTCACGACCTTGTAGTATGTCTTTCCCGACTTCCATGAGGTCGTTGAGTCGAGCAGGGTCTCCGCCAAGGTAATGATGGCATCCTCGGAGGGTAACTCTAAGCGTAGCGAGGGTCAGGGCGGCCTGTACAACTAACAAGATACGTGCGCATGCCGTACCAGAGAGCTTCAGTGGCTTAATGGAAAGCTGGTAATCCGACGACATTGCTGCACTCTGGCTCGTTCAAAACAAGGTTGGATTGTGAGAAGAGAAGCGACCTAGGCCTGGGGCGCAACGGTAACACGGGCAACATGTTGTGAGAGTCTCCGGGACAGAGCTATTCACGGACCACAGCTGCCAACATTAATATCAGTCTGCCCGACTACAGCCACAGTTCTCGACGACCAGCACGCGCCTCCGCTGACGGTTGTGATCAACGCCGACGTCAACTCGCCAACGGAAGCGACAGGGCCATGTTCCTGTGCGTGCTAAGCTGTATGGCTGTGACTGCGGGGCTCAAAAGGAACTCATCGCATTTAAGCCGTAGCCGAGCCTCGGATTGCCGCCGAGATCCACGGACCACAAAGCGCGCTCGCCCGCCCCCAGCACGTAAAAGGGGACTCTGCTCGGAGGATCCGAGTATGACTTGGGTATACAGACTCCGGCGCTCAGATACATCTGGCTAAAGCAGCAGCTTGCTATATAGGTGCGCTTCCATGGCTCGCCAGACTCGTCCACGTCTCACGCGCAGAACAGCCATGTCGTCCCCCGCAGGTGGTCCGACCAGACTATCCCTACCCCACCTGCTGCATCCTGATAGCTGGGATCTACCCGAATGGGACGGTCCAAGGTATGTACATGCAAACAGCGTGGTGATCGCTAACGGCTAAGTCAATGGCTCAGATGCGAGGACCCCTACGGCGTAGTAGAGAAGGTAGGCCGCTCCCAGGCTATGCATCGCGACATAGTCGTTGACGGACGCTCGGCAACAGCTGGGGGACCTGGATTCCTCGATCGCCATGCTCATGCGATATCGGAACTCACTACGGCCCGTGCACCGACTAACAACCGACGTTATGTTACTCGTCTTTGCGAACCTCGTCGAGCAGGACGACTCAACGACACTCTGCTCGTTTGGCTATGGCTCAAATCCCTGGGTGACAATGTCGCACGTATGCTATCAATGGCGGACGGTCGTCCTAAGCTGCCCCCTCCTCTGGACACGCATTAGTACCCGCTGGCCCAACGCTGCGCTCACTTGCCTCGAGCGATCGGCGGACGCCCCCATCGCCCTCGAAGTTTGCGTGGATGCAAGCGCAGAAGCAGCGTCTCGGGTCATCGGCGCTGTGCTGCCGCACGCTACGCGAATACAGCATCTCTTTTTCCCGTCAACTTTTCAAAGCGCCGATATGCGCGCGCTACTCGCGCCGCTGTTGGAAGCCCCGATGCCGGCCCTACATACTCTCCAAGTTTACAAAGTTCGCATGGACGAAGATTGTTTTCCACTGCCTGACTTCTTTGGTGGAAAGACACCGTCACTCAAGAAGCTCAAGTTGCGCTATGCAATACCGGGGATAGGAAGTGTCACATACTCGCACCTTACGCATCTCTTACTCAAGGGCAAGAAAAGCAAACCCATCACAATGCAGCTGTCCCGCTTGCTTGGTATCCTCGAGCAGTGTCCGCACTTGGAGGTCTTGAGGATCGCGAAGACGACCATTGTGGCGTCCTCTACTGAAGAGAAGGAGGAGCTGTCCCCCGTGTCCCTCGATCACTTGCGACTACTAGACATTGGTCGCAGCTCAGCAAACATGATTTCAACACTCCTCAGCCACCTCATCATGCCCGATTGCGCGATGCGATTATACGTCTTGTTGGAGAAGGGCGCAGACTCAAATTTCCGCTTCGGCGTTCCCGACAACCTCCAGGAGTTGCGGCTTCTCCAGAACATCACTCGCCTGCACGTCGAGTACAGTTGTGGGAACGACTACGTCACCGTTCAGGGGAACAGCAACGGTAACCTGTTCGAGTTCACCGTGACGATCCCGCACGACAGCGATATGGGCGAGATGCAATCGATCGCAGGGCAGTTCCTGCAGACCGTAGTCAACACCCTCGATCTCTCGACGCTCGAGGAGTTTGCGATCTCCGAGTGCTATCACCAAGGCGTATATATAGGCCTCACAAAGCGACGGTGGGCGCACGCGTTCCACCGGATGCCGCTGTTGCGGACATTGCATGTCCACGTGCACTCACCTACGGACGCGGGGTTCTGTCGGTCGATGCTTGCCGCGCTCGCGACAGAGCGCGATGCCAGCACCGGAGGACCGCTATGTCCTCGCTTGGAGACCCTGTCAATGATGAACGACAAAACATGGTCGTCCCTGCATTGCTACCTGATGGCGAAAGAGCGTCTGGAGGCTGGGCATCCACTCAAGCGTGTGTCCATGCGCCAGCCATACTACGAAGATCTCGAGGATGTTGAAGACACGGACTTGCCGACGTTGCGGAGAGTCGTCGATAACGTTGATTTGGAGCCACCAACAGTAGAGCTGCTCGATTTCCCTGACGAGAAGTGGTAAGCTCGCGGGTGCTGGCTCATTCGAGTCAGTCGCCGCGGGGAGGACATCATATATACCAGTATTGGATCAAGCTCACATGTATCATTCTTACCTGTGTATTGCTGTAGTTCATAGTGCTTCGCCTAGCTGTATATTATGTGACATAGTGTAACAAGGACATCTAGCCGGTGACATGCGCGAAGTAGGAGAGGTATGCCCCGGGTATGAGTCAAGCTGTCTGTTCTTGGTCGGAGGACGCTTGCAGGTTTACAAAGCCGAAGTAGCGACTACGACCCTCGGAGGTCTCGTCCCGCGGGAGCTTTTCGCCCTTCTTCAGCGCGATGCCAATATACTTACGGTCGCCGCGCAGGCGAGGCACCTTGTAGAAGCGAACGTACCCCGGAACTAGCGCGAAGAGCGTGTGGTCACGTCCCATTCCCACCTATTCGCAAAGGGGAAACGCGGTGAGTCACCTCGGCCAGATCTGGTTGCGAAGCACGGCACTTACGTGCTGGCCAGGGTGAAACTGCGTGCCCCGCTGGCGCACCAGGATATTGCCGGGCACAACATACTCATCTGCCGCAGGGACGATGGTTATCAGCCTTCTCCTCCACGCACAGCGGGCACGATGGCATCAAGAAGACGGACCTGAGAATTTCTTGACGCCTAACCGCTTTCCTGGAGAGCCGCCATGGTTCGAGACGGTACCTCCTGCACGCTTTGTCGCGGTACGGACGGACCCTGGGCCTGTGTGGCATGCATCATGTAAGAATAGGATGCCACAAAACGGACAAAACAGCACACACCACCAGTCTTAAAAGGACTCTGATTGGTCTTGAAACATCGCCACAAAGGTCCAAGCGACATAGTAACGTGGATGAGAATTAGGCGTAAGCTTGGACCTCGAACACGAGTGCTTTGTTCAAGCTTTGTTTCAAGCCGCCACAGGAGTGGTGAACTGCTTACATAAGCAGTGCGCTTGCCTCAAAAGAAGGCAAGGGAGACGCTTACAGTTGTACCGCACACTCTCATCGCAGTTGTTGATCTAAGCCCCTCCCACACATTCGCATACACGACATCATGGTTCTCCTCGTCACCTCCGACAATGAGCAGTTTATCGTCGACAAGGAGGTTGCAGAGCGCAGCGTCCTCATCAAGAACATGCTCGAGGGTACTGCGCCATTATCGCCACACTACGCGATATTGACCTATCTAACTAGATGTTGGTGAGAGCGACCAGCCAATTCCTTTGCCCAATGTCTCCTCGAGTGTCCTTAAAAAGGCATGTAATGTCGTCCGCAACGACTTCTCAAGAGATAGGGCTGATCATTCATCATCCCCTTCCTCATCGATCTAGGTCCTCGAGTACTGTGAGCATCATAGGGGAGAGCCCCTACCCACGGCGGAGTCGGAGCAGAGCCAGGAGGAGACTCGGAAGCGGACCACTGATATCAGCGAGTGGGACCAGAAGTTCATCACAGTTGACCAGGAGATGCTATTTGAGATCATCCTCGCGGCAAACTACTTGGACATTAAGCCCCTCCTGTGAGTGTGCATCGTGTCGATTGCATTCTCGACATGTTCTGATTGCGACACAGCGATGTCGGCTGCAAGACAGTGGCAAACATGATTAAGGGTAAGACTCCTGAGGAGATCCGCAAGCTGTTCAACATCGTCAATGACTTCACCCCTGAGGAGGAGGTACGTTCCTGCGCAGCGTTCCCTATGGAGCTGATGTTGATATCGTTGCGTGCTCAGGCCCAGATCAAGAAGGAGAACGTGAGTCATCTACTCCGATGTGACATGGAGCGCCTCAACCAATCTGACATTTCTTTCACAGGAATGGGCGGAGGACCGCTGAGTCCACAGTATCCATGCCTTTTCTACATTTTGATGTCCTTTAGCTCGCTTTCACCGCGAGTCCTCTACTCGCTGTTGTATTGATATTGAGACAATGTCACGACTTTGGGAGCTCGGAGTTGCTCTTAGATGGTCTGACACGATTAGTACTCTTCTATGTCGTATGCGCATACCTCATATAATGCAACAAAATGATCGCATGGTCGCCGAAGCTACGTCGAGTGCACGGTAGACCCTCTTACAAAGTGGCCGAGACTAGGATACCTGGAGCAACTACGTCGCGACGCGCAATGCAATGCGTCACGCGTATTTACCGTTTTGAGATATGAGATCGAGTTCGACGCGTTTCTTTGGCGCGCGACATCCTCCTTGTACTAGTATTTGTCTTCAACACGAATATTGCTTGCCTCACTCTGCACCCCGATGTCGCGAATACCAGATCTCCCAGGTACTCCTGTACCACACAGGTCCGAGCAGGAGCAGTGGCTCCGACGCACTGTGGCTCATCTGTGTCAGGTGGAGAACGAACGGTAAGGCATATCCAGCACGCGCCACAGCTGAGGCAACTCAGACGTCTCCTCAGCTTTCCAGGAAGTCAACCTGTTAGTTTTGCTTCCTCGGACCTGGAAAAGCTAGACAAAAAAGAGTGCGTCGCGTTCATATTCACTTCCAATGAAAGCACCTGAATGACGATCCTGGTGTAGCTACTGGGTTTGTGAGAAGTCAGACGGCATCCGCGTCTTGCTTTTCGTGCAGACAGACCTGAATACAAATGATCAAGCAGTATACATCGTAAGCAGCGCCCAGTACCTCTATCGTCCGGGTGACCGAGGATAGTGTGCAGATCGACCGCCACAATAGCTATCGGCAAGTGAACGGCCTGTTCTTCCCCCACCATGAGAATCCGCGAATGCCCCTGCGCAACACAATCGTCGATGGTGAGCTCGTCGTTGATGTCGACCCCCGCACACAGCAAGTGTGTCCTTCCATCATCTCTGAGTCTGTCACGAGACTTAGTCAATGTGTCGTATTCTCAGGAGACGCTGCGCTACCTCGCATTTGATTGCTTGGTCGTCGATGAACAGAACGTTATGTCAAAACCCCTGGATAAACGCTATGGACGGTTGAAGCTGTGGTTTTACCAGCCATATGCTAAGATGCTCCAGGAATACCCCCAAATGGCACCACAGCAGCCCTTCCAGTGAGTTCCCCGACGTCATGCCAAGTTCCAGAGAGCTTGAACTTTGGATCCAGGATCCAAGTGAAACGTGTCCAACTATCATACCATGTAGATGACGTCTTCAATATCGATCTTCCTGCCCTACAGCATGGGAATGATGGTCTCATTTATACTTGCGCCGAGACACCCTATATACCTGGAACAGACCACAATATGTAAGCCAGTCATTTACCTGTCTGACTGGAGGTAACCCCACTTACATTTGACGTATAGACTGAAGTGGAAACCACCTTCCGAGAACTCCATAGACTTCAAGCTGGTGCTTCGCTTCCCACCTGTGTCAAAAGACTCCCCTGCTCCAGACTTACATGCCAAACCCGTATTTGAGTTACACGTTTACTGTGGTGACGAAAGGGGCAAGCAGCGATACGAGTTCTTTGATGTGATGTACGTCGAGGACGAAGAATGGGAGAGGTCAGTGCCGCTGAGTCACCCGGTCCCGTGCGTTTATCTCAAAGAGCCGGCATCTTGTGCGCAGAATGAAGGCTTCGAGCGAGCAGTTTGATGACCGCATCGTCGAAGTGCACTGGGACGCCGAGCGCGAGTACTGGCGCCTGATGCGCTTCAGAGACGACAAGCCCGCCGGCAACTACAAGACGGTCGTCGACAACATCATCAAAAGCATCGCCGACGGCGTCGAGAAGGAGATGGTACGCCGTCTGCACACGTACGCGCTCCATGCTCACCACCCGTTTTCACAGCTCCTCGAGCGCTCTACCTCCATCCGCAACAACTGGAAAACCCGCCACGGCGGCCCACCACAGCCAGCGCCCCAGGCCCGCCCGCCCTCGTCACATCCCCCTCTTCACCACGCGTTGCCCCCCAAGCCACCGCCACCGCCACCGCCCCCACCATACCGTGACGCAGGCCCCAAGGTGGAACCGCGCTACGGCCCGTCTGCCCCATCCCCCTGGAGCAAAGTCACCGGGCCCGAGATGGTCGCGGGCATGTATCGATGATAGACGCCCCTGGGCCTTGGCCCGCGGTGGACGGGCCATCCGTGGGCTGCAGCCATTATTCGCCCGCCGTGGTCCTCCTGTGTATATGTGTGTGTCTCCCGCTTGTCCGTTACAGCGCTAGGCTCGGATGAGCGGCGAGAACGAGATGGGCGCTATGTTCTGCTCCGATGCGCGGACCCAGGTATCCCAGGGCTGGACAGGGCGTGGGCTGCACGCGGCCGCAGTGCAGGCGGTGATGGCAGTGAACCGCCAGCGTCGCAGGCGTGATGTCGCACTGCTCGTGTCTCCCAGGAGAGGAGGATGATCGGCGCCGTACTGTATTGGTTCCATCGCGCAGGGCCGTCCATGCCCTCTCCAGCTGGAGATCCACTTGATTGGCATCCACACCGTGCTTTCCCACACTTCAAGAACTCTTCATCGTGTTTGTCGGACCAGGAACACCTCTCGTTGCGCGCGCGTAGACGTAATACATGTTGTACAGTTATGTATCGTATCGTACGTGATAATCGTAACAGCCATGCCCCTCTTCCATTCGTGTATGCGGAAGAGCGACGATGGCCAAATCGTGAGTGGATCGTCACGGACGAGGGCGGCGCAAAAGCGAGAGCAGCGGTGGGGCACTTCAGGCGGGGAGAACAAGGGATGCGCATATCTAATTGTTACACGGACGACAGGGAATAGGAGCAGGGACAGGGGATGGGGGAGGGACACTACGGGATGGTTCTTGTGTAAGGTTAACGCAACAGCGAGCACAACAACAAAGGCGACAAACACAACAACACCGCGAGGGGCTACCGCCCAACGCAATCGTGACACATGAACCGCTGCCGTAGTGGGCTAACATCGTGAGGGGCGTGAACGTCAAAATAAGGCGTGAACGTGATACTAATGCAAGGGGTGCGAATGGAATGAAAATATGCAAGGGCAAGACGGTGAAAGCCAATGAAGTTCAAGGGAAACCAAGACCATCTAGGCCGAAGTGAGGCGATCCAAGACGCGGCGATCGTGAATGCAAAACGAAGAATGCTTGGAACGCAGGATGAAGATGAAGGAGATCAAAGACGATGGTGATAACGATGGCAGAGGACAAGTGAGGGATAAGCATATTGTGAGACCAGAAACGAGACGGAGACAGCGAACTCGAGAGACAGATAGGGAGACAGAGGGTGGCAAGAGGGCACGAATACGAGACGATAGTCCGCGGGAAAACGTAGGCTAGGCGTTTTGGCGTTGGCGGAGTGCAGCAGCTTGCCTGCACCCGTCGTGGGGAAACCTTGAGTCGTTGTGTGGCGATCACGCGGTGTGATCGGTGTCGTGGAAAGGGAGACTGGAAGCGAGCCATGAGGGCGAGAGGGACGGACGTGTAATAGTTCATCAGATGCGCCTTGAGCGCGTCGCCAGCGTCGGGGATACCAGAAATGAGACACAGGCTCATAGCCACGAGCGAAGATTGGGCGAGGTCGGAAGCGTGGGTCGTCGTGGCGGTCGTCAACAGGGGACACTAGACAAGAGACACAGGATGATAGCATATGCGCATATACGCGCCCGGCTGCCCGCTTCCAACGCGCAGCAGCCGTTTTCTTCAAAGCTTCCTCGTCACCGCACCACATCACATCACTTGGCCACAGAAATCATCGCGATCGTCGTCGTCAGGGCCGCCTGATCAATAGAACAGATCGTCCACGTCGGTACGTGTGAGCGAAAAGAATGGTGACAGGCACGGTGTGCTCGGCACATCGTCGAAGCGCTCTACCTCACGCCGCCGCGAGACTGCGTACGACAGTTCGTCTTCGACGAAGGAGTAGCTGGCAGAGCGCGTCATTCCGGTTGCAGATCGCCGGACTGAAGGACCCGCGGGGAGCGCGAAGGGCTCAAAATCCATAAAGCGCGTGTCGTCAAAGGCGAGCGCAGATACTGGTAGAAGGGCGAAGTGTGCGGAGGAGGGCGTGCTCTGGAGCGAGGAGTCGGAGAACGACGCGTCGGGCGAGTGTATGTGACGCGTGCTTGGCGTGATCGACAAGTCTACAAATTGCGGGATCGGGGAGAGAGCCTGTAGATGTAACAATGTGGTCAGCATCAGGAAGAATAAACGGCGACGTGTGGTCGCGGAGATAGCGGAGGAAGAGGGAGGCAAATGGATGTACGAACCTCAAGCGATCCGAATCCATATGCAACCTCGCTCGCAATGTCGCTGAGGGACGGCGCCGGGAGCGATATGTTTTCCACAGTGCCTGCGCCACTACCAACTTGAGGGCCTAGCTGCCACATAGGATGAACATGGTCTAGGTCGTGTTCAACTAATGGCGTGGGGGCAGCAACACCAGCCACAGCGGGCGCAGGCTCGCCTTCACGCTCTGCAGCGTCAGGCGCGTCGCGTTGGTCGTATGCGTCAAGATCGTCGCGTTGGCCGTCTTGAACGATCCACCAGTCGATATCAGCGAGCACGCGGCGATTGTTCACGTCCGAGCCAGATGATCTGCGGGGGTTGTGGGCGCCGGGGCGGGTTGCACTGCCGGGCGTGCCTTGTGAAAGTGAGGACGGATAGGAGTAAGGGCCACGTCGGGCGGGTGGGGACGAGACGGTTCGACGGAGAGAAGGCATGGCGAAGACGGGTTCAAGATCGTGTCGTTAATGCAAGACCGTGAGGGACGTGAGGGGAGGGGGCGACGAGGAAGCCGGGCGCTGTGTCGGACGGGTATCGGTCGACGACGCGGGCCACGACGACAAGAACGACGTGGGTGTCGGGGGAAGAACACGAATATATACAAGAATTTATAGGAAGCTTGGGATGTGAAAGGGTGACGGGCGGGAGGCGCCCATCAGCCACGCCCTGGACATTCCCTGTCTGGGCTCCTTCCTCGTCAAATTCGCCTACTCGGCCTGACGTTTCACGACGGTCCTCAGTGTAAGACTGTCGTCGACGCCGCCTTCTGCCTTCTCCTTGCATCAGACGGCGAGTAGAATGCCCACTTCAGTCTCTCCCTGGTCCTGCGCAGACGTCGGACGTCACCCAGGTACGCGCACTCTGGGGCCATCGCCGCCTCGAGGCATATTACGCCGCTGCAGCCCCCATCGCCGTTGCTATGTATCCTATATTCATTGCATTATCTCCCTCAGCACAAGACATGTTGTACTCTCTATACTCTGAGCGCCCGCGATCGCCGAACCATAGCCAATGGGGACGCGCCGTATGACCATTTCAGTCACGCCGAGTGCTTCTCCGCAACATCCTCGCCCTCCTCTTCCTGCTTGCCCTCGCCCTTGTTCCTTCGTCCCGTACCATAACGACTCCCCCATCCCCGCGTGTAAATTAAAAGCCTTACTGCCATCGAACCACTGCTCGCGCGGCCCGGTGCGTCACGCCCAGCCACGGTGCGGTGCACCAGGAACGAACCAGCCCCTCTATCGCGCTGGATGTATTTAGCTCTCGCACGCAGTGCCACCCGCGGCACCGTCGCTGACCTTGTCTCGCTCCCGGAAGGCGACCGGCTGATGCGCGCAACGTCATGCCTGATCGCCATGTGCAGCGAGAGGCCATGGGACCCCCAGCCACAGACGCGTCCTGCACCCTGCCCCGCGCGAACCGACGCGTCTCTCGCCTTCTCTCTGCGCCCTGCACATCAGACGGCGTGCACCGACGCCCACTTTACGTAGGGCGCGTAAATACACGTCGAGGGTGTGGTAAATCGCCTTCCGTGCATCATCGCGTTTATCGCCGGGCAGCGCAGGCGCCCGCGCAGTCTCGTCTTGGCCTTCCATTCTGTTGTGAGCATGCCTATCGCGCAGGGATCCCAACAGCCAGATGGGCACGCCGCGTATATTCAACCTGTCACATTGAGTAAGCATCGACATGATGCGCGACGCGGAGCCGTCATTAGACCGCTGCGTTCGTGCGAACTGCAGCTTCACGTTTGTCCGGGCGCCATGGTGTAACATCATCGCATGGAAATTGCATATTACGAGCGACCTAAGGTCGCAAGTTTATTCCAAGCTTGATGCGCCGCAGCTTCAGTCCAAGCCGGAGTGGTTTCACCGTGCCCGCTGGTCTCTCATTAGCGTGACTGCGGTCCGCTTTGCACTGCCTGGTGCGACTGACCCTTGCGTGCTCCACGGTTTTGTCAAAAGTCATGACGCCGCACGCCACCAGATCAGAAGGCGTCTGCTCGTCAGTGTACCCTGTCAAAGTTGATGTCACTAGTAATGATACCTAGGTACATACACACGACCGAATATTCCACCAATGGAGATGACACATCCCCCATTTGGATTACTGATGCGCACTGCTAGTAAGGTACAGCAGATTGACTCCTGCGCTCACCGCATTTCGCGTATATACGAGCCCGAGGTAGTCGCGACATCGCCATCCACCACCTCCAGTGACTCGAACCTGGAAGACTTGCCTGCCTTCGGCCAGAAACCCGTATCAAGCGGGGAAGTACGTTCTCATTGCACCCGCCGAGTGCTTCGTACGAGCGCCCTTTGAAATGCAGGGCGATTGGGCTCACCGACGTGGCCGCATGTGGGGCCGTCCTTGGGCGAAACTGACATGGCGTGAGTGCGGGCGAGAAGCATCCCAGCATGCTGCGTGCGGCCCGCTGAGTGTGCGCGCTCCCGGTCTCCATGTTGGGGTGATCTGCCCTGCGCGGAGGAGCGGGAGGCCGTTGTGGACAAGCCCGCTATCTCGACGTGTGCGTTGGAAGGTTGAACGAGACATACAGTACGGCGAGCCGTTCATTTCGCTCGTGCGCGGAGATCCGCTGTGCTGCGCGGCGATCTCATGATACTCCAGTTGCTCGGATGCTTTCGACTTAGCGCACTATGGCTGTTAAGCGTTGACGGAGTGCGTTTGGCATAGTGCCAGATTGCCATATGCAAGCGTCGTGAGTGCAGATGTTCGAGCTCATACCAGCATGACCACGGTTTCCCGAGCCGACCTGGCGGAGACGCCCGTTCAGACCGCGAATTTGAATCTCGATCGATCGCATCACATACCATATACGGCATTTGTCGTGAAACCTCGGTCGATGTCACGAGAGGAGAGGAGTACTTGTACCAGCCAAGCCGCACTTCCCGGCCAATATCATTCATTTCCCCGGTGACATACCAATGTCTACCCTCTTCTACGGCGCCGTCGTCTCCCCCACCTCGCTCACCACTTACCTCGCTGCCCCGCATGCCTTGCTCAGCGTATCACGCGTGACCGGCGACATCGAGTGGCTCGAGGAGGATGTCTCCGCTAGTGCGTTGCAGGACATCCTCGCGAAGCACGGGCAGGCAGGCGCGGTGGACCTTGTCGAGCTGAAGACGGGAGAGTTTCTTATGCCGGGCTTTGTCGACACGCACGCGGTGAGTCTTCCGCCTTCTGTGAGCGGGAGGCTGCACGCTAAACGCAGTGACGGTGGAATAGCATGCTCCTCAGGTGCCGAATGTTGGCAGGTTGGCACCCTGTATCGCTTGGGCACCGGCCTGGACACTGACGTCTGCATTGAGATAGCGGACAACAGTATGAGTTGCTCGACTGGCTGACCAATGTCACCTTCCCTATGGAAGCCCGCTTTTCCGACGTCGAGTTTGCAAAGAAAGCGTACCCCTCCGTGGTGCAGCGAATAGTCGATTGCGGAGTGTGTATACCGCTCGACCGCAGCGCCGCGTATCTGACAATGCATGCCCACTTATAGACCACGACCTGCTGCTATTACAGCACATACCACCTAGAGTCCACAAAGGTTCTCGCAGATATCGTGCACTCTCGTGGTAAGTCTCACATGCCGAGCTCACTTACTTGACACGCTCACTGTGCCGCTTGTCTCAGGTCAGCGAGCATTTGTCGGGGTAGGTACGGCGGCCCTCCTTCCCGCGACACACGTCCGCTCACCCTCCGCCCTCCCCACAGAAATGTAACATGGACAGCAACTCCGTGCCGTACTACGTCGAGCCCTCCGTCGAGGTCTCCATGGCCAATACACGCACCATCATCGCCTACATCCGCGCCCTCCCCGCGCCCTCCCCGCGCGAACCGCTCGTGCACCCCATCCTCACCCCCCGCTTCGCCATGGGCTGCACGCCGCAGCTCCTCGCCGCCCTCGGCGCGCTCGCGCACGCGGACCCCGCGCTCGCGATCCAGACGCACATGGACGAGAACGCCGGCGAGATCGCCGCCACGCGCCGCCTCTTCCCGCCCGCCAGCCTCCCGCCCCCGCCCGCGCCGCCCCCGCCCGGGTGCGCCGGCCGCGGCACGTACGCGGGCGTGTACGACGCGTACGGGCTGCTGCGCGCCAACACCGTCCTCGCGCACTGCGTGCACCTCGAGGAGCCCGAGGTCGCGATCATGGCCGCGCGCCGCGTCGGCGTCGCGCACTGCCCGACGAGCAACTTCAACCTGCGCAGCGGCTGCGCGCGGGTCGGCATGCTCCTCGACCGGGGCATCAAGGTGAGGGGCGCGCCGCTCTGTTCTGCCTGCTGTCTCCCGTTTCCCGTTTCCCGTTTATCGTCTCCTTTACGTTTCTTGCGCGTGCTGATGAGGGCGCCCGTAGGTCGGGCTGGGCACGGACGTGTCGGGCGGCTTCTCGCCGTCGATGCTGCGCGCGGTGCAGGACGCGAGCATATGCTCGAAGGTCATCGCGATGCAGGCGCCCCCGGCCGACGGGGACACGGGATTCGCCGGCCAGCAGCTGCGGGTCGCGACGCTGCTGTATCTCGCGACGCGCGGCGGCGCGGAGGTGTGCAACCTCGAGGGACGGATCGGCTCGCTCGCGCCGGGCAAGGCGTTCGATGCGCTGGTCGTGAGCGTGCGCGACGGGGCGGGCAACCCGGGCGTGTGGGGCGCGGACCTCGACGACGCGCTGGGGATGGGCACGCCTGGCCGCGAGGGCGCGCGGTGGAAGACCGAGGAGGACGAGCTGCGCGGCCACCTGGAGCGTTTCCTCTTCTGCGGGGACGACAGGAATATCCGGCGGGTGTACGTGCAGGGGCGTATGATTGGCGGGAAGGAGTTTCGAGGGTGAACGGGTGAACGGGCAGCAGAATACATTGATTGATGATGTAGCACTACACTATGGTACACGGGGTGGATATATACAGCGGGCTTCTAAGCCTCTAAAGAGTACATGATTCTTGAATGTTACACTGGTCATACACCGCACGCCGAGTCCTTGAAGTCGCCGAATTCCCATTTATAACAATCCTGCAACGAACAGCGGTCAGCACGACCGCAAGCACACGGGACACCGGCACACGGACACCCACCACACAGTCCGCCTCCTCCCTCGCCACGGGCACGTCGCGCGGCACGCCGTCCTCGCCGACCTCCCACCCGCCCTCGACCGGCGCCTCGAGCACGCGCGTGATGACGCTCTTGATCGTGTGCGTCTGCACGTCCACGCGCCAGCCGAGCTTCCCGACCGTGTCGAACACGACCGCGCGCCCGAGGTGGCAGCGCGTCTCGAGCGCGAAGCCCGCCTGCGCGCACAGCGAGCCGAGCCCCGTGCACGCGCCCTGCGGGATCGGGTCCGCGGTGTGGTACACATGCGTCACCGGCGTGCGCCCGAAGCGCGTCTGCGCGGCGGGCGCGGGGTGCAGGGCAGAGCCAGAGCCAGAGGCGGTGTAGTTGTAGTTGTAGAAGGGCTGGGCGAGCGGGGGCAGGGGCAGGTGGAGGCGCTGCGCGGCCAGCCGCTCGCCCGGGGCTTCGAAGGCTACGGCGGGGAGGCCAAACGTGGCGCCGAGGAGCGAGGCGAGGGAGCCGCCGAGCGAGTGCCCAACGAGCCAGATCGTGGAGGTCGGGTAGAGCGCGGTCAGATTGTTGATGAGGTTCTGGAGCGTGAGGTCAGCACAGAGCCCGGAGACCATGCGGGGCTACCACACCAGGACAGCGGACGTGCGTGGTCCAGCTTCACTCACCCGGACGTCACCGACGGATGTCCGATTGGGATTACTGGGCGACGCATGGCAGCCACAGGTGGTCGCCCGCATGGCAGGACGGGGTGCAGCACTCACCACGCCGACATTGTAGAACAGACTGTCCTCCACGAGCGCCCGGGTGAGGCAGCTGCTGTCGCAGCGCCCGTGGCCGGCGTAGCACCCGCACACGGTGCTGAAGACCCACGAGAAGTCGACGCGGGCGCAGCAGCACGAGAAGAGGAGGTTGTCGTTGAACTTGTCCTTCTTGCTCGTCGGGCCCTGCAGCGTCGTGCCCTTGATCGCAAGGATGACCGTCGAGTTGTGCTGTGCGAGGAAGACGTGCCCGCGGAAGCCGTCCGCGGCGTCCTCCCAGCCGAACGGGAAGCTCTGGGGCGCGCTTCAGTACTAGTACGGGTGGCTATAGCGAAGGGGGGTGCTCACCTCGTTCCATATCGGGTCAATGTCGTACCAGTTCTTCTGGCCGGGCAGCGCGTATGCGTTCCCCGTCATACGGGCGAGCTGGTCGAGGGTGTGCAGGTCCTCGATATAGGGGCCCATGACCTCGATCTCGTCCCACTCGACCTCCTCGCTCGTCCCGCCGCGCAGCCCCCTCAGCCGTGCGTCCTGGAACGCCGTCTGCGAGCGCGGGCGGAGGACGGTCGTCGGGCGTGCCTTCAGGGTGAACGTGGTGGTGAGCTGGCCACCCTCGTTCTCCGGAGCGGCGACATGGAATGCGAGTTGGTGTGCGCCGGCGTCGGGGCTGTAGGCTTCGGGTGCGAGTCGGTACTCATGATGCGGGGTAAAGGTGATCGAGGACGGTTCGTGGGCGCTTGGTGCGGCTGTGATCGCAAGAGGGGCGTGGACGAGGATGAGTGCAAGAGCGAGAGTCAGTGCGAGCATGCCGGGGAGAAGAAATGCATGAGCACGACGGGGAGTGGCAAGCGTAGGGAGGAGGAGGAGGAGGAGATGAGAGGCGGGCGGACAGACTCAGCGCCAGCACAGATCTTGACATGATCGGTTTCCTCTCGTATAACTCTCACACACCAGAATGGGTAAGCGCTACTAAACGAGGCACATTGACACAGCTAGGTTTTAGCGTTGAAAGTGCCAACTGAAGACTGAGAATTGCCCTCAGCTTCAGCCTGCTTATATATTGTACAAACCGCATGAGTAAGTATATACTACATGAGAGAACCTATCTACAAGGAAGCGAGCATGGGTAAGGTCCGAGATAGGCATGAGAAGACAAAAGACATATATGGTAACTAAATAGAGATAGGGTTCCGTGGTCCGAAGTAGTGCGTCCGAAATGAAAGAACCGTAACACACATCCACTCGCGACGCTTGCCGGCGCAGTGAATACTCATACATCCATTATGTTCAGAGCAACAACAAATATTGCCGTTATCACTCAACCTGTCAGTCAGGCCAAACACACATAAATTTCGTGCCTCGCGTCGCTCTGAGCACCTCGAACTGAGAACACGGATATCTCTCGAAATACTCATCGTATCGCCTTGATTCTTGCTGCGTTCGACTCTGCTCATCGTTCCGGAGGGCCTGGTATCCATAATGTCATGATCTGTCCATGCGTAGCTGTTGTCAGCTCTGCCACCCCCTTCTGGACGCAGGATTGTTTTCGCCCGCGAATGCGAGCATCTGTTCGTGTCGGAGTGACTGTGTTTGGTCGAAGTGGATACTAGGGAGGGCCCGGTATCATTTTTGGTGTGTCCCTTAACCCATAGGTCTTTCCTTGGTCTATTCTCTGCGCTCGAGCATCACGCAAGCTATGGTTGTCTACCTGTAGCCTTGTGTTCTTCGCCCACCTGGTGAGTCAGTCTAATAGCCTACTACTGGTGTGTTTCTAGCTTTACAAGACATCTGTCACCTGTTTAGCAACCCTCCATGCATCGCTGTCAACACCCTGTGCGCGCACTCTTGAAAGGCATACTTAGCATGCAATCTATAAAATCCTGACCTTCAGAGCAATTTTAATGCACCCCCAGACCTCCAGCACATGTCCAGCTCTCCCGGAGAGACAGTCATTTGTACTTGGCTCACTGTTGGTATGTCTTACACCAGAGCCAAGCTCTTTTTCGCGATCAAGTTGCTCTACGCTTGTATTTTACATAGGCAATACTCATAATAGACACATACCAGTGATTTCACATATTGGGTGATGTATTGCATGTAGATGTGCCGGTCTGTCTCAATTTAATGGCTATCAAAGTGGTATCAGGGCCAGGCAGAGCGCTGATGTGACATTGTATGCACAGCATCTCATGTAGCCTCTCTTGCGCTGTATGCAGGTTGGTTGCAATTATGAAAGGCAACAAAACCGAAGGGCAGCACAACATTTAGTCCATTATATGCAGTAGAAGCCGTACTAGATGGCGCAGGAGTCTCTTTGCGACTGAATGCTAATGTCAGATGAGGGGAACAGGTTCATACCATAAGATAGCTCTCATGGCTTTATATGATATATTACATGGGTTGGGGATACTGGAAAATAGATCCCGAGCAACCTGTACCGATGGCATGGAGGAGTGCTAGCAGTATGGCGACAATAGCATATAGTGAAGATAGTCTTACTGGGGGACACACTAAACCCATACCGGGCCCTCCCTAGTATCCACTTCGACCAAACACAGTCACTCCGACACGAACAGATGCTCGCATTCGCGGGCGAAAACAATCCTGCGTCCAGAAGGGGGTGGCAGAGCTGACAATAGCTACGCATGGACAGATCATGACATTATGGATACCAGGCCCTCCGGAACGATGAGCAGAGTCGAACGCAGCAAGAATCAAGGCGATACGATGAGAGTTTCGAGAGATATGCGTGTTCTCAGTTCGAGGTGCTCAGAGCGACGCGAGGCGCGAAATTTATGTGTGTTTGGCCCGACTGACAGGTTGAGTGATAACGGCAATAACAGTCCAGCCAACAGCACAGGCAAACTACGGCCGTGTCCTCGGCGACGCCTTGCTCGCATGCAGGTCCTTGATATCGAAGAATATGCTGACCCCGAACGACACACACAGCAGACACGCCGCCGCGCTCGCGAGGTTGTACGCATCGCACCTGCAGCACATCAGCACGCGCCCTGCACCACTCGACGCACACACCGTTGACACTCACCAGCCATTGTACCCGCCCACCGGGCACCGCTTCCCCATCAGCACCACCACGAACACGGCGCCCCACAGCACCCACGCAACCACGTCGAACACCATCCCCACCTTCAACTGTTTCCGTGCACGCTTCCACTGCGCCTCCAGCGCCAGCCCCGCGAAGATCCCGCGCCGCCGTGGCCGCCGCCTCCTCGGGGCATACGAGCCGGGCGGCCCCAGCTCCGTCTCCCCGTCCTCCCCCTGCTCGTCCTCCCACTCGTCCTCGTCTTGGCGTCCGCTACCAAACATCGTCGGGTCTACAATGAGGTTCACCTGCACACCGTCGCTGGCCCCGCCCCCGCCCTTGTGCTTCTTCCCCTTGCCGCCTTTGCCCTTCTTCCCACCACCTGGGAGCGACTGTACGGGGAGCACCATGAGCCCGCCCGGGCCCTGCTCGAAGGCTGCGTCGCGCGAGCGTGGTCGGGACCCACAGCAGCAAGGATAAATGAGGAATAGATAGATCGTGCTAAGGACAGTTAGGAAGGAAAGGATGTAGAGGAGGTACGCGGGGAGCTTGTTTGCCGGTGGGGGTGAAGAGGATGGCTTGATGATCTGCAGTTGACGTTAGAATATCTGGGGTGTACCACCCGTGTATACAGCAGCAGACATGATGATGGCACAGATAGCTTGACAAATGCACGTACCAGAGCGGAGTAGATGGACGCCACCGAGGACGTCGCAGCAAGCAGCACCTCAATGCACCGAACAGCGATCCTCTTCTTCGGTCCATCTGTGATCAGCTTGCCCTTGGGATCCACACTGCCCACCTTCTCCTCGTCGTCCTCCGGCGCCTTTTGCTTCCCGCCGAACTCCGCCTCCAGCATGCGCATACGCTCCTCCTTAAGCTCTGGATCTACCGGCATGTCTGCATCGGCGCCCGCGGTGCCCCATGGGACGACATTGAGGTCGCGAGAGGACTGAGAGGGATACGACGGCGGCGGCGAGCGGGTGTACGGGCCCACATCGAGTGCGTGCGTCGGGTATGCGGGATCAAAGGGGGACAGCTTGGGGTAGTCCGCGCCGTGCTCGTACGCGGAGGCGGGCGGGGAGAAGGGCTTGTGCGCCCTGTCGTCGTCGTACCACGCGCGGGAGAACGGCGGGAAGTGCGCGATGTCGATCTCGGAGTCGACGCCTGCGACGCGGACCGCGGGCTCGTGCAGCCCCTGCGCGAAGGAGGGGTGACTCTGGAGCGAGCGCCGCGGGAGAGAGGGGAGGGAGAACGGGCGGCGCGCGGGCGCACGGAAGCTCGCCTCGGACGGGGAGCTCGTGCTGGACGCGGAGGGCGAGAGGAGCGAGGGCGGGCGGGCGGAGTCGGGGCTCGCGAGGGGCCGCAGGGCGGTAGGCGAGGGGGGGTACGAGTCGTAAGCGTGGAAGTTGAAGCCGGCCTGTGCATACGGGTTGCCGCGGCGCAGATTCGCAGCGTAGTCGGCGAGATCGAGGGCCTCGACAGAGACGTCGGAGGGCTCGCGCTGCCGGGGGAAGCTGTCGGGAACGTAGGAGTCGTACTCGGCTTCAGGTGATCGTGAGATGGGGGGCAGAGGGTCGCGAGGGTCTGGAGACCAGGGGCGGCGGAAACGGGACGAGGGCGGAGGAGTGTCGAGGCGATAGATGGGATACATTGGTCGTGATCAGATCGTAAAGAGGTCGTTAAATTTGTCGTGATGTCGTTAGTATATGGTGAGTGTGTGATGAAGAGTGCGCGGACACAACGCGGGGCTGCTGGAGTGCGAGGGCTCGCCGCTGTGGTCGCGGATGAGAGGGCGTCGGGAGGATCTGCTGCACTCGGTCGCAGGCACATTGCATCGTCACATGTACAAGTGATCGGTCCCCGGTCACACAGCTCTGTCACGCTTCGGTGCGAACGTGCGATCCTTGCACTCACGCCGTTTATTGCCATGCTGCACGACCATCTCCATAACTCGCGTCGCGGGTGCAAGCTCCCTCTCGAAACACCCATTGGATTCTGCCATAATGCAAAGTAACCTAGAATTCGTCGCTAGGCACTGCCCACTTTCACGTGCTCCAGTATATACGCGAGACCACGAGAATCACAGAGGGAGCATTGATTTGTCGCAGACCGGATCCTTACGTGCGCTTTTCAGCGGTTCAGAGTGCAAGCCATCTAGCCGAGCTATGCAGTCCTGAACTGGGTCATAAATCCCATGGCGTCCTTGCATCCGCGGCATGGCGCAATCCAGCTTCTCACCGCAGCGCTCGTATCCTGAATTTAGCATGTATCAGTCCGCTTCACCGGCAAGCCACTGTACCGCAAACAGCTCGCCCAACGACTAGCACCCCTCCGCCATGTCGGAAGACGCAGCCGCTCTACATCCAGTGCGCCGCTCCGCCCTCATCGCGGAGCTCTGGGACCTGCACCAGCCCCCAACTTATCTCGCGACGGCCATATCTACCGCCGCCCGCCAAACCACCGACAACCTCAGGATCGTCCTCTTTTCGCCGCTGTTCGACGCGCAATCCACGCCCGCCCGCGCACGCACAGCAGATCCGAGTGGGCCCTCGCGGAGAGACGACAATGCGTTCTCGTATACAGGGCACTTCGACGAGGTCCAGAGACTGCTGACCTACGTCTACGTCCAGGCGACGAGCGTCGCGCAGGAGCTCGGCAGGGTCCTCGTGGACATCGACGTCCTGCTCAAGGGCACGCAGGAGCCGTCCCCGGAGGAGCTGGTGCGCGATGCTGAACGTGTGTACTGCGGTGAGTGTTCCGGTGCTCCGGCATGCACGCAATACCCGTCTGCCCGGCTGACGATGCGACAGTAGCGGCGCAGGCCCCAGAATCCTCGCTCATCCCCGCGTCGCTCCAAGGACGCACGGGCACGATCGTGCTGCAGCCAGGCAAACGGCCGCACGTCTCGCCCCGCCCGCCCTCTCCTCCTCCTCCTCCTCCTCCTCCCAGCGGCGCACTGCCGCTCCCCCCGCTCTTCCGCGTCGCCGCGCTGGGCGGGACCTTCGACCACCTGCACGCCGGGCACAAGATCCTCCTCAGCATGGGCGCGTGGGTGGCCCGCGAGAAGCTCATCGTCGGCATCACCGGTGCGCGCCTCCCCTGTCCCCTGTCCGTGCCGCGCGCGCGCGCTTAGGCTGAATGTGCGCACAGACGACGCGCTGCTGCGCAAGAAGGCGCACAGGGAGGTCCTGGAGAATGTCGCCTTGCGCACGGCACGCACGCGCGCGTTCCTGGAGCGCTTCAAGCCCGGCCTGCACTACGACATCGTGCCCATCAGCGACGTGTACGGGCCGACCGCCTGGGACCCGGACGTCCAGGCCCTCATCGTCAGCAAGGAGACGTTGTCTGGCGCAGCGTCCAGTGGGTGCCCTGTTTTGCTGTCACACCACGGTCTGACGTCGTTTGCCCTCTAGTCCATAGGCTGCGGCAGGAAAAGTCGCTCCCGCCGCTGCACACGTTCGTGATCGACGTGATCTCGGCGACAGAGGCCAGCGTGGACGACAAGGACGCCGAGATGCTGAAGAACACAAAGATGAGCAGTACCTTCATCCGCCGATGGATCGTGCAGAACCAGACGCGTGTAGAGAGCAAGTAGAAGTGTCGCGCGAAAAGCATTTCCCTGCAGGCACCGTGGCATACACGACCAACCATCTAGCTCGTATGTATCAATTAGGGTATTGACAGCAGTGTTCTCTGTGTACAAGAGTAAGTACAAACGGAATAATCATGCCGAAAACTATGGCGCAAACCGAACCCAACCCTAGTCCACATAATAAAGAATAATGAGACATGAACGAGAAACAGTAGTAGAATGCGAGCGAGCTGTGTGAGATGTCTTGAGATACAATGCGTACATCGTCCGAGATGAGATGTCATCGAAGAATCCATAAGGGGGGCGACGCCGAGCGTGTGTCCGTCGCCGTCGGTGCTCATGCCAATGTCTGTGTTACTAATGGTGCAGGGCGGGGCACCGTCGTTCAGCGCAACTCGCTGCCGCCGAGCCCTGCGAGGTCGATGAACCGCGTTATACGCTTCACCGCGATGCTGTCACGCGTAATCGCCATGTCCGCGAACTCGTCCGCGAGTTCCTCCTCCTCCTCCTCCGCCGTCTGCGCGTGCCGCTCGCACAGCATGCGCCCGTCCACCTCCCAGTACTCCACCAGCCGCTCCGCGCAGCGCGGGTACTCGCACAGGAAGTGCGCGGGATGGAAACGCTGTCCTGCGTGCGACACGGCACACGGGCCCTCAATAGGCTGCCCGCACGTCGCCGCGGCGCACAGGGAATTATTTGCTTCGTGGTAGTGGTATGCGCAATATGGCTTCCCGTCAAAGACGTAGAAGCTCTTATCCGGGAAAGATTTCTGCACATGGCAAAGTCAGAACACTGGCTTCGGGTGAAGTGATAGCACGCTCACATGGCACTGGCTGCAATTAAAGCAATCTCTGTGGTACTTCCCCTTTAACTGGCCATCCGAAGACGACACCGCTTGCTTTTCGATGGTCAAGCCGCATCTCCGGCACTGTCACCCACCACAACATCGTCGGTCTCACAACCCGGCACAAGGCAAACGGCAGCACGCACCTTCGGCAAATACATACTCTTCCAGCACTTATCGCACAAAACGCTCCCGCCCTCCATCTGTATCCATCGCCCGTCATCGATGATCTTCGTGCATTTCGCACATACACGCTCCTTCACGCGCTTCTTGCCGCGCGCCTGCTCTACCCGCCCCGTGCCCAGCGTCGGGCTCGTATGTGAGCGCGTCGGCAGCTTCGGCGGTCGGCTGTCGCGCTGGTTCTCGGGCAGCAGCGGGGCAGTTAGTGGGGCAGGGCTCGCGGCCGCGCTCGTGGAGGGAGAGACCACATCCTCGAGGAGTGTCTCCATGACGCGGTCGAGCGCGCCAGTGGATTTCGCGATCGTACGCGCACTGTATGTCGACGTGCCCGTAGACGCAGATAGGCTGCGCTGCGGCAGGCGCGGCGAGACAGGAGATTCCGAGTAATGCGATTCGCTTCCTGCTATTGAGGGGAAGCGCACCTTGTCTTTGTGGTCAGAATCGCTGGCCGGCGTCACGGAGGTTGAGATCGGGGGAAGCTTCGTTTTGAGAGGCTTATCCTCATCCTCGTCCTCGTCAGCGGATGAGCGAGCATATGCCAGACCACCGTAGTCAGACTCTGCGTCCGAATCCGGCGCTGTTGTGTCCAGGTTGTCTTCAGGCTGAAGTTCGGACCGTAGTTTGCTGTCCTTGAACTTCTCAAAGAATGGCAAGCGGATGGAGGCAGCAGACGGGGTCGTCGGGGTCGCAGACAGTGGTGTCTTCGGCGGCTCCATGCCTGGAGAAACGACGCGATCATGGCGGAGAGCTGAGCCGACAGGACTCGTCGGAGATGACGCGACAATGGGAGCAGAGGGGCTAGTCAGGGCGGCTGGGTGCGTGCGCGAGAGTGGGGAGGGGACGCCTGCAGAGACAGGCGACTTCTGGGAGAAAGGCGAGCGCGGGGAAAGGGTGGATGTGCCTGAATTAGCGGGAGATAAAGGAGGGGTGTGCGCAGTATGTACAGATGCTGCCCAACGCGTCAAGGTCAGTTCTGAGTGCGCACACATAGCATGCACATCCGTACCATAGGTTGTTGCTGAAGCAATATCAAGGAACTTGGGGGCATTCGCGCGCCTGCCATCCATCCCCTGCCCGGGAACCATGCTAGGCGGCAGCTCGTGCTCGACGGGCCCATTGCGTGGCTCGAAGTGAGCAAGGAAAAGCGCGGCGTGGGCGGCAGCGGCGAACCCACGCCTACCCACGCCTGCCATGCCAGCTTCCCCACCAGTCTTGGTATCAACCTGTGGGGCAGGCGTTTGCGGCGGCGGCGTGGGGGTCGCCGAAGGACCTGCCCCGAGATTGGACGGCCGCCGCTCAAACGGCAGACGACCTGGGGCGCTGTGGGGGGGATGTTCGTGGGAGTAGTGGGGATTAGGTCCGATGCTGGCTGTGGATGGTGCACGAGCGCGCAGGGACTGCGGGGGAGGAAGGCTGGCGGTAGACGGCATTCGCGGACGTCCAGGCGGACTTAAGGGGCTCTCATGATTATTCGGCGGCGTCCTGCTGGGCAGGGGAGCCGTGGGGGGAGGAACATGTCTTTGATCAGTAGAATAGATGATCTGGCCGACATTGTCAGCCGGGGGTCCAGCATGTGTGGTCGCGCGGGGGCGCACGGAAGGCGAGGAGAGTCCCGCAGGAGGATTCGCACTGAATGGGGGTGGTGTGTACGGCGCAGGGCTCGACAGCACTGGTTGTCGAGCCTCGCTGGGCGATAGAGGCGACGGGCGGGTGCTGGCGCTGGACGGCGCTCGCGGACGTGGAGTGTAGGACCGGGAAGAAGAAACGGAGGTGCGTGCAGTGGGAAATGGGACCTCTGCGTTGGGCGCATCTTGCCCAGCCAGGGGCGACCGCACATGAAATGGGGATGCTTCTGACGGTCCTGGGCGGCTCGAGAATGGTGTTCGCCAGGCGTCTGACGGGGTGGCTGCGTGGCTGCGTTCAGGCTCTGCGCGGACGTCGCGTCCGCGCGAACTGGATGTCGATGGCGCACGCGCGCGTGTCTGGCCAGACAGGCTGGCGTGCTGGATACTGGGCGCGCTCACCTGGTGCGAACTCACTGGCTGCTGCGCCTGGATAGTCTTGACCGGGAACGCGACGCGACTCTGGTGCTTTGCAGGGTCAAGTTCGAGCGCGGTCAGCGGGGACACGAGGGGCTTGCCGGCCAGAGAGGGGACAGGTGAGCCTGGCTGGCAGATGTGGTCACCGAGCTCAGCGATGGGGACAGGCTGGGCACAGCTGGAGCACTTGACCGCTGGGAGAATCTGGGAAATGCGCCCCGGGTCTGGGGCGGCGGGCTGGAGGAGCTGGGCCATGAAGGAGCGTGGAGGTGAAAGGACAGTGAGATGGAGGTAGTATGTACGTCGCAAAAATTAGTCGGGCGGAGGAGGAGTAGGATATAGTCTAGAGCAGAACGTGTTCTGAGAAAAACATAGCAGCCAACATATGGTCCATCAGAGAAGCGCCAGCAGCGTCGGTCACTTGTCCGTCTTTATCCGTTGCCACCATGCACACCGTGCCATTGGCTCGACATCGCCCCAGGTTCTAGAGCCCCCACTGCCGAGTCTTCTCAGATGCACTCTCTCGCCTCGCTGCTCGTTCGCATTGCGCGTCGGGCTGTCCGATTCAAATGCGCTGCAGCGTCGGGGCAAGCTGTTCGACAGCCCCTGCAGCTTTTGTCGGTCGCGACAACACGCGCCACCCAAGATATGCTAGCGTTGCGTAGGCGCATGGCCCAACATATGCCAAGACACTGCGAGCACCCAATCGAGTTTAGCCGATGTGTGGGGCGGGAGGCATGATCAGTCCTACTCCCGGCGGCCACGCTCGTCCAATCACTTATCGAGATCCCAGCGCACCAGTTGCACAAGCCAAGTACTCAGTCGGGCATTGATTCAAGCAGCCACGCAACAGCCAGCAGCGGTCGTGTATCCCTCAGGCTGCATCCTGTCGCCTTATAGTTCTACGAGACGCAATATGGAAACGCAACATTGATTGGGGCTTCCCGCGTCTCGAATCGCCTGAGAAGTCAGGAAGCTCGCCTTCGTCATTGCAGGACCTGGGAGTGGAAGCACAGTTTTCACATCTGCCGCTGCTTCTCAATAACGAACAGAAGAATGTTCATTTGCGGCATTCCGACGGCCGGAAACGCTGACAGACCGGTGATTTGATGTGGACTCTGTTCACAGTCGGTCCCTACCAGAGGACTGAGCAACTCTAATGCGATGACTACAGGTTAACTATACTCTCTCTTTCATACCTATGTTGTCGACTGTATCCGCGACGAGCCCCGAGAGTGTCCAGCATTCCTGGTATTCAACGTTTGCAATCAGCGCCTCACAGTGTCTTTGCAAACATGCGGACACGGCAACGTTCATGCGTTCTACCTAGCACTGTCCGCAAGATGCATCCAGAAACTCAAATAGCGCTCCGACCTCGCGAGCAGTAATATGGAACATAATGATTGCTGCATGTATATGCCGAGCTCACCATTGTCCCCCTATGGACGCTGTTGGTAATGAGGTGATAACATGTTTATGTTTTGTGCTTACAGTCATTCGCCTGCTAGGGAAGATGTTGTCGCAGACTGAGCCCTGATGCTTCGTAGTGAGAAAATTATCCTATCTTCTATTCACACTGGTTACTGACGACGTCCCATATCTTCCAACCCAACCATAGCACACACGTCCACTTTGCTTCGACCTTAAGGCCGACTATTGCCGGTACTTCTTTTGCAGCTGTCAACCGGTCCCATTGGCATTCTCTTGCGGTCTGTGCGGGTGCACTGGGCCCTACATTTATGACATTCGCTGACGGTTTGCATGCCCAACTCACGCGCAGTGTTTGCCACAACGAAGGGTAAGTGTCGCTTGTTCCCGGTTTTGCATTGCATCCACTGTTCCACCGTGCACACGCCCCTAGCGCACGAGTTCTTGGGCATTTGAGTTCACCGCGTTATCCTTTGGAGCGTCCCAGAATTCACCCGGCCCTAAATTCAACAGCTTGATTTTCACATTGAGAAGTCGAAAGACTAGTGGGATAAATTTTGTGTCTTCTCCAACTTCCGCGGGCGACCCTCGTCGAACGTCAACGGTTGAATCTAAATGCTCAAGCTCAAGATCTTAGGCATCGCTGGTACCGCCCACTGGTACGCCGCGTTTATTTATACTTTCGCTGCATTTTCCATTCTTGCCACGCAGAACGCGTGGATCTGTCAGTGAAGAGGAGAAAGACACGCGCCTGCGAGCTCCACACCATCAGTGCTTCTCTGACGGCACAAATGCTCCTCATATATAAAGCTCGACTTCCCGCGCGGAACTGCGCCCTCTCGAGCTTGGAAGGCGATTATCATGATGGCTGCTTCTGATATGCTTTGGGCTCAGCAGGCTCCTAACTATGAACAATCTGTCCTTAGATCAGGACTTGTCAACCTTCCCGTCTCGTGTGCCACGTCGATGGCGTATCAAAGATAACGCGTCAAATATGGAAGCCACATACATTGGAGCTTATATGACAGCGCAGGATTTCTCAGGCGCTTTTACACACGCCAGCGAAGTCGACCTCGGACTTTCAAGCAAGCTCACAGTGTGCATCACCGTCTATTTGGAGCTCCCCGTCCAGCCCCCACATCTCCCCGAAAGGGAGAACAGCTCCCAGGCCCGTTTCCATTCTCGCCTAGACAATAAGCCCGAGCAGCAGAACAGCTGACATTGCTCGCTCTGGGGCTCTACACCGGGGTAGGGGCGGGTGCCCGCAGTGCTTCTACCGCAGATCGCTTCTCCTCGCAGTGTGTCGGTGCGCTTTCACGGAGAATACCCACGTCAGACCGCCGGTCTGGCGACGAGTGCAGGAGGATCCGCAGCCCGACATCGACTGTCAGATTACCGCGACAGGCTGCCATTTGCAGGCGACAGGTTAGGAACAGGTAATCGCCCTCGTTCATTGGATCTTTGGGCGGATCCCGCTGACGCATTCGTCGCGGATCCTCGCGCTCAAAGGACATGCAGCCTTATGTAAGGTGACTGTACGCGTCCCGTGGCGACAATTCATTCTTATTTAGACTGGCGCATGAGTTCGTAAACATTAGGTAATTGGTTCACAACACCCCACCTGTCCTGAAACCTTTCCTGTCGGTGGTTGAGAGATCTCGGTCTTCCAGATCCAACTACCGCAGCAGACATCATCGACAGCCGCGGGTCTGGTATACAGATCGCGGAGCAGAGGCTAAAAATAGCAATTAGACTGTAGAATTGACTCGGCGATACTGTATGGACTTGGGAATAATTGAAATGATGACTGGCTGTCACCTTCGTGATTTCCACAAGTGACATCAGCTATGGCGACATCCTTGCGCCTGGCTGTTGCAACGTTGGACCAATTAACACACAACGCACGCCATGTAAGCCGGTCACAGGGAAGGAGATGACCATTTCCAACAGATTGACCATGTTGTACGGTTTCAGCGTGCCATCCACGCAGGAGAGAAACGATTAGAGAAACATTATGCGGCGCAGCTCAGAATCTCAAACGCTGTCCATCCGTTTGCTCACCATAACTCAGATCGAGCCGACGTACGCTGAGACAGGCAGGAGTATAAAAATGAAACGTTGATCTTTCCGTTTCTGCCCTCACTGCCTGTGGCGCTGATCGACTGTGGCGGCCCTCACCTGCAGCTGTCGGCGTTGACACGCTTGTTCCATGGGACAATCAATCGACACGATAGACTCCGTCGCGCGGGCTGGTTCTCCATGCATGCGGACTGAAACGCGCTGCGCCTACACAATACCTCCCGAGGCGGGACGACACACCAAAAAAAGCAGGGCGTCATCGCGGGACGGTCAGCATGACACCCGGGGGGACAAACGCTATCCGACGTCTGGGCGTCCAGAGGCCCGTCCGAAATCGAATCGCGGGCGACAGGTACGCGGCCACGCTTTACGCCATCGTCGTCACCGTCACCCGCGCACGAGGCCGAGATTCCGGAGATCGCCCACACTTCTTCGGTGCCTCATGCACCACGATGCGCCCCCTTCCGGACTGGGGATGTTCCTGAACGTGTCTGCGAGCTTCCTCAGCCCGGAACTCCGACGCCCTCCAGACGTCCATGCTCCGGGCAGACCAGCTGCGGAACTCTCAGGCCGGATACCTTCGATTGCGCATGCGATGAAGCAACCGCTAGTAATGGAACGGTGGCTGCAGTTAGCAGAGCATAAACAGTAAACTACTTGCCTTGTGTGTATACACCCATGACGGTCATTCGCTCAGATCGGTACCACACCTGCCAGATCCTGCAGCCACTCGCCGTCCAAACACGGCACCCGCCATACCCTATCCGCATATCTGCCTGTCGCAAAATATACATTTGCGCTAAACCCCAATGTGAGCGGCTAGAGGAGAGCAATTACGACAACTAGGACTATATAAAATCACCAAGTAAGTCCGACCGTGGGCTGAACGACAACATGGCACTAGCGAAACGAAGTAGCAGCTAGGAACGCGCGCAGCGTCCGCTCCCGCACGTCCCTACCCGTGGGCCCCAACGGGGCTCGTAAAAAATACATGCTCTAAGGTAGACTTCGGGCGCGTCGCCTGTGTAACGGTAACATCTCTTCCTCCACGCCACCCTACATCCCACTACTGCCAGAGCCGTAGTGATGATACTGAGGCTGGCTCTGAGTGGACGAACCGGCCTGCATGCTCACGTCTTGCTGGTATTGCCCTGTTTGTGGCGCGAACCGCTGGAAGTACGTGTCCCACTGGTCTGCCGAACAGTCAGAACGAAGGCGCACATCTGCTGCGACGTGAAGGACGCACTGAATTCAACAAACATGCCGACGCCGTCTGGTAGGCCGTCCAGGATCCCGCCGCCCGCCGCCATCATCTGTTCCATGAAGTTGTTAGACGCCTGAGGCACGTCCAGCACGTTCAGGACCTGTACATTCCCCGAGCCGTAGCTGTCGTTCAGCATCGGGTTTACGTTCGAGTGGCTCCCATCCGGGGGTAGGTAGCTGACCATCTGGGCGCCTTGCGGCTGCGGATGTTGCTGCTGCTGCTGCGCGAGCTGCGCTTGCCCGTGCTGCGAGCTGCCGGCTATAGACGACGGCCACGCATACCCGGGCATGGCAGAAGCAGACGGGAGAGACAACGCGGAGTCATTGCGAGCTCTGACGCCAGACACCGCAGGCACGGGCGCCTCACCTTCGTGCCCCTCGTCGCTAATAATCGTGCCCTCGGGCACGCCCTCGACCTGGCTCTCCTTCGGCTTCATCGTGGCCACGAACACGCCGCCGCCCGGGCGTGACGGGTCCTTCTGGAAGACGAGACCGCCCAGGGGCGGCTTGCCCTTGACGCCGCTCGTCGGGTTGAGCGGCGGCGGCTCGTTCGCATTCAGCGGGCTCTGCGTCGCCTCGTAAAGAAGCGCGATGATCTCGGCAGTCTGTTGTGCGTGTCAGTACGTGATACAACAAAGAGTCTGCGAGCGTTTTTAGACGGGCCTTTCGACGTGCCGACATGTGGTCAGGCGAGAGAGACGCCTCCCATTTCCGCACACAGTCCCGAAGCTTCTTGAGCCTCAATTGGGCCTCAGGGTCCTTGCGCCTCGCCCAGGTGTGATACTGGCCGACGGATTTCAAATGATTAGTAAAACATTGACTGGGACACATTTTGTATGACACGCACCTGCACGAGAGCACATGACACAGCACAATACGCGACGAGCAACCAGACGTCATACAAGCGTTCATGAGCGTCCAGCCAGTCGATAGCTTGACCCGTGAGCTGCTTGAGCTCGGTAAACTTTTCGACCGTCAGCGCAAACTTGAGATGCGCAGGGCACGCGTAGGATATGCGCATAAACACGCGCCAGAAGATCATGTTGACGGTCGCGTACAGCATGAACAACACACCTGACACGCAGGGTCAGGCAGCCGACAGTTGGAAGGCGGGGGACCACTCACCACCATGACGCCCCGTGTCCTGACCTTGGAACTGCAGCTCCTCCGGGAGGTTCGCCTTCCATTGTTCCAGGTCGCGCAACAACATATGCAATTGCTCATCCGTGGCAACGTTCAGGCCAGCGGGCCTGATATCAGCGTCAGAAAGCCGTGCATCACGCCTTCCATACTACTCACGTGTAGATTGTTTTGAGCACACGACCCAAAATCAGACTCAGCCGAACAAGCTCGTCAAGGTACCGGGCACTGGCATCGCCGGATGATGGCAGCCGCACATCACAGTCCTGCACGTCAATCATGAACGGATGTCCGTATGTCAGGCTGATCCTGCAGGAATGGAACGCGGTAAGCGTCTACCGCTATGCTCCCAATAGCGCAATGGCAATACCATCGGTCACTGATCACGCAGATGCCCCATAATCGGCGCCGGAGCTCGACGTCTTGCCTGAGGGTTTCTGTCCGATGCAATCCCATGTCTTGTGCCTATGTCAATACGCATTTAGTCACATATTTTCCTTGGGAGTGAAGGACGCAAATACATACCATCCGGATCGCGCTTCCCAATCGTATCCACAGTGCGGATAACGCGTTTGGCACGAATTGCGAGTGGCAATCGCCGCACATCGCGAGAATCAGCAACGCTTGTAGGTTGACAATTGACGCGGTCGACAACACATCTTCCGCCTTGATCAAGCTGTTCACCGCGTAGCGAAGGGACTCGTAGACGGGCTGGGGTATGTCCCGCCCCGACGCCGCCACAAGGCATATGGTATAGAGCAATATAGGCGGCGGCGGACTGCTCGCTATAAACTCTTCACGCGTCACGACGGGAAGAAGCGGGGCAACCTCTGCGAAGTATACATTGACCAGCTGCTCGACGGTGTCGCGCTCGATGCGCATGTCCACAGGCTTCGGGAGCGCCAGCTGCAGCTCGCCCTGCTGCGGTTCGTGTATGCGGATTACACCATCGCCTTCTGTGCTCACGTCCCATGAGTGGTGGTAGCGCAGGTCGAATGACTCGTAAGCACGCGACGATATCATGGCCTGCGAGTGCAGCATGTACGTCGCTGACGTCGGGCCTATGACGTGTATGCATGAGGCTTGACATGGTGTAGTGTATCGTTGGGGACACACCGTAGATCTTCACATCGCTGCTCTTACTGTGCTCACCCTGGGGCGAAGAGGTACTCCGTTCGCCCTCTTTGTCCTTGTCTGCGGCCGCAGCTTCCTCCTCCAATTTCTTCTTCTTGAAGCGCGTCTCGGTGATGGGGAGGAAGAATGTGCATTCAAAGCCGTATTGCTTGCAGTGTTGACATATCGGGGGATCGGCGTCGGAGAGGACATCGCATCTGTGTAAAGGATCCCAGCGTCAGCCCGCCCAAATGAGCCACAAGTGTAAGGGAAAACTACAACATGGTGGCCAGTGGATGGGTCGCAAATGCACCGAATGAGGCCTCGGAGGAGGAAGCGCGGTACGAACCTGATCTTCCTGCTCCGACAGCTGTCGCAGGCGCGCTGAGTTTTTGTGCGCTTCTTGGTGTCCACGGCGGAGCCAGAGCCAGAGTTTTGCGTCGGGCCACGGGGGAGGTCACTGCTAGAATCTATTGGATCCAATTCATTAGATGTTCCGCCATAGGCATCATCAACGGTTGACTTCCTTTTACGTTTACCGGTGGAGGAGGCGATGGGCGTGGGCGAGGGCGCGGCGGGGCTGCGTGCGGCGTCGGGGTGGGTCACGGGCGGGGTGCCATACATGACGACGGAGCCGGGGTACTGGGGGTACGAGGGGTAGCCGTGGTAGGGGGCATGGGGGACGGCATAGGTATACGGAGCGGGGTGGGTGGGCATGCCCACGGGGACGTGGGGCGGCTGGCCATTTGCGGGGGAGGCGGAGGCGGTGGGCTGGTGGAAGGGCGAGGGCGAGGAGGGGTATGGGCTGCCGTTGATGGGGTAGGAGTGATTCATCACGTAGGCAGGGGCGGGGGGGCCAGGATAGGGCTGGAGGTGTGCGGTGAAACGGGGGGAGGGGGCGTGTTGCGGCTGGTCGCGGACGTTGGAGACGCGGGACGCTAGGAGGAGGAGGCCATGGCTTGTGAGCGGACAGGGAGAATTGCAGCGGAGAATGGAGAAGGCGAGCACTCACTGCTGCTGCTACGGGCGTCCGAGGCCGGTGTGTCGGGGGAGAGGGCGGATCGGTGTGGCTTGTTCCGCGCCTTCCTCGGCTTGTGCTTGGGGGTATCTGCGCCGTTGCTGGCGTTGGGAGGGGCACTGGCCGGCGTCGACGGCGGGTTCGGATTAAGGTCCATAATGCAACCCCCCGGATTATAAACAATGATCGCCTGCTGGAGCCGTTTCTGTCACATTCCCCGATTAGTCTGCTGCGCGCGCCCACTTCTCGATATGCAGGCCACCGCACCGACCTTGCTTCACGCCGCGCACACGGTTCCTCTCAAGCGGCCGCTGGGCTGCTCGCTGCACGAACGCGGACGGGAGAGTCGACTGGATGAGTGGGTCAGCGCCCCCGGATGCCGACCCCGTCGTCCTGTTCCGTTTCAAGCTCAACCTCCCTTTTCAGACTCAGCGCCCCCACGTGAGGCCAGGAATTCGGTCCGCGCGACGTCATGCCCCCCCGATTAGGTGCGCAAGTATATTTAGTCGCTTTTTTGTGCCCGTTATGGCACCATCGGTCCCTGCCCCCGGGCTGCAGCGCACAGCCTCGCAACCCACCGCGTGCGGGGACTGGGTTGCGCTGCTCGCACGCGGCCCTCGCGCTGCCAAACGCGCACACGGAAAGACCGAGCTGCTCGCGCACTCCCACGGACGCGCTAATAGGCGGCTCGAACACAGCGGCGGCGCCCAGGCGCGTCATTTGCGTTGATGCCATCGCCAGATCCGCTTCCTTGTCCTGTCATCAGCGAGCATCAGCGTGGCCAACACCCCGATTCGACGACGACCGCGCATAGCCACCAGCTCTCCCAATGCGCCCAATATTAATGCGAGCGGGCACGCCCCTCGTGCGACCCCCGAAAATTGCACACGAAAAATCTATCAGAAGCGCGCGCTCGTATCTGCTGTCCACCCCCGAGCGTTCTCATTCGTCGCCCATCGATGCATCATGACAAGTGCCCGACGGCGCGGAAGCCCTCTCTCCGAGGATGTCGCTGCATCATATCGGCGGTCGCTTACGGGGGTCTGCGCCCCTGATCGCGCGACTTATCTGACTAATATCTAACGATATCAATCACCCCGTCCATCTCCGGCCATCTTTTCGGTCCCGTCTTGAATCCAACAAGGACCCCTACCAAGCAAGGCACCAGATTGACTTCAGTCGTTGCATGTAAATTACGCCCAGAATAAAATACAGCGGGCCCAGTACTAATATGTAATCCATGGATCCATGTGCAATAAAAAAGCAATCCATGTCAGTCAGCGAGCCTGATCCCTCCACCCGCTGCACCCTTGCGGTACAGCGTGCGTCGCCAGACCCCCACGAATCAATGATCCAGCAGCGATCATACCCCTCCGCGACGGTGCCCGCTTACTCCACTTTCAGGCACAGCAATCAACCCTACTCTCCTTTCCGTCCGGCTCTACCTTCCTCAGCAGCCCCCAGCCACCCGTCCTCAGCACTGCCCTCTGCATCACGAAGCAACCCTGGGTTTACATCTCGTCCGTCCTCCGTCGCCATCGCCGCAGCCTCAATCCATGAGAACCCCGCTGGGCGACAGAGTACGTACACCAGGTTCCTTTTCCATGAACCATGCGAAAAGGGGTTGGGGGGAGCAGGTCCCTGCCCGAGCGATTTGTGCGCCTGATTGCGGATCTTGTAAAAATGAGTCAGCTCACATGAAGAATACGAAATGGTGCATGGAGGGAGGCTCACCTGCTCAATTGTTGTGACATTAAGAAGCAGCAGCTGCGGGAAATGGTTTTATTCTTTAAGCTCGGGGTTTGACGCTTAAGGAAAAGCTTACACGCGTGTGATAGAGTAGCAATGCCATTACTGGCCAAATCACCAGGATTGACATCACGAATGCAGCCGCGCCTCCGGCGCCCTCAGTTGTCTGTAGTGCATGTCGGAAATTGAGGTGAAATGGGGCGCGCGTCAGGAGATATAGCTGTATTGCGGACGTGCAAATGACCAGAACGAGCGTAAGCACCTGTGAGGGGGCCGGATAACAAATACGACGCGTAAGTGAGTGACTGCGAGGGTACGCTGATACCCGATACGTACCGCGGAGAAGAGGAATGTGAAAAATGTGGTATAATTCCGCCTCCCTATGCAGTTGTTGACCCATTGGCAGTGGTGGTCACAGCCATCCACACAGTTGTCGCACTAAACCGACAATGTCATAATGCGATACGTCGTGCATGGTGCGATAATCTTTAGCATTTGTACTGACACCGATCAAACACGATTGCTACGCTACGCACCATCTTGCAGTGACTGGCCCGTGGCGGCCGGTATGTTCTGCACGTCTGACAATATTTCGTCCGCACACTGCCCCAACAGACACATCAGCCAACAGTCAGGTGTCTCAGGAGACTCTGGATGCTCACACTCCCCGCCGTACTTTGATATCTCGTGGTAACGGACCCCGCAGACTTTCCGTAGACACCGCCGTTGGGCATGGTGGGTCAGGGTCCAGGTTCCTCGGTAAAATCCCGGGATCTCGAAACGCCTGCATCAAATTGTCATCAAAAACATCAGAAAGACCGATCAGTCTGACCGAGGACGAGGACGACCGACTAGCGAATGGCGCCACTTACGGTAGCGAACATGCTCGATATTGTCAACAGACACATATAGGCGCCCACAGCTGCTACTGCAGGACTCTCGTGCTTCCACCACCAAACGCACGTCGTCCCGAACCAGACACCCGTGATACCCAGGACGACCGCTAGCGACGCAACGAAAGCCCACGGCGCATCGCCTCCAGTGAGCATGTGTCCTGCCAAAAAGAAATGGTTCCGTGATGGATAGTTTTGCCAATTGCGCATTGGCTTTCCTGTGCTGGCGTCTACAGCGGGTGTGAATGCGCGTGGTGGATAAGCTCCCGGCGGAGGGGCAGGGATGAAAGAGGGGGTTGGAGAGGGTGAGCTGCGAAGGAAGGAATGAGACGAGCTGCTTTTCCGATGGCCAGATGCGCCCAGCTCGAAGGGAATACGAGGTGCGGCCGTGGGGGAGGTGGGAGACGCCTCGAAGGAGCGTAGACCCGCTGGTGTTTGGGAAGGCATCTCGATGGGGCTCACATGGCTAGTACGAGATGGAGATTGTCGGCTCCCATCGGTGCTCATTCCCCGCTTGAACAGCTTCTCGAAGCTGTCGCGAACCCTCCCACTAGGACTTAGACTCGCGTCGTGGGTGCCATATGGAGTCAGCTGCGCGGTGTTCAGTGATGGGCGGCGAGCAGGCCTCGGCCCTATTGGAAGTAGCGGTTCTCTGCTCGGCTTCGCAGTCGGCGCTCGGGATTTGGCAGCGGTGTCCTTGCCGTCCTTTATTGAATGTTCAGAGGTGGACGTGCCATCTGAAGCTTGTGAGTGGCGTTCGGATAGTGTTGTGAGATGCAACACATCGGAGGCGGGTGCTTCTGATGACACTATAGATGCTAAACTTCCGCGCCGTGCATGAGGTGATGAGGGGGACGGAGGGGGATAGTTCGGCCGCGAAGGGTGGAAGAAAGAGGCAGATGGGAGTATGCCACTTACGTGGGTGGAGGTATGCATAGGACGCGGCTGGAGGAGGGGGATAGATACGGACTGAGGCAAAGCCGGCTGGCCGGCCTCGCCCACGCTTTGTAGCGGACGTAGGCCCGAGGTCACAATAGAGCTGGGCCTGCTTGAGGCGACATTGCTCGATATGCTCCCGCTATGCGATCGAGCCACGGTACCTGGTAATCGTGAAGTCGCATTACTTTGAGAGGGTGAGAAGGGCAGCTGTGTCCCCGAACGTTGAGACGAAGATGGTAAAGAATGTGAGGTCGCCATAGCCGAAGAATATACAGCGAACGACGCTAGCTAGGCCTGCAGATGGCAAGCCGCACAACCGAGGTCTTAAAGCGTTGGATCCTGCACAGCAAGACGAATTTGGCGAAGAATATAAAGAACAAGGGAGCTGCTGACAGAAAGCAAGGCGCAGTTCTACGGAGTGGTCCGGCAGAGGGTGATGCCAAAGGGTTGGTATCCACAAGGCAGATAGGACAGCTACCAACTAACTGCTGCACGCGGTTGGCGGGAGGCTGAGCAGCACGTCGAAGGCTGCAGCAGCAGAGCAAGTTATGAGGAAGCAATAGACCGAGCCGCTGCTTGGCGAGCTTGCCAGGCGCCCTCGAGGATTGTGATTATATGTTTCCCACGGTAATAAACGCATTAGACGCTTGACCTCAGAATGATGTAAACACGGGGACCGACATGCTAGCTACCTGCAACATTGTACGTACCAAATACGATAGGTTAGTCTACTCTACCACATGAGATTATACACCGTCTGAAATGTGACTAGCTTATCCTGGCTAGCCCCCCAGCCATAGCAGCCTCTTGACACCGTATTCCATCTTAGCGTACACGCTAGTCATGCGCTGTGCTTCAGCCAAGCTGAGCCATTTTCCTTTAGTGCTGACATTCACAACAATTTACCAGCCACGTACCTGACAATATCCTCCTCTGCCATTAATTCTCCGTGTGCGCCGCCTGCATCTTGACATGCTTGTCGGATCGCATCCACAATGATGTCCACGGCATCTTTGCAGTTGGCTGCACCCGCAAGCTCATCCGCAGGCTCAATATAGCTCCCGGAATCCCTCCGTGTGCGTGTAGGGTCAAGCGGTAATGCCTTGAATGCCGCGAATGTAGTATCGCTTTCTATAACAGGCGCTGCGGCCTTGGATAATATTCCCGACAGAGGTGGCTTCCGCATTAGCTCAGGAATCGTCGAGCGCCGCTGTGACGGCGCCCTCGGTTGTTTGGGCGACGAAGGCAGTAACGGAGACGACAAGTCAAGACTGTTCTTGATTGAATAACTCGTAACGCGGGTATCCTGGCCGATATTCCGCCATGTCGCAACAAAGCCAAAGTTTTGCAACGGATCGCGGCTCGCTTCTTCAAGAGGTGATAGAATGTAGGAGCCTATACAGCTCGATTAGTGCAAGCAGATCGTTCGTGTGTGCTACAACCGCACCCTTCGTGATTTTAACGATGTCTCTGAGAGGTACACGGGTATACATTTTCACTTTCTCCAGGGTATAGTCATAACTCTGGAAGGATTCCGTTAGTGAACCGAACCATTGACCGTGCGACACTTGCACTGACTATAATGTAGATTGCGTTCACGGTCTAGAGAATACCATGAGCTGCTGAATAACACACAGTTCACAACAAGAATTCTCACCAATAGGAGCACCTTCTCCTCAAATTTGTCACCGACCTTAGCGTTGAGCTCCGCGGGTGAGAACAAGGTCCACCCGGATAGCAGTCGTTCGCCTTCAGGCAGCACACGCGAAACACACGTCGCGATGGCATCTGCCCTGATCTTCGAGATCCGAATGAGGTCTCTGGGATCCGTAGATTGCAGTTTGTTGAGGAACTCTGAGAAGACAGAAAGAGTTCTGTTGCCAAGTATATAATCGATGACAGCTTGGCTGAACCAATCGGCGAATGTGGACGAATACATCCTACAAGGCCTTTGAGTCCATGACACAACCATATGGCACGTCAGGGCACCCACCTCGCAAGGGAATTGACGCCATCGTTGAGCATACCGGTTAAATCCCGCTTCCCCGTTCGGGTGAAGTCACCCTGTCAAAAGGTTTGCATACAGCCTCCCACTCCAACCATGCCACATGCCTCACCTTCAGCGCCGATGTCCCAGCGCTAGTTTTGTCAGCAAACCGAGAGCGGACAGAATGCAGACCCACTCACTATTCTCTACTTATAGCATCTCCGTTATTCGCCCAGACTACGCACGTTTGAGAGCACGTAAATGAGCCAGTTTTGAAAACGCACCATCGTTGAACACAACGTCGGTCTCAGTCCGCTGTTTCTCTTCTGACGGATCCAATAGGGCGACTGCTCCGAGCTGTCGATTGAGCACATGCCTAGCAAAAGCCGACTTGGCCAACTGTATTCAGCACTGCGATCGACTAACCACGTTGGGCATAAACGGACTAACCTCTACCACATTTGTTCGATCCAGACAGTCGATGCAGTTCACGCGGAAAACACCCTTCTGGTGGGACATCATGGTGTTATTGGATATCCAAAAGTAGCTGGAGAATCAATCAAAACACACGCCGCATTGGGGAGACAAAGTGGTGACCTACCCTTGGTTCTCGAAGGTGCGCTCAAGTTGGCTAATCAGCTTCGAAATATTCTCATATCTGCGACCGGCATAAGAGCGGTCCCATGAATACTTTTACAACAGCTCACTTCATACCCTTCGTTTCGGTATGGAAATCATACGCGAGGTACCTAGGCCAAGTTAGAGTTCGCAACTCAATGAGCGTGTGGATAACATACCGGATATTTTCGTCATCGAGTTCACTGACAAAGTCACGATATGCATTGGTAACCTGAGACTCCTTCCCGTGCTGTTCTGCAAGGTTCACGATTGTCTGGAGGTTACGTGATCTCTTAGAGAAGTCTCCGTACGCCGGCACACGATGACCTACATGAGGGCCATAGCGCGGGAGCGTTTTCTTGAAGTGCCGCCGGATGGCGTCAAGGTTTTGCGAGTGCGTTCTATCAGGAGAGAGCTGCGGCGCGGGTTTTAGACCGTATCCATCTTGTTTCCAGTAGAGCGGTACTATTACGAGATGGAGGTAAACGGCGGCCGTAGTCCAGGGTTCCGCAGTTACTCACTTGATCCACGGATCTGTGTGTGACTGAATACGTTTGAAAATCCTTCCCGCTGATTCCCCTCTACCTGAGTGATGTCTTAAATAAATGCATCCAGAGAAACATACCTCGACGCGCATGATTGTCTCGGTTTCAACGAAATTGGCAACATTTGCATCATCGTCGATCCCGCGACGTTGGTAGCGCAGTCCGGCACGGTCCCGCGACCGTCTTGAGACTAGGACATAATCCACCGCAGCAGCGTCACCTTGCTCCGATGCCACAGGCTCCCTGGGAACGTTGAATTGAGCAATTTGATAATACCCTTGCATGATGGGCAGAACGTAAGGATGCAGCTGCAGCAATCACCGATCAACTTCCGTCGGAGACTTCGTAAAGGGAAACAGATACCCCGGCATCAACAAGAGGCTTTGAAAGCCATTCATTCCACCAAAATTGGCGATCGACCCGTCGCCATAGCGGAAGCGTCGGAGTAGGTTCCGCAAGGACGTCGACCGTATCACCGATGGGACTTAACTCGCTGTTTTCATCCAGTGCATTCAGATCAGCGAGTAACGCCTTCTGTAGCTTGGATTTTGCAAGTAGTTCGTGTTTATGTTGGAATGACCGGGTGATATCTGTGACAATATTTAGTGAGGTCAAGTTCTTGCGTAACGGTTCACAAAGGTCATACCGAAGGCGTAGGCGAAGTACATGCCCCCTCGAGTAAACTCCCTGATGCATTCACGAACAATCTTGTCTTCCAACTCTGAACGCTTTTCTTCTACTGTTGGAGGCGGCGGCGCATTGGTATCAAGGATTGTGCCGATAATCTCACCTGGCTCTTCTGCGTCTTCTATGAGATGATCAAGGGACAGTAGTTCGCTTTCAGGATCTGCACTTCCTCCCGACGCTTGCGAGTCTATCGAGGCACGGCACTCGGACACATTTGACGCTGCGCGGGGCTGCCTCTTCGACAACCTACTCCAGAAGGACAAGCGTGCTGTCAGAGTTTTCACAACCGTATCGGTATTGAGTGAATACTCCGAAGAAGGGGTGGACGCAGCGGATGAAGCAGCGGACAAAGTAGGGGAAGGCGGACTACCTTCGTCACTGTCAGGGAATTGACGCGATGACTGCGGCGTCATCACCTTCACATGCGGTTCCGCTGCGAACTTTACATGCGGCGACGCCGCCTCAGCGCTGAAGCTCGACCCGGCAGAGAACAGCGCGCTCGCTGGAGGGACCTCTTCTGCTAGTGGAGGGGTCTCCGACCGCGAGGGGGGAATGAGGGATACTCGCGTTTCGGTATTGCTTCGAGCAAGAAGATTCAGCGCGGCGTGGGCGCGATGCTCTACCAGAGGAATGGCCGCCACACGCTTCACGCTGTAAACAGCGTGTCTGGGATCGAAGACTGGTGGAGATTAGTGGAGACATGATACTAGTGGTGGGGGACTCACGGTGTCCAACTTCTGACCGTGCTGAGACGACGAGCAGGTAGGATGCTAGGAAGATGCCAATGCATTTCAACGGGCAGTGACTGTACAACGTGATAACAGTCAAATACCAGAAAACAACTCCAGGATCCCAACGATGCCATATATGATCACGGACTCCGACCAATCCTGGTCTGCGTCCTCGTTGATGGGAAGCTCTTCGATCGCGCCTGTTTTTCCCCAGAGTATACGGACGTACGACTCGGGACGCGTCTCGCTCAGGAAGTGAGGCCTCAGCAACAGGCCTTGCGCGGTAGCCAGTAGTGCGATGTGTTCATGAGGACATGGGTGGGGCAGAGGTGGCAGGACGTATTTAGGCTGCAGGCTGGTCGTGTGCGGAACTGTACCAGTCGGATTAGCAGGAGCAGCTGGAACGCTCTTGACGGCTGGTATAGATTTGAACGAGAGGAGACGTTTCATCGCTGGCAAGTCTGAGCATCTATGTGTACAATCCAGTAGGTATATGAGGCGGAGAATATGACCGTGGTAGACAAGACGTAAGGTCTCCGACTCTCCGGTACCACAGCTCATCCGAACTAGCGCAGGGAATGACGACATGCACCAGTCCGCATGGCTAGCCGATTGTAACGCAAATCGGTTGCTATCTGCAGTGTCGCAAACCTTTCTATGCATTTAGTTCAATAGCAACGGGCGATGTTTGCAGGATGATACAGATTCACAATAGCTACACATAAAACATGTCCGACGTAAAGCTCATGAAGGGTTAGCAGAAGTACGGCCCTCAACGCGGATATTATAACCATATCCGGCGTTGCCAGTAGGACCATTGTAGTGCATTTCCGATATATCGTAGTTGCCTACGGGACACATCTTTTAGTGAGATTCTATCAGCGAGAGTGAACTACACGCACCAATGAATTTCCATCCGTCTTGCTTGACGTGGTAGAGGTTTATCGTGTTTCCGGAGAAGGCGTCGCGGTGACCAGCGGCATAAATACTTCGTCTACCGAGCTCTTGCGCTTCCTCATCAGTTAGGTCCCAATGGTAGCCTTGATCGAGCACTCCGTATGCAAAAGTGCTTCCGGATCCAACAGAGAAAAGGTCACCCTTCAAGCGAGTCCCATCCGAGTCTACATAGAAGATGGCAGGTCCCTAGGGCAGAATAAATGAGACTCGCATCATATTCGTATTGAGCATGGAATACACACAGTTTTGTCCCAGCCGCAGATCATAGTTCCCTGTTCGCTGTAAGCTCCGGTGACAGTAACAACACATAGGTAGAAGAGACACACCATGCTGAGACCCATGCCTTTGTAGCTGTATACGAGGTTGCTGAGGTACTTGCTGGCGGCCGCCACGGAAATCCGTTCACGATTCCGGAGCTCATGTAGGCGGCATTCCATGCCGAGATATGTTTCCCAGTACTGGCAGTCAGCTAGTTTATGTATCAGTTCGCTGCCCCCACCTATGCTTAAACTGATGCTCACCAGCACCACCAGCCATCGTTCCCAATAAGTACGGGTTGATCTCGATGACTTTCTTCACGGTTCCAGAGGCTAAGAGCGCAAGTTATGCAGTGCACTGGAGTTCTTCGACATATAATACATACCAACATAGCTCCCAGCAGTAGCTCTCGAATCAACGGCTACAATGACACCACCCTGGTACCTGAACGCGAGCGTGGTCGTCCCGTGCTTGATCTTGATCTTGCAAGAAGGGTCTGCGTGATCGTCTGTGTGCAGCCTGAGGAAGGCAGCGGGCTGCCAGATCCCGCAATTCCTTCAGTGGAGACATCACGGAAAAGCCTTGCGAGACTCACGTCCGGGACAGAAGGCACAGCGAACTTGGGCACGCCCTTCACCAAGCTTCCCATTCCGCTCTGGGAGCCCCACACGAATTCAGAGACATCTTCCTCCTCTCCAATTATCTCCTTTGCTCTTCGAAGTTCGGCCGCTGCGCCAGTCGTTGAGAAGCGGTTAGCAAAGGAGTTCATTGTGGTCGTGAACAGTGCTGTAAGATGACGCGGCCAGACGCGTCGCACTTGCTTTCGCGTGAACCACGTGCTTCCATGCGATCGGAGATTCATGTCGATCGGTCCAGGGTTATGGTTCTAGGTGGCAAGAACAGGGCAGTACTTGCAAGTACCGTACTCTGTCTTTCAAGGTCACTTACAATCTCTCCCTTGCTTCCGCAAGACTACGAGCTATACTCGCTCGTATCTCGTTTGAAGAGAAACCAGTTACGTAGGAACATGTCGCCTAGCTCAGCCTATTCAGCCGTGAGCTGGCTGATGAGAAGTGGATTTAGTACGCCTGCGATGCGGAGCTCAATACTTTGGATAGAATCTGGCATCGCTCTCTTATTCTCTCTTATTGGATATCTAGAGTTCATTCTGACAGAAACTCTCCCGCTTTGCCTTAATCGCATCATGCATCAAGGTCTGTAGGTCTTCTGATTTCGTCTATGTTGGGGAGGACCGTGTCAACATACCCTTAAATGGTGACAATGTGCCATTGTGGTTTATTAGTCGCAACATACCCTGATTAACCTGACGAAACTCCCGCTGGCCGATACATGGCATGTCGGAAGCACAAGAGATGGCATCGAAGCGGTGGTGCCCGTATCTTCTCCATTCTATTGCTTGCCACTCATAGGCTGAGAAGGCGAATCACCAGATTTCTAAATCCGAGCGGTTGGACGCAATTTGATTTCTACGCCAACTGCGTTCAGCGATTGTACCTCGCCGAGGGTTATGTGTTCATGCTAACCAGGAAATGTTATCTTGCCCTACATCGTGGTCACGCTGCAGCCCCAAATGCTGTCTTAGGCATTTCGGACACAGCGATGCGTCCGAGCTCACCAGCTCATTTTTAATACCCGGACTCGAGTCACTGACTCTACATTGCTAGTCCGGTTCGTTAGACTCGCTTGTTATTTTCATCCTCATACGTGCACCAGCAACCATTCCAAAACTATCACGTCTCAGTCTCGATGTTAGACTTGACTCTACTGTGCTCGCAGCGTGCGTTCCCAAAGTGCTAGAAAACCTGAGTATTATCCGAGCCCTACGCCTCTAGCTACTGCTCAGTCAGTCAGTACCATACCCAGCTACGGTGGGCAGTGTTTTCGTTTTACGTACCTTGGCTTTATTGAAATTTTGAGACTCCAGATAGTTCCCCCGAGCCAGAGGCCCCGGTGCTTTGCTCCTAAATTCACTGAGCTGGACAATGTCAAAATGTTTTCCCCAGAGCTATCTCTTACTGCTATCACGCTCAAGTCTTTCCGCTTCTCGCCTCCCGAGAAAATCAAGCTCGACGCCGACATAGTCCACGGGTTCAAATGTTTGAAATCCTGCAAAACTTGCCGCTGGTCACGCTTAGTGTTTCAAAGCTTTTACGCTCATCTCACCACGGGTTTTCTACACTCCGATTTCAATGCTCGTGTCCTCTCCATTGCTGATCTGCGCCCATTGATCAGGCATTGGAATCTGAAGACGCTTGCTATCGGTGTCGTGATCGTTTATTATATGGACGACGTGGCGATCCTAAAGCTAATACAGATCTTGTCGTCTTTTCCCAAGTTGCAATTGGGGACTGAGCAATAATGTGGCTCGGAGCTCAGAGCGACATTCCGCGGCCTCGTACGGATTGTAATCTGGTGTCATTGGCAGGAACATCTGGGATTGTACCGCCTGACGACAAGCTCGAGGACATCCCGGTCAGCCGACCGGCATTGCATCTGCGGTACGTTTGACTCGGCTCATGTTTTCTGCGCTTCCGTGACGACTAAAGTATTCCAGCGGTGCCTCACTTTTTATCGATACTCTTTCTTGACCTGACCAACATTGATACAGCCGATTGTGTCGGAACCCCGGAAAGCTCGTATTCAGTGGAAAGAGGCACGAGGACAGATGCTGTCCGGATCCAATGCATTGCACAAGTAAGCACGCCTCGGTGCACTGGAAGTATGGTCCGTAGAGGAGCAAGTTGCCGTAAGATCTATGGATTCAGTTTGTCCTTGTGAATCTTCGGTATTTGTAGGGTACTTTCTCGCCAATCGGACATCGTATATAGTTGTCTTCTTATACCAAGACGCGTGCACTGTGGTCGGTGGACAGAGTTGAGTTCCGCTCACTGTTGCGTGTCTATGGTTGTCTATAGTAAGCCGTGGATGCATTCGACGTAATGAAGGTGGCCTACCCACTCCCATTCCGTAATGAATTCTCGAGGAGTCATTGTGCAGTGCTCTCTTGGCTGTAAAGTTCATGATGTAGAGTCTCATGATACTCCTGTCGTGTACTATGGAACTGCTGGAATTGCGAGATCATGAGACTTAAGGAATTTGAATATGTCGGTATATATCAGCGATCACCCGCTTCGTGAACGTCAAACAAAGTTGATTGACAGCACAGAACGTTTCTGCAATCCGCAATAAATAAATATCGACATCTATTCTAGGAAGGATGCGAGTGTCAGCGTACAACCCATCTATCGGATGAAACAATCGCACATTTACCACTTTTGGTGTGGGGAGGACATCAATGTACCAGCATGCAGCCCAGACACACCATAGCAAAGTATAAGACGACGAATACAAGAGACTGCACACACTTGGCAATAATACGATAAGCGGTCTATGACGGAAGACGCATGGTATCAGTGCCGCAAAATGCCATAGAAGCACTCACGCACATGAAGTTGTCAGACATATCTATCGATCGTCCAGGAACCTGTTCCCTTTCTGTACTCTCTGTCAGCGATCAGCTTACGGGAGCGATAGGCTCGCGTGCCGGTGGTTTCTTCACGGCCCACGCGAAGTTCCATCGTGTGTAGAGGTGCGTGCGAAGTTCGCGCAACTCCGCCGTTGCTTCGCGACACATATTGTCGACGCTCTCGGGGAGATAGCCCTCGCTTGGAGGTTCATACTAAGGGTGAGGCCCAGGCCTCGGGCTAGATGCGATGCGAGGATCTCACCTCAGGAGTAACGGCGCCAGGCCTGAGATGTAGCGCAGACAATTCTCGCGACAGAGCTCGGATAGAACCTTCTCGCGTTCATCATCTGCGTACACGCCATACTTCAGCGTCGCCTCAGCCGGCAGCGATAGGAGAGAAGCTACCGTATCTCCATGGGCCCATGGGAACAAAGGCCTTGTGCCACCCGACATCCGTAAGAGAATCTATAGTTCGAAGCCATGTCGGATTCATGTTCGGGGAGTCAGGGCTCCCGCCTCTGTTTTTCATGGCGTTGTAGGTAGCGAAGAAGATCTTGTGGACCCAAGAGAATCCCGGCGTGCCGAGTTCGCTCAGGGGCATTGGTCTTCGGTGCTCGTCGTACAGCTGCTGTTCACCGTCCCCCAGAAGCAATACGCCCCCTGGGCGGAGGGTTGCCGTTAGCTCTTGCAAGAGCTGCGGGAAGTCTCGGATCTGGGAGTTGAAGTGGATAATCTGACAATCAGTGCCGTCACATTTCGAGATAGCGGTCACTGACCCCTGCTGATACAGCACGAGCATGCACGACGTCGAAGCATTCAGTGTAATGTGCAAAGCCCAGGTTTGCCTGCTTGCAACATGCGTCAATTTTCCATGTCATAAGTCAACCGACATACGTCGTCTATTTCAAAGCTACAATACAGGCAGTGAAAAAGCAGCATTTGAAAATTTAGATGGGTAAACATACCGGCAATTGGGTGGGAGCTCTCTAGACCTGTTTGATCAGCGTTAGCGGATGAAGTGAGTTCCCGCAGCACCTACCCGTCGATCCTTGGAGGGACTAGATCCACACCAACGACATCGCAGTAGGGAAATTCGGTGGCCATATCTAAAGCCCTATACTGACTCTAGGATCAAGAGGATTTCGACATTGCGAACCAAAGACTCGCCAACTTCCACTGCCCGTGCCGACGTCCATGATGGCGGGCCTGCGGTCACGGCGAGGGCGTAGGGCCCGCCACACGAGATCTGGAGCTGGATACAAACGGCCCAGACACATCGTGTATTGATGATGCTGGAGATCAAGTCGCCGATGCTCTTCATTGTCCTAAGGATATGAACGATCCTCAGCGATGTGCCTGAATAATATCTTGTCAGCTGTCCTCACAGCAGGAAGGAAATATGTCTTTGTGGCGTCAATGCTTCCGTCGTGACGTTAAATAGAAAGCCTTACATCGTTCTGGCTATTGAGAATACGTCCATAGACATTGCGGAGCTGTATACCAGATGAGAGAAAAGAGAAAAGACGGTTTTGGCACCACTTGCCATGAACCTCTCGTCCACCGATGGGGAGAACGAGTACAGCGACGGTGCGGGGCTCGTAGCCCTGCTCCCCGCAGAGAACGTTGATGCGGAGGAATTGTCAAATTCCTCAAAAGATTGTGCCATGGCAACGAGTTTCAATACCTGCGGGTGCATGCGATGAGCGAGACGGGGGCGGTTCCGGTATGTGGTGATTAGGAAGGATGCTTTAAGACCGAATGCTGAGCCTGCACTTACGTTTTTCATTTCAGTATACCGAGACCAAACGAAGCAGCAGCAAGTTCCGCAAGAACGTGATGAGAATGGCCCAATAGGTGACTACATCTCGCAACCGAACAGTTCTAACGTCACTAAGATGAGAAAGACGCTCGCAATCCGCGGGGAAGCGGCCCAATTGAGTTTGGTGCTGATCAGTGAATTCTCTCGGTCTGCACTGCCCCAGATAAGCCCGGGTTGAGGGCTACTGCCAGTGGGCGTCCCTGTCAATGTCCCGCTTAGCTATGTCTGCTCGTTGAGTGGCCCCCACACTTGTGGGACAGATATTCTCGTCGCCACCGTTTGTGCGGGGAGTCAAATATTGCTCAGATCAGGGATTTACTCCCGATTCCCGATCATTGACAGGCTTTCACCCGAACCGACGCACGCACACCAGATCTGGGAAATGCAGCCGGATCGTCGATTCAATCGTGGCCACCATTCGTTCAGATTGTGGTATAAGTTGTGGGCGATGTCATTGCAATTGCTGGGGATGCAGTATTTCCGGTGAACAATGCATGCCGATATGTAAATTCAGTATCCGGGATGGGCCACATAGCTGACGTAAGCATCTATATTGCAAGAATCGCGTTCTACAGATCTGCCCTCGTCTCTCTGCTTACTTCCTCTCACTCGCGAAATCCATTTGCATCTTCTTGCATCACTTCTGTACAATGTCTGGAATTTGCAGAGCACGTCTCGCTGAGGAGCGTAAACAGTGGCGCAAGGATCACCCATTCGTGCGTAGAAACGCCCGCGCGTACTAGACTTATCTGCGACCAGACGCGACGCAGGGATTTTACGCCAAGCCGACTAAAGCCTCGGATGGCTCCATGAATCTGCTGGAGTGGGAGGTCGGAATTCCGGGGAAGGCGGGGGTGTGTCCTCATGCTGCGATGCCACATTCTCCGCCGACCACCTTGCTAACGTACGGATTACAGACGCCTTGGGAAGGCGGTGTATACAAGCTCATGATGATATTCCCAGAAGGTAGGCATAATGAAATGTCGTCCGTACTTGCCATGCTGACCATCGGGCTAGACTATCCCTCGAAACCGCCGAAGTGTAGGTCCTGGCTTGCTACTGGTTCCCTGAAAGCACTCAGAGGCTTTTCTCAGGCAAATTCGCGCCCCCATTGTTCCATCCGAACGTGTATCCCTCAGGAACTGTCTGCTTGTCTATCCTGGACGAAGAGAAGTCGTGGAAGCCTGCAATTACCATCAAGCAGGTGCGTCATCCGCTCTATCACCACTTGTCCGCGCTGACTATCGCACAGGTCCTACTTGGCATCCAAGAGCTCCTCAATGATCCTAACGTAAACGATCCAGCCCAGAGCGACGCTTACACGATGTTCAAGTATGTATTTCCAATCTCTCGCTTCGCCGATGTCCGCCATTGACATCCGAAACCAGGAATGACAGAGTGGCATACGAGTGAGTTTCGGCATGTTTGGAACTGAACTGCGGAGCTGACTCTTGCAACTAGGCGAAGAGTACGGCAGCAAGCTCGGGAGAATATTCCGAAATGACATGACATGATCTTCCCGAGGGCTACTTTGTGCGTATTGTATCATATTTCAACTTTCGTTGTTGTAGCACACCATGAAGGCTTCTGATAAACCTTACTATGATCTGCCGAGTGAGTCACCCAACAAATCCTGCTATCCAGTCTGCACTCGGTGAGGCCGTTCAACATGCCCACAATGAGAGGTCCTAAATTTAAACTAAGAGCTACGTTGACTTGATAGAATACGTGAACGTCACAAATGAAACACTGCGTGCCTACATCATGACAACCGTCTAGACCATGAGTTTGTCAATGGCCTTCTTAATCGTGATGATCTGACTGGACAGCTCCTTGTTCTCGTTCGTCGTTATGCTCGCAGCAATCACAGGACGGGTAACCCCGCAAGCCCTCCCAAGAGCAGCCTTCGAAGACACGAAGACGTACGGGACGTTCTAGGGACGTGGTCAGCGATAGGCTTCCGGAAGACACAAGATTAGATTGTACCTTCTCCTCGCACAGCAGGGGGAGGTGCAAAAGAATTTCCAGAGGCTCAGTGTCGGCAGTCAGGATGATGACCTCGGCAATACCACGGTTGAGCGTCTTGGTGGCTGCGACGTAGCCGTCAGATAAAAGCGAGCGTGGAAGTATCAAATACCTCACCTTCGTTAGCACCCTTCTTCAGCTGCTTGAATTGGGAAGCACGCTGCACTAGATCCAGGATCTAATAATATGCAAACCCCATTCCATCAGACCTGAACAACCTAGCGCCACTAAGTGCGCGCGACTTGCCTGGTCGTTGAGCTCCGGGCCAGCAAGGGGCCATGCCTTAGCGCGAGATGCAGGGTCTGACATTTTGATGTTAGGGTTGGTACGACCTCACGTCCCTGATGATCCTTGGTCGGCGGGTAAGGGTAGATGGAGAGGGTGGCGACTGCGTCGAAAAAGGCGGGGACTTCAAATTCTTGCTTGATCGAAGGCACGTGCCGCTAATTACCGCCGGGATGCCAATAAAGGCAATTGTCGCGATCAAGTTATTATGATCGAAATTCCAGTCTGAGTCGCGCTCAGCTCCTCGCCGCGCCACTACAACCAAGAAGGGAAACAATATCCGTTGTAGCATTGCCCGAGAGTCGCTCGCAAGTCATATACTTGGGCCCCACGGGCAGCAAGGTATCTGCCCCACAGTTCGCGAGTTCAGACATACGTCGCTCACGTCCAGCCGCTTTCCTGATGGAGGGACAACCGCCTATCGTCAATGTCCACACGCCTGTATCCTCTTTCGCTATCGTGCAGTCTCGTGAGTGATGTGCTCGGCTAATTTTGAACTTACGATGGAAGGCTGAATTGCCTAGACGATGACACGCTGGAGACCCTGTACGAGAAGCTCACTAGGAAGGCTCACGCCGAGTTCAATAGCCAGCCGGTCAAGTCGGGTTGGGTAAAGTACTCATGGAATGGCAATATCTGGAACCTGGATGACGGCGAGTGGCAGTGGCCGAATTCCTCATCTATGATAGTGTTGACGAGTCACCAGATTCTGATTTCACCATTTACGTTTGGCGGCAAAAGTCGACCACTCCGAGTAGTGAACAGTGGCCGATCCTCCATGTTCGCGACCCTGACGAACCACTCCCCGCTCCCCCTGCCTACCGCAATGAATCCTTCTATATGTTCACTCCAAAGCCGGCGTCTTCACCACCACTCCGTTCGAGCTCAAGCTCCGTCCAGAGTGGCAGGAAGGCACGAAATCACTCCAAGGATTTGAAGCGCCAGGACGATGTTCCGAAGTATAAACAGGAGTTCGAGAAGTTTCACAGCGAGAATGGTGTCCGCACTATTGTTGGCAGCATAGGACCCGTGCAGAGTGGTATGCCCTATTGCCCATTTTGCAATATGCCGTCAATAATGAAACCTGCGCTCATAGTCCGCATGCTACTGAAGAGTGGCTACCGCCACGTGTACATCTCGCGTAAGTTCGCGATACAGCATGGCTTCATACCGGCAGATGCTGCCCCTGGCCATTACGGCTATGGTGGGCTGGTTAAGTACGTCCTCCTCATGTTCGATACCCGCGTGCGTGGATGATCCACCCGCAAAACAGTATCGGAAAATGGCCGGTCACGGTCGGCAAGACAAAGACCACGCACTCCGTCTACCTGTCGGAAGAGTCTCACTTTGACGTTGTCCTGGGTCGCTCCTTTATGGAACTTCGCCAGGTGAAGCTTGACCCTGTGGACCAAACCGATGTTGTGTGTCAGGACACCGGCGAGAAGATTGATTGCGAGCTGGTCATTCTGAAGGACGGCAAGGGGCAGCTCGTTACCGTCACATAGTGCCCACTTCTTACGCTACCCACCAAGGACAGATCGTTCTGATTTCAACTTACACAGTTATGGGGTGTTCTAACGGACTATACCCCGAGGTTGCGTATCTATTGGACTGTTGTAATCCTAGTCGCTGTTGTGCACGCTTACTTTCGTTGTATGATATCAGAATGATGTATTGAGTGCTAAAAATACTCGTGACGAACGACATACACACGACTGGCTGACACTCGAAACCGCGACTGAAATGCCCCCCGGTCTTCTGAGAAGGCCCTTCTCGAGGATGCGCCACCGGCACGTGGTCTCCGCCTCTTATTATCGCTGTCGGCGCTTAGTAGTCAACAAGCGGTCCACTTCATGGCTATCCTGGCCCACCTGCTCAGGCCGGTGCCAGCAGCTCGCAGAGCATACTCAGTCTTCTCCAAGCCCGGCGGGGGGCGTTATTTTAACTCGGCAAAGCCCCCAAAGGTCGCACCGACATCGCATAAGGGCACCGCCGACGTTTCCAGCACTAGCAACGATGCCTCGCAGAAGGACCAGCAGCCGCCTGGCCCGTCGATGACAACCGAGGGCCTCGCTTCCACTACCGTGCTACCTTCTCCGATCTCCGCTGCACCCATACACCCCTCGATTAATCCTCATGACTTCAAGCTGCACCAGTTCTTCTCTCTGCATCGCCCCCTTCTCCTCATGTCACAGCCGCCATCGTCGCTCTTCGAATCTGTATCTGTGCCTTTCACGTTACCTCCCAAGTCGGCCTCAGAGACGGCCAGGCTTGATAGCCTTGAGGAACCTCCTGAAGCCTCCCCAGAAGAGGATGCTGACGCAGCCCGGCAACTCGCGAGAGCACTGGTGGTGAACAGAGTCGGCGCGTCTCTCTCGTGGGAGAAGACACTGCAGCAGCTGGGCTTGGATATGACGAAGGGTAGAGCAGAGGAGGTGAAGATGGCGGAGGAAGAGTTCCAGGTGTATATGGACAGCACCAAGAGGAAGCGCCGAAAGAAGATGAAAAAGCATAAGTGAGTTCACTTTTGTCGCGACAATGAAACATACTGACTGCAAACACTAGGCTGAAGAAGCGAAGACGCGTAAGCTATCTCTGTCTTCATCCCTCTATTCTCACTCTGACATGCTTATGTTTCCAGCTCAACAGGGCTCAGCGCGTTAAGATCGGTCATTGATGGCTTTGGGCTTCCTTCGGGTCGGCTCAGGTCGAAGAGTTTTGCTGTGTTGTCATCGTTCTATTTTCCTTATCAATGAACTTTCACCATTCTGAAGACACGCGTGCTTGATGACAATTGGAGGTGCGTCGGTTATTTGCTCGGTGATAGGCTGTAGTCGCCTGCTCTACGCTCTGGTCATCATCTTCTGTTGAGTAATTTGCGCCCCACGCACATCTGTTTCAACTCTCCAGATAGCTCTGCAGAGCCGTTGCTCGGAGAGTTGTGTGGGCGCTTGATTAGGCACATCTGTTGGCCATGACCATAATGTGGGCCACCCGTGTCCTGTTCAAATTGCATGTCCAGATGTTTCTGATGATGTGTGTTATCGAGGTAGCACCAGGCTATGGGCAAATGCGATCGTAAGGGATATAATTCTCTCCGAACCGGGTTCTACGAAGCGTTGTAATGTCGGCTCGCCCGAACAAACCTTAAGCATAAGCAAATTGTTGTTTCGTTGACATTCGACTGTCATGATTTGATGTCATTCAATGAGGTGTATCCGTCTGATTCTATCACATAATGGGTTTCTGGTGCTTCATGATATTGCGGTATAAGGCTGCCCTGAACTAACGAGGTATTTCGTTTAGAAAATGCCTGGGACAATGGTCGTTATCCCAATATTCGTTATAAGGGGCCAGTACAGACCTTGTTTAGTCTTTGACGACTGGACATTCTGGCGAATCAAGTCTTGAACAAGGGTTTCTCTCGGAGCTTGTACGAAGACATAGTGCTTTTCAAAAGGAAGAATTTATGAAACCTATCCAACAGAACAGTATATCACAGGCAATAGTCACCATTTGGAAAGCTACGTGATCGAAAGTTTATTGACAGGAACTTGTACGGCCTTGTGATGTTAGGGAGAGTGTTCCCACCAGAATATCTTCACACAACGCTGTGATAAATTACATTGCGTCTATTCTGGGCGCTCATGCTTCTGGTCCAACTTCTGCCCGGAGCCTCCGCCCGAGGCTTCCGTCTCAGCTTGACGATGCCCAGACACGGGTGTATGATGATGATTAATTCACAATTTATATACCACAACAAGCAAACACTCAAGTGCTAAGACGCGGCGGGCGCCGCCGGCCCGCGAGTCGCGGGTAGCGGTGCCCCTGTCATGTGAGTAGTCTACGGGGCAATGTAAGAAGGCGATGGAGTAATATACGAGGCTCGGTTGACCAGACACGGGTGTAGACATGACTCAGCACAACCATGCGGCGGGACCCTCGTGATAGCGAACATCTTCTGACAAGTGAACATCTTGACATCGAACAACTCACTAGATTTGCGTGACATCTTTGCATGAGTTATACGCTTGGGATCTATAAGGACCCATAAGACTCAATGAGGAACTCGAACACTAATAGTTTAAACACCAACGTGATGCTGAAGAAGGTAGACATGAATATAAGCCCAAATGCTAGATCAGTTCAGTAAGACAACGGCTGGTCAATAGAATGGTGGACGGTGGGTAGAACGGATGATGGAAATTACCTTGGAACTTCTTTCGAAGCATCTAAGCTATAGTTTGGATTGAAATGAGGTATACATGGTGTGCCTTCTTCTCTCCCTCAGGATTAAGTTTTACACTACATGTATGCGTATCAGCTCCTCGAAATGGTCTCGACTGGAGAAAGATTCGTTGTACCTTGTGTTCAGGAGGCCTGGTTACATCTGCAAACAATGTTTTCTTTTGGTAGAAACCTTGTCTCTACATAGCACTCTGTAGAAACCCGTAATCTATATAGTACTCTGTAGATAGCGCGATCTATGTAGGTCTACATAGGTCTCTGTAGAAATTGCGTATCTACGGCAGCGAGGCGGCTAATGGGGTCACTCAATATGGCAATCTGCCATGTGATCCAACACCATGGTCCATGCGGTCCACGTGGTTTTGATTTGATCAGAAATGTTCAGAACAAACTGATTGTATCGCATCTTCACTTCATGTAACGGCTGTTTCTACATAGTACTTAGTAGGTCCTCGTAGTCTCAGTAGGTCCTCGTAGTGTCGCGACTTAGGGTCGAGCGACAGGGGAAACACAGACTTTGAAGGATGCTGGGGGTGTTCGACTGGATCTTACCGAAGCGATGGTGAGCAAGGCTCAAACCTAAGGCTAGGGACAAGTAAGTTAGTATTTGAAAGGTAAGTAAGTACAGGGGCTTACTGACCTAGGGACAAGAGGTCGAAACTGAGGTCCCTAGGGCAGCAGAGGCCGGTTTATATACATGGGGAGATTAGGGCAGGCTGTGCGCTGTCACAGTTTCCCTAATTGTACCTAATTTTTCTGCTATTTCTGCGGACATATCAAAGGATATAGGGACTTATCCATACTTATCTGTCCGCATATGGGTACAGCTGCATATCTAAGGGGTTATCCGCTTAAATAAGCGACACATGATCTTGTTCTGGACACATCAGGCTGGACTCTGATGCCGGACCTTTTCTAGATAGAAACCAGACTCCTTCTGGACCATGACATCATTCTGACATCATAGATAGGAGCTAGGCTCAGGCACTAGGCCATAGGCCGGTCAATTCTGGACCCTAGGCCCAGGGCAGGGCAGGGCCAGACTATGACATCATATATGACATCATAGAGCACATGATACTTAGTAATCCTTACCCAGCTAGGTACCAGGGGTCCATTACCGGTCCCTGGGGGGGTTTTCCCTCATGTATATAAGACAGCATCCTGGGGCACCCTGTCCCCCAGTTCTATTCACTTCGTTGTTGCGCTTAACAGCATTACCTCCCCATACTTAAGTGCTATTATCTCCCCCCCTCAATATCAAGCTATAAGGTGGGTTTGTAGGTTTTGTGATAGTCTGGAGGGAGATCTCCTCGTACTTGACTGGATTTGGCAACAGTTTGGGGAAGGCGG